ACAAAGTTCAAATCTTTCTTTCCTGTAATTTAAAGGAAATTTCATGGGTTAATTTCTTGATTTGTTTCACTTACTGCTGTCTGGCCCCATGCACAATAGAGGGAAATTTTTTCTAAAAAAAATAATCAAGCTGCATGTTGTTTCATTGCTAAGAAGAAGAAGAAGAGGAGGAGGAATTAAACATGTGAATAGTAATACTAAAAATGATAAAAAGAGCTTGTTTTTTTGGGGCTGTTTCCATCTTTGCTTTTCTGGAAAAATTTGCCATTTCCTTTTAGTCATTCAAAGGGATAATCAGTATCACTATCATAGTTGAATAAATTTAGATATTTTGCAGCAACCTTTTCACACTTTATCCTGTTTACCACAGTTTTTGCTACTTACAGCTTGATCTGGATAACAACCGAATTTTATTATTATTATTTTTTTGTTTTGAATGTATAACTATAACTTAAATTTGTATAAATTGTACAGGGGTGACAAAGGTTTTTGTAGTGAGGAGTGCAGATGCAGACAGATCTTCATGGATGAAGAAGAGATTTTCATGTCCAACAAAACTTCTTTTGATCATCATCACTGTTCAGTTGCAGCTACATCAGCATCTGCTGCTTCTTCTTCTTCTTCTTCTTCTTCAGCTAGAAGAAAAGCGGCCAACAAAAACCAAGCAAATGGCTTTGCATATTGAAAAAAGAAAAAAATAAATAAATAAAATTTAAACTCAAGCAAAAAATTTGAGTTATTTTCCGCCCTTTGTTTTTTGCCTTAACTTTTTTTTTTTTGGTGGTTAGTTTTCTAATTCTGGGCTGGGAAAAATCTGTATTTTAATGATGAATCTTGTGCTTCGTTCATTGGTTTGCAGTTGAGTAAGTAGTAGTAGTACAAGTATGGCATTTAAGGTTTTCTTTTTTAACTGTACCACCTAAAATTCTGTAAGCTCTCACTTTTTGGTGTATGTATATATGAGAGGGAGAGAATTTTGGCAATTGGACTATTTTATGTTATTTTAGTGTGTTATTATTGTTTTCGGATTCTGATTACTCCATCCGTCCCACAATAATAGTCCACATTGAATTTTAAATTTTGTACTGTTTTTAGTACAAATTTGAAAACTCAATCTGGACTATTTTTTTTTTTTTTTTGGGACGGAGATAGTATTTGGTAATTTTTAGAACACTTTTGATTTCATAAGTGCACAAGTGATGTATATGCCCTTAATTATGGTTAAAATTCGTTGTCTGTTAATTCGATTGATCTTTCAATTCAGAAATGTGTAAATGCCAAAATCCAATTGTGTCAAACTTTGTACAGAAGGAAAGACTGTTCAAACATTTTAGTTCACGAGAGACTCATGTCTCGTAGTACATAGTGATTTGGATAAATATTCTACGTCACTGTTTTCTTCCATTTGAATCATTATCCTCTAAGTTGGTACGTTTCGCGTTTGGATCATTATCCTCTAATTCAGGTGCACTTTCTCTCCCAAATTTTGTTGTTTTCTAATTAAGCATTTTTTTGCCCATTTGATTCTTGTAATCTATTGATTTTGCATTAAATGATTAACGTTCGTGTCAAAGAAAATATAATCATACTTTGACAGTAAAACCAACATTTGTGTGTATTATTCTATGTTACGTTCATTTTTTGTAGCGACTATTATTCTCTCTTCATCCCGAAATTATTGTTCAGTTTGGAGTTTTATGTTGAATATTATACATGAAACACTTTTGTAGGGAGTGGTGTAAAGAGTATCACATACAATTTATGTAACACCTTTGTGCAATGATGTGCGTCCATACCACTATATCGCTAATGTCGTGTGATTTCGCTCATCTTTTATTGAGATTGTCCATGCACAAACGTTGAATACGTGAGTGTATCTGGCCTTCTACTAGGAGTTTCCTAATAATTTTACTTCAGAAATTACTTTTAACTTTTTAAAACATAACTTCAAACTATATGAACAATTTATGTAGTCTATTGTAAATTTATTTCTATCGAAATTGATAAGTGCACCGTAAATCATTGGTTGATACGTAGTGAATAATCAGTAAAAAAATGCTGACATATATGATAGTCTTCTCCGATTAGCTATCTCTGTCTCTTTTATGATTATATCATATTCGCTCCCGAAGTCTCTTTATAAGTAACAACAATACAGATTTTACTTTTGAACATTGAAGTATGAGCATCGAAAGGTAAATTTCTACTAAGAATCTAAATCATGGAGAGAATTATTGGAAAAGGGGGAGGAAGATAGCTACAGATATAACTAGGTGTTAGATCCGTCCAATGGACGGGGAAGGCATACACATATAAATATTTTTATGTAAATTTTATATTTTTATAAAATATATAATGACTTCAGTTTTAAAAATGATTACTTCTGGATTTACAGGAATTTATTTTTTTAAATGACATTTTAAATTAATTGGTGATAAGATTTATGCATATCTCTCTAAAATTTGTTAGGATTTAGTACTCTCTTCAATCAATCTCTATGTTAGGATTTGGTTCATGAAAATAAGGGTTCAGTTTTTATTATTTTGTTTTTTTAAAAAAATTATTTCAGTTGCTTTTTTTTATTTTATTATTTTATTTTGTGCATTTTTAAGTCTAAAAAATTAAAAAAATACCATATAAGATTAAATCTTATGTGGCATGTACTCCATGCCTTTAGTTTTCTCTCTCTAATTTTTGCCTTAGTATAATATATAGAAGAGAGTATATAGATACAAATCATACAAGAGACATGGACAGTGTAGTAAAGTAGGTACCATTTCTGAGTGGGCCCGACCCAAATATCTGGCATAGAGTGGGAGCCCATGAGAGTAAGTGAAGTTCGTCCATTTCGTTCTGTGTCAGCATTGCCTAAGAAAGAATCATTGAGCTGATTACGACTTAATCATCAAATCCAATAGTGGTTCACTGTTTAGATCGTGTAATCACGAGCTTCCCATTAATTTTTCATATGTATCATCAACGTTATTGATAAAAGTAAATTTAAATAAAAAAAATTACGAAAATAAATAATAATGAACAATGTTTATGAGTAATATATACAAATATAACCATTATTTGTTATTTACTATTATTAATTAACACAAATTATTAGTTGGAACTTGTTGTTATATGATAGAGAAGAGAGGAAAAATATGAAAAAGGAGTTAGGATTAAAAGAAAAAAGGTAAAAGTCAAAAAGGAACATGTATGTTGTGAAAAAAATTATCTAAACACGCATTTGTTTATTACAAAGCATGAAAATCGATGCAGTACACAAAGAACAATGTTGCATGCGGTATTAAACTAAAGAAAAAGGAAAAATTTTGGCACATCAGTCATCCAAACTAAGGATGTAAAATAAAAAAAATAAAATTAATTCTTAATTACCAGAAAATGAACTTTTCCAAGGGTTCTGTTTTAGTATATAGAATAATTCATCCCTTTCCAATTTAATCTTCCTTCATGCCTTCTACTATCAAGCAATGGACAGAAGATTGATACAAGTATCTCTGTAAATTTAATCTTCCTTCATGCCTTCTACTATCAAGCAATGGACAGAAGATTGATACAAGTATCTCTGTAAATTTGAAATTGTTCAGTAACACGTACATGAGACATAACACGATACCAACCTTTAATAAGAACAATAATTGTGTATTCTGTATTTTTTTATGCGTCAGTGACCGAATAAATTCATTTTCTTTATCATTTTGATGAATTAACGTGTAAAGGAAATCTGCAATACTTGAGGCATGGAGACTACTGAAAACATGAGATTTTTCCCACGTTCATCGTGTACCTAACCCCGCGAGACAAAATTCGAACACATTTGAGATTTTCAGAATGATCGTTTTGGGTTTGAGAGTTTTTTTATTTGATACATTTTAGCAAATGGACATGTGCATCATATGATTTTTTTATTTTTATTTTTTTCATTCACATTTGAGATCATTTAGACAAAGTGACCCAAAGTCTTTTTCGCAATTGTGAATGCTTTGGTTAGATGTTTTAAGCAAATAGGCAGGTGCATCACATGATTTTTTAGTTTTTTTTTTTTTTTTTTTAAAAAAAAGAAAAAATTAGTACAAGAGAATCCAACAAAAACATGGACCATGGAATCCAATACCATCCTAAGAGATGTGCCCACGAGGCTTAAGAACCATGAATTTTAACTTGTGATACTCCTAGTGGGAGACAAGAAATGGCAAATAATGAAATAACCAAAGAAGAGTTTGGTACGAATTTGATCCTGGAATCATTCAGGTTCTCCTTGCTGGTGCGTTTCTGAATTCTACATGTTCCAGTGAACCCTTTTTGGTCCACGTTTTTTGGTGTTTTGGTATCTCTCTGTTATGTGTTAACCACCATTGGCAGTTGAATTCTATGTTCGTTTAACATCTATTTGAGCACCTTGTTAAGCTACATCTGCACCAGAGGTAAGCTCCCAATGTCTTGACTTCTGTTACTTCTTTTGGATACAAGATGTGTCGTTGGATAAATAAAGGACTAGTGTTTTGTCGCTCTTACCATATTACTCGATATTGATACAGAAGGATAAAGACTTATGACTCGGGAAATCGAAATTATACATTAGTGAAAACAAAGGTAAAAGGTCTGCAAGCACTTAACCTTCTACAATCACAGAGCCAGAAAATCTAAGGCAGGCAAAATTTCCTCACATCATGGAGAATGTTAAAGAATGATCTACTACAGCCATTTGTCATACAAAAACTCTATATTTTCGCCCCCCAATTGGACAATGATTTCATACTTGCATCCGGTCCAATTTTCTCAAAGTGACAACCAAGCTGTAAAGACCACGGGGATAGTACAGTCGAGTCCTCTAAAGTTTAGGAACAGATGATGCAAACAAATATACAAACACAAGAAAAACTTTTGCTAATTACTTTGCGCTCTACGAGTCTGCAAATAATACATACAATATCAGAGATGTGGTATCACCAAGATCTTTTTCATCACAATGTTTAACATCAGCGGGCTCAGCCAGATTTGAATAGGAGCACAGCTTTTGAGTCCAAGTAGAAGTAAACAAAGTGGTTCGTCTCATGCGTAACATATGAACCTGCAGACATATAGAACAATGACATGAAAATGAACTCAAACTGAGCTACTAGTTGAAAAAGACAACCAGTTTCAAAGCTGAAAAGGACTGGCTTTTTTAATCTCTGCCTTTTTTTTCCCGAAGATAATGATTCGTGTGGGGGCTTTTCAAAGCAGTCGATTTTAGTAACTCAGTAGTCAAAGCCCAAGTAACTGAAACAGTTTTAGGAGATTTCTAACAAACATCTTGCAGTAACAAGGAGTTTGTCAACTGTTTTACACACCAGACCACAGAATTAACCAGATCTATCCTGAAAGCCGCATCATTTCTCACTACATTTGTTTGTTGGATGAAATTTGTTTACAGATTTAAGCATAACTATTATTATCTTATCAAGATAAGGTAAAAAACATATTAAGATACTACAAGTCAGTGAAAAACATATTAAGATACTACAAGATACTACAAATGATTGGATGAGAAAAAGATGAAACTCAAAAGTGTAGCTATAAAACTACCGCATCCAAGTCATCTTATATCCAGTAGACTGTAGAAGGAACCACAGTCCAGAGTAGATTAATACATTTCGGCACATAGACTGTCAGTGGGCCCAAGCTGTATCAAACAAGAAGTCAAATTTCAGTTTGTCATTTTGCATTGACAATGGAGAATTAATCCACAGACAAATACAGATCCTGAATTGGTTAATCGGGTATCAACCACTATTGCTCAACCATTGATGTCATTTGATAAGGGGAGAACAAAAGCCATATCTTAGTTTCACACAAGCCTCAGAGTTAAAATTGCTTTCCAGAACCCCAACTCGATCTGTATTTCAACAGACTTGTTCTATTATAACAAGGGCCGTCAGCCAATCAACCAAACAAAGAGTAGTAGATTTATGTGATGTTAGACATGGTTCCTGGACAAACTATAGCCAGCAGAATGCTAACGCTCCATAATGCAGTTAAACTAATCACAATAATTCTTCCATATAGCTTCTACTGGGTAAGGACAAGAAATGCAGGCAGCTCCAAAAGGTGTAATGGGATGTAAACCAGAAGATATGAACATTTAGCACGACGTCTCTCAATCAGAATCCACACAATGAAGAAATAATAAGATTGCTATCGCAGAACTAGCACAAAGAAGCAAAATACAGCATTTTCGCCCAACAAGTCTTTCACAGCGAAGCAGAAATTGTGATTACATGCTAGTTCCATTCATTCATTAAATTTTACATAAGATTCCAAAACTTTACAGAGTTAACATTCAACCTTAGTTAAGCTATCCTGCACGAAATGATTACTTCCCTCATCCAGCCAGAAAATTGTAAAATTTAAGATTTTATAAAACTGAATTGGGATAAAAATTGAAAAGGAAAGTGATATCAGAGCAAAATGACTAAAATGGCTTCAGGGCCAGTTTGACATTTTAGACGTAAAGATGGAAAAAGACCGGCAACGCATTACCCAAGTGATTCAATTAGGTATGTAATGCATGTCACACAGGTTTAGCAAACAACAGCAGGTATTCTCCAACCTATAAGCAGGCCTAACAGGGCACTGATATGAAAACAATACAATAAAGTATCCCGCTGATTAGCCCAATTTCGGTGCGTCTACTAGACGTCTGAATTTGTGCAAAGATCTCGGCGAGGACAAAAACAAAAACTTTGATATCCACAGCCAAACAGTTCAAGTTTAAAAGTAAAATTAAAGAGATACATCATGCATCCATAAAACTTATATTTACGAGAACTATTACTTTAGGACATAGTTCTGTTCAACAAATTACATTCACGATACAATTAAACATTCAGAAAAGACTCCTTCTCAATCTTTCTAGTAGGCCAGAATGCAAATGAAAATAACTCCTGAAGGCAATAATAAGCCTGCGGTTGAACTACATTGCAAACTTCCACAAACACTAATCCAAGGCTAAAGATGAACCCTATTTACATAGGAACTTCTTCTAACGTTAACTCAGTTAATTAACAGTATACTATTAATAGAATCAGTTAATTGGGCCATCCACAAAAGGAGTCCCAAAAGCAATCCCCTAAGCTTCCACAACATGTAGGACTAGATCTAACTCATTCCAAATTTGAGCACGGATGATATTCTTATCACAGCCTAATAAAGATTTCAATGTTGCTATTACGAAACCCCGATTGAAAACAAAAACTAAGTTAAAAAAAAATCAGATCATTACCGAAATTTTTGCCGACAATGCAATGCCAAGTAGGTCCATACCGCTTATCAAATTCCTTCTTAATGTGCTCTGCAACATCTTTCTCCACATTATTCTTCTCAAATGCCTGATAATAAGAAGTAAAAACAATTCAGAAACTAAATTGAAATATACATCCAGAAGAAACGCAGCCAAGCCTTCATTTTCCGGATTTCTTTAACTTCCCCCATTAAGCGAACTGAAAGTCCTAAAACATTCTGTTAAAAGCTGCAGAAGAGAAAGAGAGAAATACTTACGCCGATGGCAATGTCGACGGCCTCTTTCTGCATGTCTTCTTTCATATCCGCGTTCTTGATGATGACTTTCTTTCCGGCACCGGAATTCGCAACCGGACCTGCGGATGACTTCCGATCATCGGTGAGAGGCTTGGCGACAGGAGCAGGTCCTCCTCCTCCACCTACAATCACCATTCTCTTCGCTTCCTCACTCATTTGCCAGAAAAAGAGACACTTATCGGACAAGCTCTGCAAACACCGGCGAGGAATACTAACCTTTAACGGAAAACGAAAAAGCTCGAGAGTCGTGAGTGGGGAGAGAGAGAAAGAGAGAGAAATTTGGAGCAAACAGTGCGTGAGTGTGTGAGAGAGAAAGTGAAACAACGGGGAAATGATTTGTGGTCTTTCTGATTTCTTTTTAGTGTTCGGTGCGTTTTTACCCTTTCGATTCCGAGTCAATCAGTAAAATGTGTATAAACACAGGTAAGAATTTCTTACTGTTGGAGTTTTTTTTTCACTCCACTCTCTAGCATAGTTATCAAAGCAGGATACGTATCGTGTATCGGAAACATAAATTTATGATACGCGTATCGTATTGTGTATCGTATCATAAGATACGTTTTAATATAATAATATCTATAAAAAAAATAATAAATATCATAAACTCCATATGTAGTTGATATATTTATGTTTTTTTTTTTCAGTTATAAACAAATAAATTGATTAAGTTGGATTCAAAATTATTTAAAAGTTACACATATTACTTATTCATTATATGAATAATGGTCGTAAAATCTATGTAATAAATGTTATTTTTCATAATAGTTGTTATTAAGCCATAAATTTAATGGAGAGAAATTAATATAAACATGTATTGCATTTATTTAACATGCTATTAGTTATACTTGATTTAAAAAAGGAAAATGATATTATGAATAAAAAATGCTTTTAAATAATTGAATTTTTGAACTAGAATAATTTATTTATCGGTTTTATTGACAATTGGGGAAGATTATGTTTATGAAATAAATCAAACATATCTATTTAAAACAAATTGTAAATAAAATTCGTTCTTAATTTAAAATTTAAATGGTCACAATTTGAATTCTTTTAAGAAAAAAATTATTCTTTACCTATGTTTTTACATCGTATTGTGTATCGTATGTATCGTACGATACGTATCGGTAATTAATCGATACACAAACGATTGCAATACATACCATGATACGTATCGAAATCTTTAATTTTGATACGAATCATGCGCTACGTATTGCGTATCTCGTACGATTACTTACTACTATGCTCTCTAGTAAATTTGCGTTTCTTCTAAGAGCAGGCAAAGAATTCAAAATCGAAGTATTTTTCTCATTGCACTTCGCTGTTTTGTATCACATTATAATTTTATTGATTATTAGTGTTTCATAACTCAATTATATGAACATAAATAAATCTCTTCGGACGGAAACATCATACAATAAATTATTACTCATCTCTTTTATACTATATAACCTTTTTAAAAAATAAAATTAATTTTCAAAGACTTTATTTTGCTAATTTTTACATCTTGAACTTACGAAATGGATAACTTTTTTTTGTTGACTGAATGGTTTAGTAAAGAGTCACATTCTTGACTATTTGGCTCGAATCCAAATTAGTTGAAATAATGACTTCGGACACTAAGTGCGTAATATAAAAAAAAAAACCACATTCTTTCTCGAAATAAGAGTGATTATAACTGTTAAATGATTAACTTGATTATCCTTGCCAAACTCAAAGGACTCTCCAATTTTATGAGGTAGAATGAGCTGGAAACTGCCAATGAGCTTAAAATTTCCTCCTATTCAACTTTTGAGGATGCAGAATGAAGAGAACAATTTCGGTGAGGGTAAAGCGCTTCGCTTAATGAGTTGTACGCTTTTACTAATACTGATCACATAAAAAAATAAATAAATAAATAAATAAAAGAAAATCAAGAATGCTATCAATTTTCTTTTACAAAAGAATTAAAAAAAAAAATAAAAAACAGCCAAAGAACAGTTGTATGATTGCATTAGTCAAAAACACCTCAGTCCATGGGAATAATTGACCCAAACTGGAGACAAAACAAACATGCATGAGGCAATGATTTGCTTGCATATTTTAGTGTTTTCGAAGGAACAAACAAAAAAACTTACTTCGAACTCCGGTAACTCTACAAGATAATAAGTAAAACCACAGTAATAAGTCCTTTTTTCATATATACTGGAAACTGTAAAAATCAATAACATTTCAGAATGCTAAGCTCTGACCAGAAGCCATTTCTTCATCATCAGACTCGTCCTTCACAACTCTTCGCCTCTTTGATCTTACTCCATTTGGATGTTTATCTTCGCCTTCATCATCATCCGATACAGAATCTTCTGCAGCCGTTGGAACCTCTGATTCAGGGGATAACACGTTTTCCACCCCGCCATTTCCTTCCTCCCTTTCTTCACCACATTCCTCTTCAGATGGTTCATCACCTTCTGCTGCATTTTCTTCATTGTCTCCGTTTCTCTCTTCTTCTTCTTCTTCTTCTTCCATGGCAAAGTCTTTGGTATCTAATATCTTGAAGTCCCTCGAAGTGCTTCGCTTTGCGTACCTTAGTAAATTCGTTTTGGTTGCCTTGCTGAGCAGGATGAGATACTTCTCATAGTCTTCTATCTGGAAGATTAAGTCTGGGATGCATTTGTTTTCCCTTCTAATTTTGCTAGCCATTCCTTTGGTGTTTGTACACTCTTGTTGATTCTGTACAATGCAAGCAAGCAATAATGCAAGTTGAACCAAATCAGATTATGGTAATTCAATATCTATAACTGAAACTGAGGTTAAAGAAGCAAAAAATTTGTATATACCTTTTGCACCATGTCCATAAATTTATACAGAGGAGCTGTCAGCTGCCTACAGGTTATTTCAACCAGCTTCTGATACTTGAGGCTTGGTAAAGCTTGAATGCAACCTCTGGGGGATATTTGAAGCTTTGCCACTCTAGCTAAATCCTTATACAGTTTTGCAGCCAAACTCAAGAAATGTTCGGCTTGGGGATCTGCAATATGTTTGCACCAGTAAATCAGATCAAATGCAAGGGTAGATCACCCATAAATCAAGATCAATTATTCATTGTCAGTACTTTCTAATTAACTTACCTTTCAGGTTCATCAGTACAAAATAAGACAAGACCTTCACAACAGCTTGCATCCTGGAGTAGAGAGACTCCTCTAATGCCAATCTAGGACCAATCTTTCTGTTAGGATCGAGAGATACACCTTTCCTAGCAGCTGTAGAGTAAGCTATCAGTTTATTTATGATAGAATCCATGTCGGTAATATTTGACTCAAGAAGCTGCAATATGGAAGAGGCTATTGCAGCATGAGTTGCTTTGTTCAGAACATGAAACTTCTCGGACACGTCCTCTGGTTCAGTAGCTTCTGATCCCACTACTTTCAGAAGTTCTGAAGCCAAATCTTCAGAAATTATCAAGTCATTTGGAGGTAAGCTTAATGAAACAACCAGAGAAACCAAACTTCTAGCAACCTTTGAATTTTGCAAATGACTGATTTTACAGATACGCAGGATCCATGCTCCAACAAGACCCTGGCAATCAGCAGGGATTTGATTGCCAATCATCATTATTATGTCACAGATAACCTAGGAAGGGAAGTATAGTTTGAGTTAAGTACAGACTACAGAAAAGCCAAGAAATGTTTATGATAACAGACTAATCTCATAAAAATAAATAAAAAAAATAAAAAACTATTGTCGCCAAAAAAAATAGTCCACATTGAGTTTTGAGATTTGAGATTTGTACTGTTTTGGGACAGACGTTGAATTTTTTAACCACAGAATACATGGTTTGAAGTTGCTAGCAAATTTCACTTTAAATGCATAGCAATTCCTAACTGGAAACAACAATTTTCGAATGAACTTCTGCTTCCAGATATGCCATCTTCAAGATGCAACAGAGAGTTCTCACAGTGATTTGTGATTCATGCATCAGAAAGAGCAAGAGGGGAAAATATAGAATCTCTTTGAAAAGGAAGCTATAGGGAATAGAAGAAAAATAAGTAAAAATAACATAAATGGCTTGAAAGCAGCAAGCTACACACTGTATTTCATTTGACGAAACAAACAGTTTTGAGCTCACCTACCTCAACTTCACGGAATAAGGAAACTTTAAGCAAATCGATGACCAAGGGAACCATACACTTTCTAATGAACATCACATCGCTCTTTGAACTGTGATCAACTCGGCTATCAGCTGTACCATATTCATAGGTTCCGTCAGCATCCAGAATACCTCTTGATTGAAGCTCAGATTCACAGAGTGACATCATATCTTCTATGAATTCACTGTATCCGGGGGTACCCAATGTTGAAGTTATCAAATTTTTCAAGCACATCAAAGCTAAATGAATATATTCCTTTCGGTCATCTATTTTCTTCTTCTTGGTATCGTTCTTTATCAGGCTAGTCTGATTATCTGGAGCAGATGTCAGCAATAAAACCAGTTTCAGCAAAGGAGGTCCCAATAACTTGATTTCTCCATAAACCAACATCCAGAGAGAATCTTCTCTTTCCGCAAATGGTAGTGATGTTAATTGATGTAGGCAAATGTGCAGCATAAAGAGAAACATTTTAGAATTCCCATCTGATGCCTTACTGGAGGACAACTGGCTATTATTCTGAGAAGTTACATGGGCAGAACCATTAAGTTGCAATTGTTCTGGTGCCTTTTGCAAAAGATAATGTATACTCGAAGTTGCCAAGAAAGAAATTCTACCCTGTGGTAGCGTATGACCACTGCTAGTGAACTTATCAACCAGGTCACTGGCAGTAGGACGAACAGTCTTTCTTGCTTGCCTTGAGGTGGACGTAAACTTTTCCAGGGAATTATGAATATTGACAAAATCCAAGAGCTCTTTCTGCAATTCCACTTTCTTTAAGTCAATTCCTTTCTCCAGCTCATTGATAATGATATTCAATACCACCTCAATAATCCCTAATAAAACAACAGCATGGAAGCTACTATTTTTTTCTTCAGAAGTTGAAGATTCTGAATCACAGGTTTTCCCCAGTAAGCCTGATCTGACAACAGCAATCCAAAATAAGGAAAAAGACTACCCAGGGCAAAGCCATAAGTAAAGAGTTTTTTCTTCGGATCAAAATCAAAATTCAATAGAAACAAAAAATAATAAAAGATATTCATCAACCATAAGAACAAAACTTGTTCTGGATTGATCTTATCAATTCAAAAAAGAGTAACTCAACCTTCCAAATTTGACTGCCTCAGGAACTTCCGTATCTTCGATAAAGCGTTCGAAAATGTTTCTCCAGAGATTGTTCTTCCAGCCTGCGCCAAATGTATATCAAAATCCCAGTTGATTGTAGTACTATTTTAGTCACATAACAAATCTCATAGCACATTAGTAGTACCTCATTTTCCTGTGTCAGAGAGAAGCCAAAACTAGCCCATGAATCCCGAGGTTGATCTGCTTTATCTTGAGGCTGAAGAAGAAGAATCCAAGAGACGCAAGAGAGAAGAGAATCTAAAGGCTCTCCAATATAAAGCTTGCCATTGTCTGACTTAAGGGAGTGAGTAATATCCAGTAGAATTTCTGCATCCTGGAAAGAAAAATCTTCTTCATGATCTCCCGGTGAAATGTGCATAGATGTTGACCCAAACTTGACTAATAGGATAAAATAAATGCAATACATTTTAACCCTCAAGATTCTTACCTCTCTGTAATATCGTAAGAAGTGAGGCAAAAGAAAATCAAAAACAGAGCCAGCAGATAAAGGATCCGCTAATACAAGCTTTACAAGTCCATGATACAGCACCTCTCTTACTTTTGCCTGAAAGAGTAGGCAATGTGCACAATAGTCACTAATAATTGGCTTAAAGATTAACAATGACATAACGAACAAATGTAATGATTTAAGAAAGGTATACCTGCTGATAGAGGCATCTCTGAAGCAAACCACTGAGTTCTCTAAAAAGACCAGCCTCTTTAATACAGGGTATTTCAGCCTGTTGACTACAACTAGCTTGGCTGCTTGATTCTTGAAAGGAAAATGGTCCATCTTTTATACGTTGCTTTTCTGCCAATATCAAACTAATAATCGAATTGGTTGCAGCAAGACGAACCGAGTCCTCTCTTCTGAACATAGCCTTCCTCAAGACTAAAACCATATAATCCTGAATAGTTCAAGAAAACATGAAGACTGTTTAAACCAAAGAAAAGAAAAGACAGATAGAGACAGGAAATGCTGAGCTTTAAATTGGTAAAAGATGGATTCATTACTTGAAATACAGATAACTAAGACATCATCCAACTTGGAAAAACAAATGCCTTGAGAGTATAAAATTTCAGGAATTCCCCCTTTTCTTTTCTTTTTCTTTTTTTTCTTGCTACTAAGTAATTCAAGTAGTTCATTTTAAAATTACCAAAAAATATTCAGGCTAGTAATAATGGAAGGTGGTCACTTGCCAAAAAGTGACTTCATTGAGAGATTAAAACCAAATACCTGAAGGTCAGGGCTGAATTTTGTTAGAGGCAATAAGACAGATACTACTTGTGAAGAAACCTTGGCATCGGTAAATGTGAAATAATCCAACAATTCCTTGAGATGTGCAACATAATCCAACATTTGGTTTGGGTGACCCTTAATTAGATGTTCAAACAATCTACAAGAAAAGGGGTAAACGCAGAGGAATTATCAAGCTAAAGGCGAAATAAAAAAGGTAATGTTAAAGGAGATTTAAATACCTTAAAATTGGCAAGGCTTGATGTGGCTTCGAGGAGAGTATGCGAAATTTGCATTGCTCAATTATCTGCACAGAAAAGTAGAATGTTCAGATATACAGTGAAGATATAATTAACATGCACAAGACATAGACCCAAATGCAAAAACGGATCATATTGAGGCAGGACAAATATTGCATGCATGTATGTTAACTGAACAAATAAAACCCAGTTTAAATTCCCTGTACGTAAATACAGAACAGCATTCAGGCACCGGAAACAAATCAAAATCACAAAAGAACTTAGTATTCCATAAGCTTGTCCACCTTTTCTTGATCACATTTGTCCAACAACTAAGCAAACATGTAAGATTCATTTCATACAACTACAAATTTTTCATTCTGACCTCCTTTCTTGCCATGTCATGAACCTCAAATGAACTTTTCAACATTTCCATACCCAACTCCTCAGTACCCAATAAGCCATCAGCCTTGCTGAGTCCTTTTTTGCTTCCATCTTCGATTCCTTCAAGCAATGCAAAACCAAATTGCACAATGCTTGGAATGACATGCTCTCTTCCATAATTGCTTTCATTAATCTGTGAGAATTGAAAGGCAAAAACAAAAGAAGTATCGGCCCATTGAAGGATGGCCTCAGATGATACATAAAGATTAAAAGCACAACAAGTAAGCAGTAAGAAAGAAACTGAATAAACGCCAAGAGTAGTGCAGCACATTACATCATTTTTTCCTACACTAGGCATTAGCCAACGATTTCATTTTTATTTGAGTTGAAAAGCTCTTAGCAGTGCTATCTCTTTCCAATTTGTTTCCAATAATGTCTTTAGCTGCAAATTTTTATTCACCAAAAGCTAAGGGAAGCTCAAGATAATTAATTTCTCATTAAACCATGAGGGCCGTGTCTGTGCTCAAGTCAATGATTAGGCATTCACTTACTTTCCCTTCTAAAATATGGACATTATTTCATTTACTTTTCATCTTTTGTGGAACCATGACTACAGAGAAAATGAACAGAGAAAAATAGGAGGAGCAAGTAAAAGTTACAGCTCTTATGATAGCTTTCTCCATCAATTGAGCAATCTTTAGGTACTCTTCCTTCAAATCTTCAGGTAACCACTTGCACTCTCTGAAATACAAATTGGACCTTCATCATTTACGGTTAGCTAGAATGAAGCATTATTGTATCATGGATGAATGTGAAATCAAACATAATTAAATAGGTTCAGAGAACTTCACCTTGCAAACATGTAGTCTTTATAAGCAGAAAGAAGAGTAGTCTTCAAGATTCCAATAGAACTCTCACAAAATCTCCTAACTCGAGCAACCGAAAACAGGACAGAAACTGTAAAATGATTAAATGCCCTAGAATCCAACTTAACTAGACCCAGAACTTCCTGCCCTAAAGAAGGATCCTGCTTCACAGAAAAATTCACATGGAGTAAAACAGTCCCTTCAACTTGTTTTACTATTGAGCTGCCCTTCTTCCCCTGAAATTCATCACCAAAATACATCACAATCCCTTCTATCACTTCCTTCTTACTAAACCCTTTCGACGCCAAAACCAGCAACTGGTAAACCAACCCAGGCAAATCCTGCAACTCCACATCCCTCATCCCATAAAAAATTTTCCCCAAGAAATCCCTTCTTTTCTCTCTATTCAGAAATGAGAATTCCCGGATAATTTCCACCATTTTCACCAAGAACACCTTACTCCACTTCGATTTGATCAGAGTATCAATCACCGAATTTATACACGCGTAAGGTTTCTCAATCTCGTTTGAAACTCTAATCAAGTCAAGGCATTTTGGGAGGAGAATTAGCAACTGGGCATCTTCGGAATCTGATATCTGAGGGGTGTATGAGGTAATAACGTCGATGATTGAGGGTAATTTCGGTACCGGAACGGACTCGAGGTGGGTTGCGAAAAGCTGGATAGTGGAAAGAGAGAAGCGGTCATGTGGGATTTTGTGGGCTGTAAAGAGAGAAGCGTAGGAGAGGAGAAGGGAGGAGAGGAGGGAAGAGAGGGAAGGGTGAAGAAGAGAGAGAGAAATGAGAGCGGCGGCATAATCGGAGACGGCCGGAGCGGGGTTGGGAGAACTGGTAGCTCGAGTTTGAAGGTAGGAAAGGAGCGTTTCATGGGAGGATTCCGAGAGAAGGAACGGCGGAAGTGGAGGAGGTGCGGTGGTGGTGGTGGCTTGGGAAGAGCTGTGACGTTTTTGTTGGGCTAATTGTATTATGTCGGCGTCGGTTAGCGGCGGCGGTGGAGGGCGGTCCGTGGCGGCTGCGGTGGAGGTGGAGGGTTTCATTTTGGCGGTGGAATACTGTGTGACTGTGTGTGGTGGGAAATAAGTAATACTAAATTACATTGGGAATGGCGGGAAATCTCCCGGGAAAAGCTGAACAACTAAAGGCGTGATGCTCAAGCGGGATTATTTACACACAAATTGGCGCCTTTTTAATCTCACCAAAGTTATGAATTTCTTATTTATTATTCATTTTGGTTTCCAATTTCCATCCACAATTAAAATACTACTCCAATCCAATAAATTGACATGATTTGACATTAGCTTTGTTGTTTTGAAAAATTAATCATGGGGTAAAAACATTAATCATGTCAATTTATTGGATTGTTAAATTAATGATCCAACGGTTACATTTAATATAGTATGAATCCAAAAGTGATTTGAGCTAATTAGACCTACAGACTAAATGGTCTACCAGAAGCAAATGACTTTGATTATCAGGATTTTGGTTCTTCATAGCAAAAGAGGTGCCCATCGACGGTAGAACACAAAATTAAGATAGGGCTTCTTTTTGTTCCTCCACTAAAATGATTTCCGGTCTTATTTATATAACACAAAATTAAACCAATTCGTATCTTATAAACATGACCATAGTAACTATATCTAGAATTCTAGATATATGAAATAGTACAAGCTCATTAGAATGTTACTCTTCTTTTTTTATTACTGTTGTAAACGGAATTTATATAACGATTGAAAACGATGATAACTGTATAACTGACCTCACTTAATACGAAAAAGGTGAAGGTCTGTTGTTATTATTGTATTGTGGCAGAGGGGCAAGCAATGCAACTACATGATCTCCATTAGTCATCATTTCCCTTTCTCATACCATCTATTTTATTAGTACTTGGATGGACTATAAAATCATGATTCTTCTGGTTCATTTTATTTTCTTAGGTATAATACAGGAGCACGATGGCCTAGTAATTTAATAAAACATGCATATTTCAAGGATAGTATCCTCTATAATATAATGTTCAACCCCACCTCACATAGTCCGGTGAAAGATCATACCATTACCACCTGTTAATATGAACGAAGTGCAATATATAAAAATATTATTTAATACTCTCTCTGGTCTTTAATATAAGACATTTTAATTTAGTACTAGGTTTCATTTAATACGTATTTTTAATAGACAAAAAAAAATTAAAAATATATTTTCACATTCGTTCTTCATCGTTAGGAAATATTTTTAATATTTTTTTGCAAAATATAAAATCTAAGATAGATCAAAATACTTTATATTAAATACCGGAGGGAATATGTAGCTATCAATAATGACTTTACAATAATAATAGCAATCGATAGTTATCATTACTCAACCATCCCGAAATGAAAAAACTGAAAAAAAATAAAATAAAAACAGGCAAAATAAATTGTCAAACATCTAGAAGTCGACCCCAGGCCTCAACCAATTTTTTTTTTTTTTTTTTGGGTGAGTTTTGGCCTTTTTAATGAGTCAATAATTTGGGATTATGATTAAACTAAGAAATTTATTAGGCAATATCCATTTATTAGTCAATCATTTTGGACTAATAGCCTACCCCACTCATTTATTAGTCAATCATTTATTAGTCAATGTCCAAATTGTTATTGTAAGTCTCAAAACTAAAGTTAATGCATATACTTCCTCCATTTCAATTTGTAGGTCGTTTTAGGATTGAGAGGATTTTTCATAATGTAAGTCGTTTTAGAGAATTTAGGCAAATTAATTATTTTTCTTCCAAATTTACCCCTATTAATGATGACAGATAACCATTAGTTATGCAACTTTGACATTGAGAAGGACTAAAACTCTTCAAACTCTCCTCAATTCCAATGCTAAGCAAACCAAACTGCGGCAATTGAACGACGACAATTTGGAAGACGCATCATCATTCTTTTAGTTTACCAAAATTCAAAGACGCATCACTTTTAGTCATTACCGGAGGAATGGAACTTTTAATAATAATAATAATAAAAGATGCTTTAGATTACTTTTGTTTATGGTTAGTTAGCTGGAACAATAGAAATCTTGGGTGGGTGGAACACTGATATTAGTAATTATAGTTAGCTGTAATATTGATGTTTAACTTGTGATAAAAACTATAAATATTTAATTAAGAGTATAAAAGGGATTTAACACATAATTTCTTTGGAGTATCCAACCAATTTGAAATGGAAGGAGTATTAGATTACATTTTCTCCAATCCCACAAAATACGCTTTATATTCATTATTACAACGACAAATATAAATTTGTTTCGTGACGGAGGAGGAAATAATTACAATATTAATTTTTTTTATTTTTCATATGATCTGGGCTTCTGAAATATGAATGATTTCAGTCAAACCATTCCGGTGCTTCCACCGACGGTACCTGAAGTCCGGCCCTTTTTAAGAAATTGTCAATAAAAGTATAAAACATCACCACCCAGAAAATGGTGTGAAACTGAAGAAATATTCACTAGTACAACAAATTGTTGCCACTTTCATCGTCAACGACGTCAGTCCAAAAATTTGTTATGCTAATTTAATAGTTGGAAAATTCCGCACATTTTTCCCACAACAAAAAAAAAAAAATAAATTAAATTAAATGCTTTGTTTTGTTTTAGATGGAATATTTTGACTATAAACAAACAATGGATGGCGACTAAACTAATTAAACACAGCCTATCACTACTATAAATACTTAGGCATCATTCCTCATTTGTGCATCAAGACTTCAAAGTAAACACATCTTCTCAAGCAAAAACCTTTTGCTATCTTATAACATTTTCTTTTATCCTTACCAAAACCTTTGGAATTATGGGTGCCTTCACACATGATCATGAGGTTACCTCCTCAATCCCACCAGCTAGGTTGTTCAATGCTTTTATTGTTAATGGAGACACACTTATTCCCCAAGTCTTACCTCAAGCTATCAAGAGCGTCGAGATCCTTCAAGGAGATGGCGGTGCTGGAACCATCAAGGTCGTCTCTTTTGGTGAAGGTCCGTACATATAACATATTTTCCACAATATCAGATGTCAATAAATACTTTTTCTGTTTCAAAATAATATTTGAATAAATAAGATTCTATTTTTGAAACATAAAGAGTAAATTATAAAAGTATTATAACTTTATTGTATTCTTTTTGAAGTGTGGCATCTGTATTATTTTGGTACGATGAAACTAACGATCATATGCTATTAAATTATGGCTTGTGTACTTGGAAAACAGGTAGCCAATTCAAGAGCGTGAAGCAACATGTGGATGCACTAGACAAAGAGAATCATGTCTACAAATACAGTGTGATTGAAGGAGATGCTTTGCAAGGTGCGGTTGAAAAAGTGTCTTATGAAGTTCAAATTCTCCCTTCTGGTGAAGGATCTGTTTGCAAGACCAAGAGCACATATTACCCTAAGGGAGATGCACAAATCAATGAAGAGGAAATTAAGGCTGGGAAAGACAAAGCCGGTTTAGTCTTCAAGGCTGTTGAAGCTTATCTCATTGCCCACCCCGAGGTGTACTAAAAGTCAATCTCAATTTGCTACCCAAATTGGTCATTAATTTGATGTTTTAATTTGCTTCATATTGTGGCTCTATTTCTCTCTTTCTTTCCAAGACATGGATAGTATTTTCGTGATAAATAAAACCCACTAAGTTGTAGTGGTGATGAAATGATTTTTTCTTTGTTACTACTATATTGCAAAATTAAAATCTTCCTATTTATAAACTACTGTATCTAAAAAAAAAAAAAAAAGCACAGTATCTTTTCTATTCCATAGTGCTGCTGGTATACAAGTCAATTTCACCGAAGAAGTTGGAATAGGAACTCACAATTTGTGGATGAATATGAAAATATATCAGTCGAATGGTTAATTTAAAGGGAATAAATCATTTCAATTTTCAAGCGATACATAAATGCCCCGAGTTTTGGTAATCGAAGAAGTTGGAACAAAAATGCGAACTAATGCAAAAAGGCTTGGAAGCCTTGGAGAATCCTTCTACTGAAAGTATAGTATCAGTAGCTTCATAAATGCATAATCATCTGCTACTTTTTTTTTTTCCATATAAATTAGGAGGCAAAATGCCTGGATTACCTATACTATTACATTCTGGGGATAAAACGGTTCCTGCAGTATCATGGTGCAGATGCAAAGTTCGCCCGACCTTAAATTCACACTCCATTCTCTCTGCTAAAGTCAGTCTTGTATTCCTTATATATATCAACGGATAACATCACGCGCTCTTAGATGACAAGATTTGTAGCGTGCCATCGCTTAAACAACTAAGCAACTCCGTGTTTGAGATGCGCGAATACTTCACATCACGAATTGGATGATGTGCGGAGGACTTGATCCGCTGAACAGACTTAAAGTGGGCAACTCTTGCAAGACTAGGTCACACACGGCTTCATCTGCGGCTGCAAAACACTGAGTTCTTGCCGATACTTGTGTCAATCACAGCAGATCTTGGTGGTCTACCGACACTTACATTGGCACAAGTAGATCCCAGCTTCTGATATCCTGAAGTGCTGTTAGTAGTAGGAGCAGCTTTCCTGTAATGAACATGAAGACCCTGCACTACTTGGCCTTCCAAGGGATTGTAGGATGGCGAAAGGCGTATGGGCGCTGCCTCTTGCATTTTTGGACGGAATGAAGCAACAATATCTCCACATTCAGGACCATAAGCAAGTGATACACAACCCCCCCGGCCTAACGATTCAGGTGTCAGAAAACACCGGTTTTCGCCACAGCTGCTGAAGCTCAAATGGCATAACCGGCAGTAGAGGCGGTTAGAACAGCAGCTGAATTAGTTGAAATTGAGCGTATGGTATGAACAGGGTGGCTTGAACACCGATCGAGGAATACACATGCCTGGAAGTTTGACGCAGATCATCAAACAGAAAACCATGCCATTCTGTAAACCCGCGTACAAAAAACGCGGGTCGTAGACATCCCACGAACACGACCAAGCACCAGTTGGTAAATCATATGCAAGAACAGGAGCCCTGTTGTTACTTCCCGTGCTGAAAACAGACACTTTCTTCTCCTGAGAAGCCAAAAGCACTAATCTGTCGTGCGGCGAAACACGGAGATCCTTGACGAATTTCGTGTTGGCAGGAAGCTGAAAATTGTCTGCCCGATCATGAGAAGCCAGTAAGCTTATCTTGCTAAGGATAATTGTTCCTCCCATTCCCGAAAGCATTCGCGCAACTATCAACGATTGATTATAAACATCCACATCAAACAATCGAGCTCCCTCAATCCGTAACTCCTGCCGTAACATAAACCTAGTAGTAGGACTTCCTTCGTTAACATAACTCAGTCGTCATCGTTGTTGTTGTAATAATTCTGAATTCCTTAATTCTGAAGCTTTCAAGGAACCCTCTAAAGAATCTACCTTCTCCCTAAGATATTGCATCTGTGAATCTAAACCGAGTTTTCTCCTTTTCCATTCTTCCTCCTTCCTAGACCAATCTGCATCCCTTTTCCCCAAAGCTCTCACATTCAGATTCCAGAGATCCAACTTGTTTCTGCAACTCGTGATCAACACCAACGATTCGAGACGCGTAAAGGGTTCGAATCTCTGATGTTTTTGCACTTGGTATTGCATTGAGGGCACTTGGCTCCATTGCCCCCAAGTTGATTCAGCCATTTAGTGATAGCAAGATTTGCCTGCCATAGATGTGACCACATGGAATACAACAAACTTGATGGTCACCGCCGGTGGTCCAATACTCCATACAAATACAGCAAAATATCCCATCATTCTGATCATCTTTTTCTTCAGGTTTATGAGCATCCATTGGTGCTTTCCTCTTCCCCTCCTCCCCTGTTCTCCTTCTCATGGGTTATTTACTGATGGTCTTGTAATTGGTTTTTGGAAAATCCAATTAATTTCTAATTTATTAAAAAGAAAAAAACGAAATAATATTACCAATTACGCGTCGACCGAGAAATTCTTCTTTTCTGATTTTTCTCCACCAAGAAGAAGATTCTTTCCTTTCTTTCCATTCCAAATTTACAATTCCCCATGTTCATAACAATCAGTAAGCCCCAAATCCTCGGTTCGTGGGCTTACGATTCTTCTCTTCAATCTCATAATCCGATCCATAACTGTATTCTTCTTTGGAGATCCATCCATTCCACGATCATGGTCTTGACCGCCGCCTCGAAAGTCTCGAGGTTGACGATCGTACAATTCATCCTCCTCGTCGCCGTCGTGTTTCTCTCCCCCACCGTCCGTTCATCGTCGCCGGAATTCGATCCGTTACGGCTACCTACGGACAACGACGGCGGTGATGATTCTCATATTTGCCCTCAATCTGCGGGACCGGATTCTTGCCCGGTCAGGTGTTTCCGGACCGATCCGGTTTGCGGCGTTGACGGGGTGACCTATTGGTGCGGCTGTGCGGACGCGCATTGTGCTGGGACCCGGGTCGCTAAGCTGGGGTTTTGTGAGGTCGGAATTGGCGGCTTCGGCTATGGCTCCGGCGCCGGCTCCGTCACCGGCCAAGCCCTGTTGTTGGTGCACATTGTTTGGCTCATCTTACTCGGCATTTTTGTCTTGTTCGGCTTTCTCTGAATCTGGCGCCACCCTTTTAAATCCTTTTTGTATCGATCAGATCTTATAATCATTTAAGTAAATCATTCTAATTTACTGTTGTATTATTCTTTTTGTATCATCAATTATTCACTTTTACTTTCATTGAATTTTGTAACTCAAAAATTGTTAGTACCATTAACAAATCATAGTGGACTGTTAGTCAAAACAGGAGTATAACAATATGATCCAATTTCTATTTCTTGTAAGGTTTTCCTCCAGAAGTGATTTCGGATGCATATATTATGTACTCAATTATGTACTCAAGTGGAATGAAATAAGGAATTGAGTGTTAGTTTCGTAGTTCGAGAGTTAGTACCTTTAACCGTGAAATTGAGAATCCAATTTCTAGTTTGGTCAAATAAGCAGGAAGCATGCCATCATTGACGGCGGAGTACACGAGTAAAGTATCCTTAAGAGTATTACTTTGCTCCGATAATCTCTATTCTATTATAATAGTTTAGACATCTCTAAACAGCAATATGTATGGTCTAAAAAAATAAAATAAAATAATTAACTTGAAATATATCCATATATTAATTACCAAAACCAAATCCCGTTCCAATAGAATTCCAAAAACAAATTAAAAACCTAAAAACAAAAAGAATCACCGAAAAAGGATGTTGTCCTAACCGACTCATAATTATGAGAAACCCTAATACAATTAGGAATTAAGAACTAAGAAGGATGATGACCTAAAAAGACTATATAAATATAATCACAAGCGAGAATAGTGGATTCCACGTCAAAGTACTACCATCCATAAAATTTTACCTTCTCCCCTACTAATTAAGCAAAATTTGCTTCTAGCCTTAAATCCATTCGTGCTATATATATATATATAGAGAGAGAGAGAGAGAGTTTAATTACAATGTCAACTGCTTCATCATCAAAGGAGACGATCGTCTTAAGATCATGCGACGGGGAGGAGTTTAAGGTCGGAAAATCCGTAGCAGCCGGATCCAAAACAATCAAGCACATGATCGAAGACGATTGTGTTAGCGAAACCATCCCTGTCCCAAATGTCACCGGCGAAATTCTGTCCAAAGTCGTCGGATATCTCAATCGCCACCACCATGCTAGCGTGATTATCAGCGAGGCGGCGGAGGATGATACGAAAATAGAGGAAGAGGAAGCCTTGGAGGATTTCGATTCAGAATTTGTGAAAGTTGATAGAAAAACTCTTTATGACTTGATCATGGCCGCAAATTATCTGGATATCAACGATTTGTTGGATTTGACTTGCAAAAGTGTGGCTGACATTATCAAAAGCCATAACAACGTCGATGACATTCGCGCGGATCTCAACTTTTAAGGATAAATTCACCCCTCCAGATGAAGAATAGACAAAGAACTCGACGAGAATAGGGTGACAAATTTTGCGTGAAATTTTTACATTATTAGTTTGTTTGATTTTTTGGCGATTTAGTTTGTACTCTTTTACATTATTATTATTATTACAATCAAATAGTGGAAAATTTAATTTCCAAATTCTTTTTTAAAAAAGTTATATACTACAAGATTGATGGTCTTATAAAGTTCTATTGTTGCTACGAAAAAATGTGTAAAAAAAAACCTAATGCTGTAGCTGTACAAATCACTAAATTTGTTTCATCCTATATAGTAACTGAAGTCCGTGTAAGATTACAAATTCGACTGGCTCCAAGCTTCGTGGTTACATTGTGGGAAAAAAAACGTTTATCCACTGGCACAAGAAGTTTTCAGCTGATTATTTTTTAATAAATAAAAAAAATTATGACCCTTCATAATAAAAAAGAAGGTCATTGGCTGTCCCAATTATGAATTATCCTCCCAAAACCCGTTTACATTGTTACAGGCCTCAGACTTTACATCAGGTTTAGAATTTGGCCCAAAATTCAAATAGCAATATGCTCATGGAGTTATGGTATGATATAAAAACAAAAATTTACTCGCTTCCTCTCAAATAATTATCATTCTTGTTGGACGTTATTATATCAACATTATAGATACAGTAAGGCATATATGGGAGTAACATCAACGTGCATTCTTTGGGATCTTCATTTGGACAAGAAGATTGGTGTGCATTGCACAATTAAAAAAAAGTGAGAATATATGGTGGAATATTACACTTGTTTAAGAAGTTTTGTAGGGAATGAAAATTACGAAACTGATAAAAACAAATGACATCCAAAATTCTTTTTACAAGGCATAGTTTTAAATAAAATCTGTTTCAAGTTGTACCTCGTAACTACAATCAGAGAATTAAATGTGAAAAACATAAGGAAAGTATTATGGTGAACTCTAAGTTCTTATAAGTAAAACCCTTAGAAGGGGGAAAATGGAAAACCTTTTCCTCATAATACTATCCCAAAATTATGCTAAAAAGAGAAGGTAGTCTAATTTTGGATAATATTAAAATAAAATTTGCAACTAGTGAATTTTCTTTTTTTTTTAAAAAATAATAATTGAGAGCATTGGAAGATGTGAAACATCGGGAAAACCACCTTCCATGCCCATACACAGATACACTTATTCCATTTTTTAGAATTATTATTTATTAAATATTAGGAAAATAAGGATATTCACAACTTTATTTTTAGTATCATTGAGAATAAGAACTAAAAGGATATTTACCAAATAAATAATAAAATTTGAAAAGCCAAAGTCCGCCATAGGGATGCGTAACTAACTTTGTCTAGGACATAAAAAATATTGAATAATTGATGTTTCAATTGAATTTCCTTTGTCCCATACCTCATGAACATTTCCAACTTTATTTTATTTTAGTTAATGTTAAAAAATGCACTTGTAAAATAATCTTATAAAAACACTAATGTCTAGTTTCTCCTTTTTTATTATTTTTTTATAAAAAAAACACAGACTCGCTTTGTAATAATAATCAACAAACTACTATTAGTTGGTTTTCACGAGATTCATGATCCAAGTAGACCCAATATTTTTCTTCTTTTTAATTTAATCTAGTTAAAAATGTCTTTCAGCACCAAAATCAAAATTTCATCTCCAGCGGAGATGTTATGGTTTAAACAAATATACTTATAAATTTTGTAATATTATTTTTTTTGAAACATATTGTAGTATTATTTTGATTAGAGGAGAAGAAGAAGAATTTCTTATATGTCATCCTTTAAACCCTTCCGTTCCATTTTAATAGAAATTAATTTATTGTACTGATAGTTTATTTTTTAAAAGGTATATGTATATTAGTTAAGAAAAAGTATATCCTAACGCATTCTACAGCAGCATTATATATATGTAATTATGTAATGCTAAATTATGCTAAACTATGCTCAATTCCCCTACATATAGTATTATTTTATGCAAGAAAAAAAAGAAAAAGAAAATACACATCATTATCTAATCCGTGAAGACTGCCTGAGTTATCTTACAGAAACAAACGACCCCTTACGTCACTCCGTATTCAGTGCCCACACGACACCTCTTTTTTGCCTTCTAAAATAAGCACTCTTTAATAAATATCATTTCCATATATAAATAACACGTACCCCTTTTTCCCATTCTGATTGCTTCTTGGATGAATTTTGGGTTTTTTTCTCCCAAGTCTTTTCTGGAGTATAATTAATATAACAAGATCAAATTTTTGTTGAAGAAAGGAGGAAAAAAGAAAAAGAGGGAAAATGAGTAGCAGGAATCCGAAGGGAAGGACAACGATTGAGGTTGGAGCTGATGGGGTGGCGGTGATCACTATCATTAATCCTCCTGTCAATTCTCTTTCTTTGGACGGTAATTTTTCTTGGTTGTTTAAATTCTTCGTTTTGGATCTCTGGAAAAAAATCCCACTTTCCCAGCCCCTCTGTTTTGCTTCAAAGTTTGAGTCTTTATGTGAGTGATTTGTAAAAATTATGTCCAACCTATCACTTTTGTGTTTGATTTGTGTGATTTTAGTTTCTGGGCTGTCCCTTCAAATTCAGCCATTGTTGCAGATATAAGAGTTGTGAAAGCTTAAATTTGATGTTTTTCTGTCTTCCTTGTTTGAATGGTTAATGTTGCAGTTGCTGTTGAGATATGATCACTAGGAGGTCGTGCTTGTTTGATGAATTGTCGAAATTGTGATTGAATTTGAGGACATTTTTGGGTAGTTATTGTAATATGAATGGAATCATTAGCTTGCTAAATCGATTTTTCACTTCATTAACAGTAGCTGCACCACTCCAATTTTACAGGCTTACCGCATAGTTTATTGTGTATGGATTTATGTTTCACTATATTCATGTCTGGTCAATGTGTTTACAGTATAGAACATCTTTTCACATTTTGAACCACATGATTATTTTTGCGAAAAATTCTTGTAATTGTGTTGCTCAGTTTGGGCTTTGAATTTTGAGTCCTTTCGTTTATGCACTTCCAGCAGACAGCTTAAATAACTTGCTTCTGTCTTTTTAGTGTTGGACAGTTTAAAAGAAACGTATGAACAAGCTCTGAGAAGGGATGACGTAAAGGCCATTGTCATTATAGGTAACCGTCATGATATTTGATTGTTGAAAGCATTGTGTATATATGATGTTCCAAAGCTTAAACTTTGTGATGCATGGGCAGGTTCGAAGGGGAAGTTCTCTGGTGGTTTTGATATTAGTGCTTTTGGTGCAATTCAGGAAGGGAGAGGTATCCATTGCTTCTTTGTTTTGTGCTGTTGTTGTGGCGCATATCCAGGTCTTCGCTAACCTTAACTTGTCTCCTTCTCAGTGCCAGCGCCTAAACCTGGTTATGTCGCAATTGAAATTCTAAGTGATACGGTGGAAGGTATGTTTTTGAATTTGTTCTCTTTTGTTTCAGGCTTTCAGTAGTGTTTTTGTGCTTTATTGCTTATTAAATCTCCTTTGCTTCCAGCTGCCAGGAAACCATCTGTCGCGGCTATTGATGGCCTTGCCTTAGGTGGAGGACTAGAGGTTGCAATGGTATGTAAATGCTGCTTGTTGTGAGTTTAATTAACTTTGTTCTGATTACGTTGAGTTGAGTTTTATTATCTATCTCTATTTCAGGCTTGCCATGCTCGTATATCTACTTCTGCTGCACAACTAGGCTTACCTGAGTTGCAGCTTGGTATACTTCCTGGTTTTGGAGGTATGACAAGAATTTTGCCTTTACTGTGATCACTCATGTATTTGTTAGTGTTTGATGCATGAATTAGAAAAGAAAGATGATGTATTTTGTCTGTCTCTAGTGATAATGAAAAGTTGTGTGTAACAGGAACTCAGCGCCTTCCTCGCCTTGTGGGTCTTGCTAAGTCCCTTGAGATGATGCTGGTAGGATATATTGTGGCCTTGCAACTTTGATGTCTATCTTTTGGTAAACTTGGGTTCGGTTGTAATTTGTTTGTTTCTTTTCTCAAATGTAGACATCAAAGCCTGTAAAAGGTGAAGAAGCTCTTAATTTGGGCCTCGTTGATGCAATAGTCCCACCAGATCAGCTACTAGCTACTGCTTGTCGCTGGGCACTTGAAATTTTAGAACGCAAAAAACCCTGGGTTGCCAGCCTTTACAAGACTGATAAATTGGAGCCCCTTGCTGAGGCAAAGGAAATTTTAAAATTCGCTCGTGCCCAAACTCGCAGACAGGCTCCAAACCTCACTCATCCACTGCTTTGCATTGATGTTGTGGAGGAAGGTATTGTTAAGGGTCCTCGTGCTGGTCTGCTGAAGGTATTTTTCTGGCTTGCATTCATTTTTTTTTAATTTCAAATATGAATCAGACTACATATAATGTATGTCATTGCACATTTGTGGCAGGAAGCTGAAGCATTTCAAGTTCTTCTTCATGGGGAGACTTGCAAGAGTTTGGTTCATATTTTCTTTGCTCAACGTGGAACAACGAAGGTAAAGCTAAATATCAGCACCTTGTGTTCGAATGCTTCTATTTGTTTGGATATGAAAATTCCAATATACTGCATTGAACAAGTTTCAAGCACGTAATGAGCTTCTTTTCTGCCCTGTGCTTGATTTCCGTGAAACTTGTAGAATTTGATTGCTTGAGCTTTGAAAACTTGGCAAACTGTATTATTTTATCCGTCCTTGGAAGGATATCTTTGCTGTCATATTAAGATTCTTCATGGTAAAATTTGAAAGACGTGAGTAATGGATTTACGTTCAGCACCAAAGGTATTCCAACAACCTTATTCTCAATTCTGTTCAGGTTCCAGGAATCACTGATAGAGGGTTGACTCCCAGAAAGATAAAAAAGGTCGCAATTCTTGGTGGCGGATTAATGGGTTCTGGAATAGCTACAGCACTCATCCTCAGTAACTATCCTGTGCTCCTAAAAGAAGTCAATGATAAATTTCTACAGGCTGGGCTTGGAAGGGTGAGAGGTATGGCTGACTCTAGCCTCTGCTGTAGTAGTATTCAAAATATGAAATGATATAATCTCACGGATTTTATTTTACCACCAGCCAATCTGCAGAGCCGTGTCAAGAAAGGAAAGATGTCTGAGGGAAAATTTGAAAAGACTCTGTCTTTGCTCAAAGGTGTCCTTGATTACAAGAGCTTCCGGGATGTGGATATGGTCATTGAGGTATAATTATTTTTGGATATCTTAGTACCCGATGCGCCCCATTGTCATATGATCTATCCATTTGTTTTGTTATCTTGTGTTGCTGATGTTGTTACTTTAAATGCAGGCTGTGATTGAGAACGTCTCCTTGAAACAACAAATATTTGCTGATTTAGAGAAATATTGCCCTGCTCATTGCATACTTGCAAGTAACACCTCCACAATTGACTTAGACCTAATTGGAGAGAAGACCAACTCTCATGATAGGATCATTGGAGCTCACTTTTTCAGGTAAAATTAGGAAACCGTTATTTAATAAGCTCTCTCTCTCTGGGCCATTCTTGTAATGCCACTTTTTGCGTGTTGGTCAATGCAGTCCTGCTCATGTGATGCCTCTTCTGGAAATTGTTCGTACCCAAAGGACCTCTCCTCAAGTTATTGTGGACTTATTAGATGTTGGAAAGAAAATAAAGAAAACTCCAGTCGTGGTGGGAAATTGCACAGGTTTTGCTGTTAATAGGATGTTTTTCCCTTACACTCAAGCAGCCCTCTTGCTTGTTGAACGTGGAACGGATGTTTATAAGATTGATAGGGCTATTACCAAATTCGGAATGCCCATGGGACCTTTCAGGTGACAATTTATATTTATTTTTTGTCAAGTGTAACAATGTTTTCCGCGGTCTAGAGGCATTTTACTGATGAGTAGCTCTGCTGCATTGCAGGTTGTGTGACTTGGTTGGTTTTGGTGTTGCCATTGCAACTGGCTCTCAATTCGTGCTGAATTTCCCAGAGAGGACTTATAAGTCAATGCTGATTCCTTTAATGCAAGAGGATAAGAGAGCTGGTTAGATCTCCAATCTCTATTGTCTAGTTACGAGTGTGGGGTGCCGTATATTGAAACTCTTACAAATGTGTCACATTGCAATCTTTTGTTGAAATGTTTAAGTTGCCCTGTGCTTTTATTAGGTGAAACTACTCGCAGGGGGTTCTATGTCTATGATAACAAACGTAAAGCCAACCCCGATGCAGAATTGAGCAAATATGTTCAGAAAGCAAGAGAAATGTCTGGTGTTACTGTAGACCCTAAGGTTTGTGACGTTCTTCCCCAGTTGTTATAATGCTTTTAACAGATGCTTAGATGCGCCTTAACTCTGACACTTTACTTGTCTGTAGTTGGCAAAATTATCGGACAAGGATATTGTAGAGATGATATTCTTCCCCGTGGTGAATGAGGCATGCCGTGTCCTTGCTGAAGGTATTGCTGTCAAAGCTGCCGATCTCGACATTTCCGCCGTCATGGGAATGGGATTCCCACCTTACAGGTTCGATAACTTTGTAGATTTAGGGTTTCAGGTTATTGCCACAGCTCGTGGCAAGTACATTAGATTGAGTGCTGTAACTTGTAAGATTGTCAATTTGTAAGTGGATTTTCGTTTTGCAGGGGAGGGATTTTGTTCTGGGCTGACACTCTTGGATCCAAATACATTTACTCGAGATTGGATGAATGGTCGAAGGCATATGGTGGATTTTTCAAGCCCTGTGCATACCTGGCGGATAGAGCTGCAAAGGGTGCTCCTCTGGTAAGAAACCGTATTTTATAATATTTGTAGCAATTCATTCCTGTTCATCCTGTTCAACTGTACCCTTTTTCCACACCATCACATCCCTCCGCAAACTTAGCCTTGCTTTCTGATGAAACTAAAACGACGATTATGCAGAGTGCAACCGACAATCAGGCTTTGTCTCGTCTATAAGACCGACCAGCCACTTTTCATCTGCCGCAATGCAGAGAATTTGGCAGCTGGAACATCTCATTGCAATATTCATGCATTTTGAGTCTTGATTATTGTATGGTTTACTGGAGGAGAGATTTGCGGATGAAGTACTTAATAATGTTAATTACATAAAGAACGCTGGAAACTTTCTAAATAAAGACACTTTTTGAAGCAAATGTCAATCAATATATATATCCGTAGCTTTCTGAATTTCTGTATGTTTTGAAACTCTTTATTTTTTTTTACACCAATTAGTGTTCTCTCTGATTCCTTCCATCTCAAAGTAAAAAGAGATCCTGGTTATATTTTAACTCATTTCCCATAATTTTAATGATTTTCTACAGTCCTGACGAAGTTTTGGATTCAGTACGAACTGAAGCCCAAGATGGTCATATTTTTTTTTTGTACAATTCCAAAATTGATTTTCCCTTCAATACAAGCTTTTGGCTGTTCAAGTCATCAGATCACAATTTGGTTCATATAATAATCATTGATGAGTTTATGATTTAGTGGAATACTATTACGAAACTTTTTCAAAATTATTGTCTCCTCACCGGAGGAAGGAGATCGGAGGTTGAGACGACGGTTACCACCGCCAAGAGAAAGAGAAAGAAAAAACGATGCTTCTAGAATTAGGAAGAAAAATATATTTTTGGTAAAAAGGAATTAATTAACATAACCTTTGTTCTGATGACTATTTATATACATATGACAAAGCTGACAGCTATTTACACATAACTCCTAGTACTATCACATATGTACACGATCAGCTTAAATAATCAAATCATAAGTACTGGATTTCCTTATGCATAAGCGGGTCTGGTTCCTCCGTCTTTCTGTTGTTTATCATCTCCGTCCAAAAATATTTACTCCCTTCTGTCTCAAAATTATTGTCTTCATTTTTACAATTTGAATCAAAAATGAAAACTCAAACTGCACAATAATTATGGGACGGAGCGAGTAAACGAGTAAACAAAAGAGAGAAGTAAATGAAAATGCAGTTGGTTGGTGGTCCTAAGTGTGAATATGATTTAACACCGGAAAGATGGATGGAATCCGATACATATTAACCGGCTAAAATGCTAAATATTGTAAATATATGATGTAATTAATCCTCTCATTAGTACACTACCAATACAATATTAACTCAAAATAAATGGTTGAAAATGGAACAAGAACAGAAAAAAGAAAACAACAGGGGGGAATAGAATCAATTTGTGAACGTGTGACAATCTCCACGAACTGGATTGCACATGGTCTAAATTCATTATTTTCATCTAACACTGCCATTTTTTTTTAATGAAGAAATCGTTCACACTTCTAGCCTTTTTTTTTTTCCCCCTTCTTCTTCTTTTTTATTATTCTTCGAACAAATAATCCAACAAATAAGATGTGAATGAACGCGTAAATGCCTAACCAAATATGTAAAAAATCATAAATTTAAACTCATTGTATTAAAATTGTTCTATATAGGTTTTATATTCCCATGGGAATGGGATCATCCATATAATTAGATATGACTAAAACGTACTAATAAAAATAATAATTACATCGAATGTGTTGTGTCGCGTTGAGTTATTTCTATAAAGTGAGTTAACGTGTTAAACTCTTACCAGATACAAATTATCTTAAACTCCTCTTCCAATTACAAAAAAAAAATAAAAAATATTAGGGACGGTGATTAAATTAATTGGAACAAAACCACTCAAAATTGAACACAGAAAATCAAAGGAGTTAATGACTTAATGTGGTTCTAAATTGGATTGATCCAACAAACATTGTTGTATCAAAGCTGGAGTGTAGTCTGCAAAGATGACAAACGATAGCATTTTGGACCACAAGAAAAAAGCTGTAAAAACTCCAACTATTTAAACAATTAATCAACCTTCGGGTCACGAGGGCTTTAGAGTTTAAGAAATAAGAAGAGACACAAACAACTGTTTTATCCCCAATTTGTCTGAAGGAGGGCTTTTTTTTAAAATTTTTTTTTACCTTAATAGACCTCTCTTAAATGTATTAATCTTGACAGCAAAAAATAATTTACATGCAATCAAAAATATCGTATAATATACTAACATCGTTTTAGAAAAATAATTCATTTTATTGAATAAAATCATTCATCCATCTCATTACATTTACTTGATTAATTTTTCAATTTATAAGGTACTTGCCAAAACATTTCTCAATTCTCCTAACATTATCTAAAAAAATATAATTTTTTATTCAAACAAAATTCTTTTCGCTGAAAGTTCTTTATGTTGTAACAGCACAATTTTGATATCTTCATCCTCTCATCAGTCTTATTCATCCTTCTGTAAAAACTGTTTTTGTAGGACAGTATGAACGTGTGTAATCTAAATCAAATTAATAAAAAATAATGATAATAATAAATAAAAATATCTCCAATTGATTTTCTTTAGCAAGCTTGGCCAATGCCCAATTTATGTCGTTTTATCTTGTCTCGTCTAATTATTTTGGATTACTGTTACTTATTAATTCATTGAAAATGACTTATCAATAGCTGATATTATTATTCACAAAATAGATAATCAATTAATCACATTAAAATTATCGTATTATACAAGAAAATAGAACCGGGAAAAAAAATTGTGCACCAAACGAAAATAAATGGAGGGTCGATGTATATGAGTAAATGTATCTTTCTTTTTTTAGCTACATTTTGCTTCTGGTTTTTAATTAACTAATAAGACTTTTACAATAAATTGTTGAAGTCGGTTGGCTGTTGAGTTCTGCAATTTCAGCTATTTATTAACCATCACTGTTCAGTTCTTTACTCGAAGCATTATTTATCCACTGCACTGCTATCTCTTGTTGCAATATGCAAAAATGATAATTAGTATTAAGAGATTTTTATTAGGTTGATGCAGCGTTTAATATAATGAATTTGATCGATAGTTATAATATTTTTTGAAAAATATAATATTTTTTTTATAATGCTGAGAACCTCACTGTAATAGTCTGCAAATCACAATGGGAGATAAACTACCCTAGGTATACCCGGGATGACAAGCTCGAAAGTTCATTTGAGAATATTTGCTTTTGTGATCTCAAATTAGACATTGCTTTCGAAAATCATTATAAATCGTTTATCATTGACTGTATTATTCAGCCGATGATATTATAAGTTTTTTTTTGTTATTCTGGTTAACTGACTATACATTTCTTCGTCCAAAAATTGGGTAAAATTTTCGCCTAGTTCTCAAACTTTCTAAACTGCAAACTCCAATGAATCTTTTGGCTGTTTTAACACGAAAGGCAAAAATAAAACAACTACACAAATAGCCATAATTGTAGTAACTCCAATGGCGATTCACTTGAAGAACTGGTAAAGAAGAAAACTCATAAAGTCCAAAAAAACAAACTTGAAAATGGTAAAAAACCAGTCTTAAATTCCCTTGGGAGCTTGATGGATTAGAATAGACTTTTAGCTAAAATAGAAAAAAAAAAAAAGAAGAAGCTATTTAATTATAGTAAATTTTGAACGGTTTTGCAGAAAGAAAGACGAAGAAAAAGCAGAGTCTAGTAAACAGAAAACAGTACGTAGAATATTGGCTGCATGAATCAGAAATCAGAGATTCCTCTTTTTCTCCACAATCCAATTCACTATTAATTCTAGGTCTTTTTAGTAATATAATACTAATAAAATTCTTAATTGATGGAATTAAATAAAATACAATAAATCTGTTGTTGTTGTGCTGTTGTGTTGTGTCTGTTTGGACAAACTTCTTAGCTGCCTGGTCAGAGATTCTTCCTTACGAGGGCTCTAGATTGTTAACCTTACAGAGCTCCATGAATGGACCGTTTAATAGTATCATTATTGTCCAAAGATTGACGTATTTAAATTAATTAAAATCGTTCAACAAATTACATTACCTTGTAAAAAAATTAAGCGGTCGAAATTCGTTTCCAACCTATACTCAAAGTTATACTGCCTCCGTTCCAAAATTATTGACCAATTTGGACTTTCATTTCTACTGTAAATTATACTAAAAGTAAAATTTCAAACTAAATGATAATTTCAAGATGAAATAAATAAGCGTAATTAGAAGTTTTAAACTACATCCTAAAACGAACATATATAAAACATTAATAATATCATCAAATATGAGAAGATGAAATTCAGGTCCTGTTTGTTCAATTCTCATTTTACCTCTTAAGAGACCTCTCAAACACAAAATTCAATACTATCCAAATAACTTTTTAACTTGTCTTTTAAAAAATATTCTAAAAATTATTTTTACAGAATTTTCGTCCACCACCACCGGACCACCTCCACCATCGCCCGCCACTGTCAGATCGCCCCTTGACGCCGCCGGACCGTCGTCGGCCAACGACCGAATGGCCAAATTCCAACGAGTTGGCCAGAATTTGACCGGAATCCAGCGGCAGAGATTGATGATAGAGTTGGTCGGTGGTGGTAAAAAAATAATATTATTTTAATAAAAAATCTATCCAAATAATATTTTAAAATTTTTTCTCCAAACATATTTTAAATCACATATCAAATTCAAACCAAAAAAAAAACCAAGTCAAAAGACAAAATGAGATGTTGGCAGTATAAGCCCCAATTTTTTTTGGCAATAAGTTCAAAACCTAACTTCTTCAATAAACACAACAAACTTTGTGATAAATCGAAATAAGAGAACCAATTGTAATATGGGTAACTAATAAATTCTAAAACTGTCGACCTTTAAAATGAACCACAAATACCAGCTATCGTGGTCATCGACTCATAGACGGATCTTCTTGTCTAATAAAAACAGTTGAAATATAAAAATCTTTTTTAGCCTTAGTTAGCTAGGATGAAGAATGAGGAAAAGAGAAGAGGGTTATTTGTTTGTCTTGTATTGATTAGATTAAATAATTATATATAGTAGTATAAAAAATAAAAACAAGTCAGGATTCCACGTGCTCCTGGGGACTCTCTCCCTTTCTTCTCTATATACTATTTTCCCCACAACCCCACCATTTTCTTAACTTACTTTAATGCATGTTTTTTGCTTCCATTAACTCCATCAACCCCATACACCCCTTTGACCATCTTCCTCTGTTTCTTCTCCTCACTCTTCTTCTTTCTCTCTGTATTACACCTGCCATTTTTCTCAGCTTTCATCATTGAACAGCTACATTGTAGCATTTTCCCATCAGAAATTTGATCCCTTTTTATGTGTTTCATCCACCGTTAAGATATTAGAGTTTCAGCCCCAATAAAAATCCAATCTTGGTTGGTTCTGTTTTTTGTAAAGATACGTTTTTTAGTTTTTTGCGATTCATTGTTTTGGAGTTTTGGGTTGGAAAGAAAAGAGAGAAAAATGGTGATGGAAGTTGTTCAAGAAGATATGGGGGATGGTAGCATGCAATGCACAGACCATCCATATAAAAACAGCACCCCAGGTGGGATCTGTGCCTTTTGTCTTCAAGAGAAGCTTGGGAAGCTTGTTTCTTCCTCATTCCCTGTTGCTGTTTTCCCATCTTCTTCTTCTTCCTCTTCATCCCCACCTTCATTGAGATCTGAGTTTGGTCATGGTGGATTAGGAGGCAGTATGATAAACCCTTCTTCTTCTTCTTCTTCTTCTTCTGCATCAGCTCTTGCACTCCGCCCTTCCCACCATAATGTTTCTTCTTCTTCTTCCACTAGCTTTAACCATGTGGTGGGAGGAAACAGGATTAATGACTGTGATTTTAGTACTAGTACTAATGGTCAGTACTATTCCAGAAGATCCAAGATGCCATTTTTATTGTCTCAGAGAAGGAAGAAGAAGAAGGATTATAATCATCATGCTGCCATGGGAATGGGGGTTACTAGTTCAGATGCAACATCAACAACCAGCAGCATTGTTTTCAAGAGGAGCAAATCTACAACAACTCCAAGAAGAATAGGAGGCATTCATAATTTCTTGGATGAGGAGGAAGAGGATGCTTATGCAAATGATGCTGCTGATGATTATAGTCCCCACAAGAATAAAGGGTTCTGGTCATTTCTCTATTCCTCTAAGCATTCTGCATCCAAGAAAGGTTCCACAAACCAGAGGGAATTCATAAGCTATCCATCCTCACTTTCAAGTGCGAGTGGAATTGGGATTGGTGTGGGCAGTGTAAATGGTGGAACTTCAATGAGATCAAGGGATAATAAGAAAAGAGAAGAACTTGTTGTGGTTGATGAGAATGAGAGCCCTGATCAAGCTGAACTTGATAGGAAAGTCTCAAGGTCTAGATCTGTTGGTTGTGGGAGTAGGAGCTTTTCAGGGGACTTCTTTGAGAGGATTTCAACTGGTTTTGGAGATTGCACTTTAAGAAGAGTTGAATCTCAAAGAGAAGGTAATAAACCTAAACTTTCCTCAATGCATAGAAACAGTACTGGACAGGATTGCATCAAGGAAAGAGTCAAATGTGGTGGGATTTTTGGTGGTTTCATGATCACTTCATCCTCAGCATCTTCTTCTTCTTCATCATCATATTGGGTTTCAAGTTCTGCTGAAGATAATAAATCAGTATCAACCCCAGGTGGGCATAATGTGAGACATCTTGCTCATGGAAGAAGCAGGAGTTGGGGATGGGCACTTGCTAGCCCAATGAGAGCCTTCAGTAAGCCTTCTTCACAAGGGAAAAGAGAATCTTCAAGTAAGAATTCAACACCAAATTTGTCAGCAATTCCTTCATTGTTAACTGTGGGAGGCTAATTGATTCATATCTTGTTGCTGCTGCTGCTGCTGCTGCTGGAGTTTTCCTTACAAAGTAAATTACCACTATTAGCTTATACTACTACTACACAACTTACTTTAAGAGTGTTGAAACTTGAAGCTGTGTTTACATTCTCCTAATGTTCTGTTGGAATTCTTTTTTTTTTCTTCTGGGTATTGTTAAAATTGGATTTATTGTACTGTATCTTTAGGGTGTTGGCCAATTTGGTATATTTCTTGTCTAGAAAGTGTGTGATGGAAGTATCTGCTAAAATAGATCTCTCTTCAATTTCATATTATCAAGATTTTTGTATATGGTTCATTGGTTTTGGCATGGATCCAATTATGATAAAACTTTCAGCAAACAATGAAAGGAATGTGTGCCATTTTCTTCTTCAAATTTGGAATTGGATAGCACATGCTAGAGTCTTTTCCAATTCCAAGGTTTCATTTCATTTCAAGTAAATTTAACATCATTGTTAGCAACTTTTGAGCAAAATTCTTGAAGGTTAAAGCCTTCTTTTATCAGTGAAAAAAATTGTGGGCTTTTTTTGGTTGGTTGGTTTGTTTTGGTTGGTTAGATCTTGTGATGTTTCCATCCAGGAATCCCTCTACTTTGTTGTGTTTTGTTTCCATCTTCAAATCCCTTAGCTGGCTTGAATGAGTTTGCAAAATTGCACGAACTCAAAAGAAGCTTTTTGCTCTCAAAGCCATGTGCAAAGGAGCTGCATGAACAACTAATCATTGCTAGAAAAAGAACTGTTTGTATTGAAAGGAGGTCATCATCATATTCAAGTCTTTCAGGTTTTTGGTCAAATCAATTGCACATGTTTTGGCAGATAAGGACACATGCAACTCTCTTAATTTGGTCAAGTCCACCCAACTGAGTTCTTTTGCATCAATTTGTGTAGTTTTGCAATTTTTTAAAGTTACTGAACTCTAGTGTGACCTCCCCCTTGAAAAGGGCAATTAGAAGAAAAAACTCAAAGAATAAAGGTATAACTATAATCTATAAACTGCTCCTGGTTACTTCTAACAATGGTTCCGACTTTGTTGAAAACAACATCAGAAAGTATCATGTTCAATAGACAAAATTTTGGATTGTAGGTGCCAAAAGCATTTATTAAACTGAAAAATTATCACCTTCATGAATTATTGGTTTGGAAAAATGAGCTTTATTGAGTTTTTATAATATCAGTTCACTCTGAGTGACACAAAAAGTTTGACGGCATAGGATTCGCCGTATTCCTTCTATCCCAAAATTATTGTCCAGTTTGAAATTTTATTTTTAGTATAATTTCAACTAAAAGAATGAAAATTTGGATTATAATTTTGGGACAAAAGGAGTAATTAACATTCAATACCCTAAAATACAGTAGCTATGACATGAGTTACTCTATTTTTTTAAACCTAAATTCAGAACCCAGCAAGGTGAATAACCCTTCTTTAGACTACATCAATTATTTGTTGAAATTTAGGAAATATAAGATCAGTACCAGCAGGCAAAGGATGGCCAATGGGGGGCAAAACAAAATTTGTTTGTCATGCAAAATCAAATCTTTCAAGGAAAAACAAGCGAAATGGACCAAAGAAATAAGGTTTTAATTAGGCTAATTGTCATATATGCATTCATTACAAATCACCCACCAACCAGAAAAATTATATGGAAATTTGTGGATAAATAGACTGATAATAACAAAGGAGGGTTGGGGGGATTCAGGTGTTGGGTAGGAAGATAACAAGGCAGGGCCTTGAAGATGGGGATTTTCCAGATGAATAATTCCAAAATTATGATTGAGACGTATGATAATGATGGCATATGGGAAGAGAAGGGATCTGGGGATTTCTTTCATTTCATTATATATATGTAATCTTACAAGAGAAAAAAAAAAGGAGAAAAGAAAAAGGCACTCAAAATAACGTACAAAAAAATGCATGCATAACGACATCCAAAAAGGCTGTCTTCTCCAAAGCTGGCAATTTTTTTTTTTTTTTTTGAGTTTTATTGAGTGTGAGATTGTTATATCGCAATCTATATATTGAATGAATGCCTACTTTCTAAAAGATATTGCACAAAAATTAAGGGGCTACGAGGGGACCCTTTTGGGGAAAGAAAGCCCTTATCCATTTTTAGTTTTAAAGGGGAAAAAAAGGGTAAATTTTGAAGAAAGGTCCCTTAATTTTGAGATCAATAGAGTTCAAACCATTTTGATTTAATTGGTTATCTAATGAAGACAATTTAATTTTAGTTTTTCTGGAACGAAGTGAGTTAGAAATGTTCGTTGTTGGATGAGTATTCTAGTTTAAACTACATATAAAGCGATTAGTGTACTCGCTAAATTGACAAATGATATTACTCTTCAGAGTTACTGATTAAAAGAAAATTAAATCTCTAATTAGGGAAAAAGACGGTAATGATATCGGCTTAATCATGATTTTTACATCATATGGATCGGATTGGTTAGGTTTACCAGTTTAGGTCCCTTTTTTGGCTTAACAAAAAGATGTGGGGATGACTTTAGTTAATTGTTCATATCTAGTACTGTTCCTCTTGCTTCTCTAGATTTGTATGCTAGTACTTCAATTTGGGAAAGGTCCAATAACTTTTTGCTCATTTTACAAGCAAACTTTCTAAAGCATCTCTGTATGGTCCCCAAGTTCATCATTCACCTTCTTTCCAATCATTCTTGATGATGCATTGGCATGATTAATTAGGGAATTAGGGTAAATTTGCTCAATTTTGATGGACATAGCTCCATTCATTATACAATATGATGCAGGTCTATAAACGATTGGTTTCAAAACCTTTCGAAAAGATTTGTATGTTTATTTAGTTTTTTTAGTGTTCGTTTTAGGTGTTTTTTCTATTGAGAATATAAACAGGTATATTAGAAATGTAAAAAGATACGTAGGGTTGACACAATTATTATTATTTAATTCTAAAAAAACCAACTAAAAAAGAAAACAAACAGAGAATGCGTGAAGGCTTACAACAATAAGAAATTCTAAGAATTTCGGAAGATAAAAGACTAAAAATGATAATATCCAAAATATAAAAGACCAATAACATTTTCTTTTTGTTCTTTTGCTTTGCCCACTAAAAAGTGTAAAAAGTTGTAAGAAGATCTAGTACAAATGATAAAAGATACTACTACAAATCCATCCAGCCCAATCTAGCTAAGCTAGCTAGCTATAGGAATAAGAAAGCAAGCACAAGAGAGAATTTCAGATTCATTTTCACATAAATTAATCAAGCAACAAATAAAGAATAAATAAAATCAAGCAACAAATACAATATTAATGCACAAATAATTTGGTAAAAGTAATGGACTAAGCTCTAAGAGGTGTAGCTCCATTTTTTTTTTTCTGTCCAATTTTAAAAGTTTGTTTGTATCAAAATTATATTATTTTAATAATTTATATTATTAAATTGTTCTTCTATAAACAAAGTAAACTGTTAAAATGAGACAGAATATTTATGCAGAATTTTTTTTTCTTATTTATTTATTTATTTGGAGAAAAGTTTGGAGATGATTGGCGAGCTGAATATTGAATTAAAGGGTGAGGAGTGAAGACTGAAGAAGTGAGATCACTTTTTGTCAGTTTTCTCCATTGTCCAGCCAGCCTAGCTTTACTTTATCATTATTTCTCTTCTGTGTAACTCTGCTACTGCAGCCAGATTAATGATGTACTCTCCCATTAATTTCCTCTTTCTTTTTTTGGTCATAAATAAACCCAAGTATTTTTAGTATTTTTTTTTTCGGAATTGGTAACTCTGGGACTGTGTACCTTTCTATTTAAATTTTATAACTCGAAATAATAATGACTTTGGACACCGGATACATGATATATTAAAAAAAATAAATTTTATTCATCACTATTTAATTTTGGGTATGTCGTAAATGTAAAAATAGTTAAAATGGGATATCCATTTTCCTTTGGCAATGACTTTCCCGCCTGTGAAATATATATCGAAGGAGCTGCCCAACATGAAAGGTTGGGCCTTTGGTCACTTGTACGGTATGGACCGTTGGCCCAAGATTTATCTTACACGTTTCTTTTTGTTAATGAGCTATTTTAAACTTCTCGAGGCCCATTTTGATTCTCCACGAGATGACGAGAATTGATTAGATAGTACAGTATTTTTCTAGTCTTGAAATAATTATAGGGTTTAAATTTTTATTTTTAAAACAAATTGTACTGAAAGCAAAAATCAGTTAACGGATTCTGTGACTCATTCCATTTTCTCATATTTTGTGACATTTGTGTTGTGAGATGGGACACTGTCCGTCAGGGGACTTTCCCTTTTCCTTAGTTTCTTCCTATTTATGCGTCTCTTCATTTTCAATATCATTGTATATATTTTTGAAAAATTCGTTAATTAATATATCCTATCAAAACAGCAGTTCAAGAGGAAAAAAAAAAGCTTATGTGTGACGCTCTCATGAATCTGTTTCCCCCCCAACCGACGTCGTTTTGTTAAAAAAAAAAAAAACTAATTTTCCTCCCACCTAATTCTACAAAACTTTCCATCTCTTTATAAGAAAAAAAATATGATTGACTTTCCTATTGATTGTCCTGAAATTAATGAAATCTTTAACCAAATAAAAAATAAAAAACAATAAGAATCATATCATTAATATACATTAATTTTGAATGATCTCTTAGTCAGCAATAAAGTTGGTTTAGTGAAAAAAATTATTTTCCCGTAAAAATCAGCTCATTCTATTTTCAGATAGAAAAATTTTAATTATGTGTGTTCAATTAAATATTTTATTTTCAGAAAAAAAACTGGCGCCATATATGATAAAAAAAATTGTTGAAAGTTCACGGGTGAAATTATGAAAAAGAAACAAATGAAATATCCATCTTATTAAAAACATGTTAAAATCTAACGGATAAAACTACGAAAAAAATTCAAGAGAAATATTTTTTTTATATTTAAGATTAAAGAAATTTAAATTATAATAATACTAATACCACTTAATCTTCACACTGTCTTTTTTTACCTTATTTTTTATTGTTCACTTATTCTTTCTATTATCCGTTTTTTTTAAGATTTTATTCTATAATCAACCATTAATTGAGTATGTTGTATTTTTTTCACTACCAGTAATCATTTTAATATATTCTGTACAATACACAGGAGAGAACCTAGTATAAATTATTCGTGTAAGTACTCCTACATTCCAAAATAAGTATCATCTTACACTTAAAAAGTGCATTGAAATGTGAGAATGATACTTATTTTGAAATTTATCCATTTTGCTAAAATGACACTTATTTTGGAACGGAGAGAGTAGTATTACTTGTAATCCACCATAAAATTAAATAAAAATATCATGCAATATGTAACACAACAAGAAAACAGTTCACTTTTCTATTGCATGGATCACAACGTACTAAAGGTACAAATCATCACATAGTTATTGGCAATATTAATTGCCAAAAGATGAGTACAATTTCTTGAAACACACCAAATCTAAAACTCAATACATCAAACCACAAACAATACAATTACAAACAACAACGGACAATTAAGATGAGAAACACAACTTAGTTTTCTCATCCTTTATTTATTTCACGAATACGTAGTAACTAACGTACGGCACGATTGAAGTAAACTGGATATTTCCATGCAAATGCATGCAGGAACTAAAAATGCCCTAGTTCCCACGGGTAGCTGGACTGATCAGCTGGAACTGATTAGCAGTGAGCCTGAAGATATTGAAACGGTCCCCAAAAGCGGTGGTTCCGGCGGACGTGATCGGCGATATCAGGCTAGCAACTGAAGGCAAATTGGCGTTACAAGTTGAAAGTGGAGTGGCTACAGCAACGCTGCAATTGTTAAGCAAAGTATTCATCAAAGATGGTTTCAACAGTGTTGCGAATTCTCCTCTCGCATTCGTAGTTGTAGTTGATACCACATCTCCATTGGTTCCACATTGCACTTGTATTGCTGCATCTATAACCCCACCAAAATTGGAAAATGATCAAACATTACTAAAATTATAATGTAACCAAAATATATACTCCCATGTCCCAAAATTATTGTCCAGTTTGAATTTTCACTTTTAATACAAATTGAACTAAAAATGAAAAATCAAAACTGGACAAGAATTTTGAGACAGTGGGAATATATTGTATGCATTGTGTCATTTTGTCACATAGGTGGAGAAATTATTCAGTGCATCTGTTATGAGAACTTTTTTATGAAGACAAAAATATTAATTATGAAGATTATGAGAACTATTACTTGGAAAAATCGGGGTTTGTGATAGAAAGCCACCGGTATTGCCATTGACGGAGCAAAAGAGCCTCCCTTGGAGCTGAATAATACTAGGGGTGCCATTGATGTTCTGTACTATGCCTCCTAGTATCCCTAGTATCCCTCCAAGTATCCCCGTTGGTCCGAGTAGCGGCCCGAGTATCCCTCCGAGTATTTGTCCGAGTAGACCTCCTACTCCGCCCAACTGTGCTTCTCCCATTGGGATTGCTACCAAAGCAATCACCATGAAAGTTAAGAGAGTCCTCCTCAAAGCCATAGTAATGGAAGTTATGGCAAATATGCTTTGAAAAGTTTGTAATGTGCTTGAGGAGGTTGCTAAGTGGGATGGTTTTTAAAGCCCTTTGTGAAGTAGCCTATTTATAGGAATGAATGAAGGAATGATGAACCAAGGGTAATGAGTGGATGAGATTCTGTGTTCCAACTAGTTAGCCAAAGGGATTGCTCTAAACTTTGCCTGATTAAAGGGGGAGGAATATACCATCCATTCCTCTCAACATTGTCAAGATCCTTTACACACTTTGCACTCGTGGGAGACTAACTTCACTTTTTGTAAGGAAATAAAGGGTTTTACGTAAGAGTAATGATTGTTGGGGGAAAATATGCAAGAAAATTATACAGAAATGAATCATAACCGTTCCTAGTTCTAACTTGCCTATACGGGTTAATCTATTTGATGATTAAGAAATATTTAAGATTCAGTTACATTATTTCCTGTAAATTTTTTCTTCATGTATCATTACTCTTTACACACTTGATTTCAAAAGGAAAAAAAAGTTATCTAATCTATCTTGATTTCCATGTACTAATTGTATCTCATTAATTATGGTAGCAACATAAACCACACGTCTCACTTCTAACCTACGGCCCAAATATTTCACGGACAAAACACAGTTAGTACATAAAAGTAAAGACGTCACGTATCTTCTCTTTAGGGCCAAAGAAGACATCAATTTGTGGACTATAATGTTCAAGCATGCATTTCTAGTCAAAACTTTCGAGAGTTTGTTCCTCTGGGTGATGCGTTCATACTTGAAATTTCTGCATTCTATTCTAGATTAACAATCACCATTGCATGCAATCTTTGTGGTCTTCAACCTACAAGGCAACTGTTATAGGATCCTACGCTTAAATTGCATGCTTCTCTCGGCCATATTACGCGAATGTTACCATCTCAACTCTGCTACTTGTAAACATGGTCCAATTTGAACAGCAAGTTTATGGTTCGATTGGGTAAAGGAACGATCAAACCAGTCGTTTCTTAGAACTTCAGTGACATATATTTGCCAATATTATAAATCCTAGGTTACATAGACTAATTACCAATTGATCAGGGAACTGTTAGTCCTTGGAGGGATTTTTGTGTTTTCTGGAGTTTCTTTTGGCCATTTGGTGGTCCTGATTCCTAAACACAAAACTCTGACTTTGATAGCTTTGTCTTATGATAGACAGGAGAAAGAACACTGAAGAAGCTTGCTTTGTGCATGTCCAGTACTTCAGGGCAAGTTTCACACCATCGATTGGATATCTGCATTTTGTTTTTAACTGGAAATTTTTCTCGAAACCATTTTTTTTTTTTTTGGGTCCAAAAGGAGAGTTCTGTTTACTGCAAATAATATGTCTTTTTTTAGGGACGGAATTCAGTCATCACATATATGCTGTATCCTCTACTTTTTTTTTTTCCACATGTTAGGATTTTTTTTTTCCCATTTTTAAAAGGGATCGATAATAGTTCCTCACTTACTCTCAGGCGTGATTCGAAGATGTAACCTATTGAAAATAGGAAAAGCGTATTACCAACTAGACTGTACCTCATTGTCTAAGATTTTACCAGTAACAAAATTAAGGAAAACTTCAAGTAGCCTCTTCCGCTGCGAGTTTCATTACTAATTCGGTTTTTATCAATTAAAAGCAAACTCCATGACCAATCTCAATTACAACAACCATAGTTTGATTATGACGTGATAAGAGTTGTTTATTCATGTAGTGCATTTAGATTGTTGTGTTAGACATTTGCGAACTTATTTTCCCCCTCCTTTTAGACAACAAATTGCTTGGTTACAAAATATCACCGTTTGATGAATTCCGAATTCTATCCTAACTGTAGCGCCAATCCTAGTTTAACTAGATTATTTATAGCAAACTCTATTACATTCTCCACTGACCATTTTGTTCTTTCCGTTGGTGGCTGTTTTTTGTTTAAAAAATGGCAAGAGAGAAATGGTGTAAAAACTTTTGTAAGAACATCTAATACAAAGTTAAAGGATACTGAATATAGAGGTACTCATGCTGCGTATTTATCCAGTATTCCAGCCGAATTAAGCTAGTTAAGCTAGGTAGATTTTAAGAATTTTTTTCCCACAAAAATAATTTGGTGAAGCAAATGCATGTTCTGGAGCTGTAGGTTCATTTGTCCTTATTTGGTACTCCCTCTGGTCCTTAATATAAGGTATTTTGATTTGTCCTAAGTTTCATCTAATACGCGTTTTTAATTGATAAAAAAAAATTTAAAAATATAATTTCACATTCCTTGTGTTCTCTTGATTGTTATGAAATATTTTAAAAAATTTTTGCAATGAAAAAATACGTACTAGGTAAAATTTAAGTCAAATCAAAATGTCTTATATTAAGGATATGAGGGAGCATATTACGTTTACATTAAAAGTCATTTCATCGATTAATCCAAATTAAATCAAGCTATTCCTTTCAATTAATTAAATTCTTCCAACTCTTATATAAGTACTTCTTAATTGATTATATTTCAGTAGATTATACTATCTCAATTTTTTTTATATGCTGCATTAGGGTGACCCTATTTTTTATATCTATTACACTTTATTTCCAATGCAGGATTAGATATAGTTTCTTCAAATTTTCCCAGGTCTTGGTAGGTGTAGGATTAATTTTTGACATCTTATAAAAAAGACTAGAGATAGTATTATATATACACTACAGAAACTTGATGGGGTCTGTCACACAGTCACCTGAAATAATAAATTTGGTTTAGTTTCACTTACGAGAGAGCAGCCCAACATCTAAGGTTGGGCCTTTGATCATCTTTTACGGTATGGGTCTTTGGCCCAAGACCTGTCTTACACCGAGCATTTGTAAGTGGTACTTTCTCAGGTCCATAAGTCATTTCAAATAAATAAATAAATAAATAAATAACTGGTCCATAAGTCCCCCCTCCAAATGATGGAAATGACCAATAAAATAATCTAAGCAATCTTAAATTTTCTGGCCAACTCTCCCACCCATCGAGGTGTCTATCATGAGCGATAGGAATTAGTCACTGTTATTGACGATCTGTAAATAATAATAATAATAATAATAATAATCAAGGCAAAAGGTAATTTTGAGGAAAAAGTGAAAGTTTTTATGCGAGTCACAATATGTGCACCAAAATACCTAGTAAAAAACTAACGAAAAAGAAAATTATTAATTAAAATATTATTATATTGGTGTGGGTTTTTTTTTTTTTTTTGTTGTTGTTGTGAATGTAAAGTATTATATTGCAAAAGAAAAATTATTAATTAAAATTTTCAAAAACACAAAAATACCTAGTAAAAAACCAAGCGAACATATAGGAAAATATAAGCTCTGCTTCGACAAGAATCTTTCTCTAGCCCTAGGAGATTATTGTGGTTAGAGGCGTATTTAGGATATGAAGGGGGGTTTAATGTTCGACTAGTCCAAACATGTTTTGGTTAGGCCATTGTCCAAATATGGAAACACGATCATGACCAAAACCAAAACCCTCAAAATTACATTTTATCTTGTCTAAAACGAAGCCGCAGTTCCTTTTGAGACTTGGTTTTTCACATACAAAACTATATGCATCCTCCCTCTTTCTTTTTAACTTCATTAATGAATTAGATGTGGCCAACCAGGAAAAAAGAAAAGAACGAAATATATTCATAAACAGTGATAGAAAGAATTAGTTAGTTGATTTTGCATTACATGGATCACAACTTACTGAATACACAATTCATCATATCATCTTTGGGAATATGAATAGCCAAAAGAGAGAGAGAGAGAGCATTTGATTACAAGTGTTGAAAGACACCAAATTCAAAATTCAAACAACAAACCACAAATAAAGACACTCGAAGGTGGATGATAACACCCCAAGGTGAATCCCTTCTTCCTAATTCATAAACTACCCAAGAAAGACAAAAAGAGGGGGGCGGGTGGAGAAGAGAGAAGAAAACAACATGTATAAAACACGAGAGAATATGTAGTTTACATTTCCATTGCATGGGCCTTAATCTACTTAATTAGTACCGTTCATCACTATATATTACGATCGATGAGATTCATGAGAAACATAACCCACATAATACAATTGGAAAATGCAAACAGAAGCCACAATTACGATGGATGATGAGAAATATATATATATATATATATATATATATATATATATATATATATATAAAGTTCTCATCTTTATTTATTTAAGAAACAAATAGTACGTCGAACGATGTAACCGCAAATGCATGCGAGAAAGCCCTAAGTTCCCGAGGGCATGGTTACTTAGATGTTCATAAGCTGGAATCCAGTCGGAACGAGGTTGGTGATATTGAGACCGCCAACAACGTTGTTTCCGGTGTAACTCATGGATGATACAAGCCTTCCAGTTGAAGGCAAACTGGCGTTGCAAGTTGAAAGTGGAGGGGTTACAAAGAGGTAGCCTTCTGCCTTCAAATCACCAATCAATGGTTGAGCCTGCCGGTAATTAATTTCTCCATTCTCATTTGTGATCGTGGTTGACACCACATTTCCACCGGACATTACATTTATTGCTGCATCTGTAACCCCAAAAATCGAAATTCAAACGTTAGTATAAGATTGATTTATAAAACTCAAAGGTCAGTTATTTTTCTGAACCAGAGGGAGTATTATGCAAGCATGTACTACTTTGTACTCTAAATTTTAGAGATACAAATTTGTGAAGATAATGAGACTTTACTAGGAAAAGGCGGGTTTTGGGAACCCCTCATATTGCCATCCACGGTGCAGTAAAGCTTCCCTTGGACTTGAATAGTCGGTACTAGCCCTCCTAATCCTCCCAATTGCGCTTCTCCTGTTGGGAGTATTGCTACCAAAGCAATCATCGGGAGAGCTAAGAGTAGTGTCAACTTCAAAGCCATGATAAAAGTTTGAGCAAAAGGCTATGTGTATGGACTAGTTTGTAGGTTCTTCAGGCGAGGTTATAAGTGGGATGGTTTTGTGAGCACTTCGCATATAGTAGTCTTTCTATTTATAGAAATAAATGATGAGTCAAAGGGTTGATCAGGATTGAAGGAGACTGTGTCCCAATCAGCTAGCCAAAGGGCGCCATCACTTGGGCAAACAGAACATCCACTTAATAATATAACTATGTGTGACAAAAATATCGAATCAATTTAACTGTAACGATCTAAATTTAAATAACGAGATAGATATGTAATAATGATATAAAAAAAATGAGCTTAAAAAAATGTATATCTCTCAAATTTCTCTCTCTATATATATGCCAATTTTATGATAATTGTGGTTTCATCTTACTATTAACATCACATTATCATTTTTAAAGACAAATAAAATTCCGAATCGTTTTGCTAATAAGCCACAATACTACGCGCAAGTTGAGACATAGTTCTTCTCTTTTAAGGGCCGATCCAGACATCATCCATTGGTGGAGACATGCTTTTTAAGCATGCATTTTAAGTTAAGAAGTGTGAAGTCAATTTGTTCCTCCCTTCATACAGAATTTCCAAACTCTCGAATATGTTATTCACCATTGAGAGCAATCTTTGTGGTCCTCGTATGAACTAAAAGGTAAACGATCAAACCAGTCCGTTCTTAAACCTTCGTTGAAAATCTTCAAAATTATTTTTTCCCTTCCAAATAATAATAATAATAATAATAATAATAATAATAATAAAATAATTCGCTTGAATTATCTAATTCACGGAAATGAGCCATTTGTATTGAATGGAGAAAGTACTATATATATCCCTAGGTTTCGTAGACTTATACGTATAACCTCTGATTACCATATGTGTGTGGCGGGGGTGGATGATGAGTTTTGGAATTTGACTTCATGAAACTTTTGGCCATTTATTGGTCCTCAAAACAAAGCTCTGACTTTGTAATTTTTTTATTAAAAAAAAAAAAGAAATTTGAGAAAGAAGCTCTAACATAACTTTGAGAAAGTATGTATATGATAACCCTATATATTGTTAGGGTAGAGCTAACGAAAAGTAACTGAAATCTTTTTTCCTATGAAAGGAACGCAAACTGAACTATAGATTGCTTCACGCCTGTACCATTGATTAAAAACTGCACTTTAAGATGGAGTTGTTCTAAACTAATGTTTACCACCATGCAGATATCAAATGTTTATTTTCCCCACGGGAACCAAAGGACGGACATTTTCAGAGCAACAAGCAAAACTTCCTGTGGTCTCTTTTGAATGGCTCGACTCGGCTCAAAATCGGTCAACTCGAGTCCGAGAAGAGCTTTAACCGAGGCATCTCGCGAATAGCTCGCAAGCGGCCAGGCTTGTTTACGGCCCTAACCACAAGATACATTTCCTCGAGAGGCAGCAACTAAAATGGTCCGACAATTATGTGCTAATGAAACCGCGGCTTAGAAAATGTCGAAAACCAGTCAATATCGCAACACTTGCTAAAGAATCAAATGGGATAAGGTACAAAACTCTTCTTGCACAAAGACAAGGAAAATTAAAAAAGAAAGAAACAAAGAAAAAGGCTAACAGAGCAGCAATAATACTGAAGTATGCAAAATTTCGCAACAGTTTTCTCCTCCAACGAACAAAAATTGTTCCCAGCATTTGTCTGCCCTCCCACATCTCGAACCCCTAGTTTCTCTCACTGTTTTGAATGGTTCCGCTAATCCTTTTGTACCGGTTTTTGTTTAGTTCACTCAAATAGGGCAGGGTGGGACATCCAGGGTAATACCAGCTTGAATTTGGCCCCAACCAATAAGACGCCAGTGCTTCTCAATTCTACGACTGAGGGCAATCTTTTCACCTTTGCTAGTGCAGACTGGAGATGTAAGTTGTAGTTTTGCAAAAACGTTCTTCACCGCAACAACACGGGCTCCAGTTGACATAGATCCTATGTTCAACATAAGGGTCTCTCCCTTGGCGAGCTTCGAAACCTTGCCCTGTCTCTCACTATCCTTGGTCCTCACACCAAGAAGCCGTCGAAGCAGGAAGAAATTTACCTAAACGAAAGCACAACATTAGAGACGAGAACATACCATGAACTAAGCATGCTTTGAGAATGGAACAGGTGTAGATGCATTATATAAACTTTTAGAAACAATATTGCTTATTGGAAGCATCAAAACATCAAGATTCTGACACCATGTGATTATAGAGAATTTAACTTACCTCTAGTTCAACAAAAACTTCTGGCAATGATCCAACTTCTCCCAGAACCTGACCCACCAATCGATCAGCTCGGGTCAGAGTAGGGTCCATCGTGGTTCCAACACCAATAAGGCCTCCAGGCACGGCAAATTGTAGTTCATTTTGCTCAGCATACAATGACACTATTCTAGAGTATATTGGGGTGCACTTAATGTTGCCATTCTCATCCTTCACAACAATACCAGGACGAACTTCTATGTTTTGGTTTACTTTCAGAACACCCTGCACAAAGCAGGCAATAGCTTTTTAAAACAAAGTATCTAAATTACTTACTATCCGGTTACTTAGTCATATTCCAAATTAAGAGGGATAAAGAATGACCATATACCTTCAGAATACTGCCACCGGCAACACCACCTCTGATCTCATCAACTTCAAATCCAGGCTTATTCACATCAAAAGACCTGATAACAATCATATTTGGTGGCGAGGTGAAATCCCTAACCGGAATGGGTATTCTTTTCACAATGTATTCAGCCACAACATCAATATTATACTTAAGCTGTGCGGAAATGGGAACAACTGGTGCACCATCAGCAACAGTCCCCTGAGACAGAAACCAGAAGGGGCATAATGTCAGATAGAGTACATATAATATTTCAGTTTTAAGATTAAAATAGAACCAACAACTCTGACCTGTATGAATTTTTGAATGGCTTCATGTTGGTTTATAGCTACATTTTCTTGAACCAAATCAACCTTATTTTGAAGAATAATGATATGTTGGAGACGCATAATTTCAACAGCAGCTAAATGTTCAGAGGTCTGAGGTTGCGGACAACTTTCATTTGCAGCTATGAGAAGCAATGCTCCATCCATAATAGCAGCTCCATTAAGCATTGTAGCCATGAGAATATCATGTCCCTACAAAGTTATGACAGCAAGAACATAATCAATAAGATCAGAAGCTTATAATAGGGTGAAAGTATGTCACTTGCAAAGCAGTGGAGAATAGAGAATGATAAATCATCGTATCTAGAGACACCACTGACATGTTAACAAAAATATCATTTAATCTTTAACAACATAATACATGAATAAAAACATCATAAAAATAGTGAGCACCAAACAAACATAGCGTATTTGCACCTTTATAGAAGCAGTAAAATTGAAAATAACTCTTAAAGATCATCAGCAGTATAAAATAGTGAAACATACATAAAATGTAAATTTAATACCCATTATTCAACTTAAACCACTGCATGAAAGCTAAGAGTATCTAATCACCACTCCAATAGCACTTATACAAAATCATAAGGCTAAATCTGTTGCGTAAAGATGCAGAAAAAAAATGTACAACCACACCGTGACGTAGTAAACATTCAAAGCATGTCGGCATAAAGAAAAACCACTTACAGGGCAGTCGACGAATGATACATGCCTCAACAATTTCATCCTGCAATTCTCAAATCCAGGTACATCACACATGGGACTATCTTCTTTCCCACTCCCATAAGCCCTGAATAAAAGTCAAGGGTTAGAAATGTCTTTTCAATTTCACACTACAGCACAGTACAAATAACACTAGGAAATTGACAACTCACTTGTAGCACATAGGTCGAGGGCACTTCTCTTCCTCACATTTATATATCTTGGCATTTGCATAACCAAGCTTGATGGTAATATTACGTTCCAGCTCATTCTTAAAACGAACTGTCTGCAGAAAGAAAGAAGATAATGCAATAATTACTTTCTCAAGAGGTAAATCCACATTCAGAATTTAAAACCATCACCAAATTAGAACTGTAAATGAATTCCCATATCAGCAAAGTAACAAAAGCTCAAGAAAATCCAATTATTCTCCCAAAAGACATTATTTTCAAAGACGATTGACGGGGAAAAACAACACAATTCCTCCATGTCATAATGGAGCCTTCAAAAGGGAACAGTTCTAAGTGAATATCCAATCCACCAAAGAAACATAATTACTATCGTATCAACCTCAGAATTAAAGCAGTTGAACTTAAACGCACACTCCAAATTAACCAGCAACATGAAATTAGAAGGGAAACGCAGAGACAACTATACCTGGACACCAGATATAGCTTTCACAACAGTGGATTTTCCATGTGCCACATGACCAATGGTACCTGATAACAAAGAAACACATCAGGAACTCACAAAGTGAAAACAACTCAAAAAGAACACATCAAACATTAAATAATCAAGCAGAGAAAACATTTCAGATTATGATGTGTATGACCATACCGATATTTATAGTAGCCTGCCGCGAAATAACTTCAGGAGACAGAGGATGTAGCGTTGTAACATCCAGCTTGCTTAGATCCTGCTCCATCAAACCTTTTCGAGACATTTTGCCTGATCTTAAGTTACTAAAAGCTTCTCAGTCACAGCACAAAGCAATCCAACAACTGCATCAAACACAAAGGTCAGACAGAATGCTCTTTTCTATGTTGTGATACTCAACTACTATAATTGATTTTACAAACCAGGACACGGCAATGACAACAAAAAGAACAAGAATTTATCCCACCAAACAGACTAGGCCATACGGATCATACGCCATGATGGGAATAGGCAGACTGAATAGAAAACTAATGAGAGAGGCGAACCCTACCTGTAGGAATTTAAGAAAGACAGAGCCTTTGAAAGCAAAGAAAGTATAGTAAAGATAAGAAAAAGTGATTAACAAAGCTGCAGAACTTCTTTATTTATTGAGGGGTTCTGATTATTCCTAATCCTACCTAAAATAGGTTTGCTAATTTCCTAAAACCAATTCAAAGAGGAAAAGAAAAAAAAAAACCTTGAAATAAAAGGAAACCAACTAAATTAGCCTTTTCCAATATGGATTTATGATAAAGTTCCTACATCCTGTCAGCATTGAGCTCTATCAAAAAACATACAGCTTTCTTTACATTCGGATAAATCAGACAGCAAACCCCTGCATATTAAAATGATCAAGAATACTCAAGTCTCTTCAAATTATTAGTCCATACAACAGAACCATCCGTTTAATGATAACAAGGAATGAAAGTCATATTCTCATATACATTACGGGCATACTGTAAAAAACTAACACATCCAGCCTTCAGGAACCACACTAATACTCCACCCAAAAACTCCCCATAATGAACAAAATTAAGTAAATAGCCTAAAAGCTCAAATTAATTGACATCATTATACTAAAACCCTAAAATCTCACGTTTCAGCTCTTCGGCAAATCGAAGTTGAGGAAAGCCAATTTAACACCAACTAACGAAAAAATCCTCATACTTTACAACTACCAAGAGCTCAATTGAACCATAGTCGATTCAACTACCGAAAATCACAAAATTTCAAATTATGCAAAAAAAAAAAAAACTAAGCATTTAGCAACAAATTCAGAAGCTTAATAATCGAAGGAGACTAACCGGAAAAAAGTGAAGGGTGCCGCCGGAAAAGAAAGAGCAACGGAAGAAGCGGATTCGCCTTGAGCGAGACTTAGCTGAGAGGTAGAGAGAGAGGAGAGATTCTGGAGAGTTTTTGAGGCCGGAACGATGCGTCTAAAAGTTAGGGCTTTAGAAGAAGGAGAGTATAGATTATAGAATAGAAAAGGGTAAATTGGTAAAAAAAATCCAGGATCTTTTTCCCAGTTTTGATTTACCTATTGAGTTTTACCGTTCACTTCCTTTTTTTTGCTTCTATTCTTTGTAGGAGTAGGGTAAAATAAATAGTAAAACATATTTGCCAGCTAAGTCCCTTACGTTAAGCTTAGTGTTGCATTTGCACCCAATAATTCATTGCATCAAAATTTTCCAAATCAAATCTTTCTTCTTTTTTTTGTCCCTTTTTCCGCCTCTTTAGTGGGGAATTAATTGATTAATAATTAAGGATGCGATCTTGTGATTTTTATGGATTAAAGGAGTGATCTTGTACGTGCAAGGGCAGGATGAACGTGCAAGGGCAGGATGAAGAGTTAGGACTGCATGACAGTGTTTTATGTGCTATTTGTGAGCTCTTAGGGAGGTCTTGGTCTGTAGTTTTAGAATATATGTATCATGAGCCTAATTTTGTTGCTGATTGAAGAGCAGATTGCATCCCGTAGTGCTGGTGGTTCTAGGCTTCCAACAACTTTTTGTTCTTCTAAATAAAGTCAAAACTTGACTGCAACATAATTTAATTGGCGTTTCTTATCCAAAAAATGTCATGATTTCTTATAATTAGGCTTATGCCTCTCCCTCTTTTTATAAAAAAAAAGAAGAAAAGAAATATGATCTTGTGAATTATAATTATTATTAAGAATATAATCTTGTCGATAAATATTTTAGCAACTATTTGTTCTCACGGACTTTTTTTTTTATTTTTCTTTTTACAACTTATCGATCGGGATTGGATTTCTTCTTTCACTATTGTTATATTGCTTCAGGGGTCGGTTACCTTTAGTAAATTCATGACGATTGAGCAATTTCTTTGTAGAAGGATGAAATTTCCTAACAATAGTTAAATGATACAGAGATGTCAATTAAAATGTGTAACAAAAATCTCATCTACACATATTGAGTTTGCGTACATAAGTGGTTGGTAGCTCGGTATAATGAATTAAGAATAATGCTAGCACACTATAAAAAAAAAAAAAAATCATTACATAACATTGTCAAAATGACCTTACAACATTCATAGAGTTTGATTCTTTAGCCATACGAAAATTTTCCTGAATACCTTAACCAAGACAAGTATCATTAATTCTTGCAGGAAGGAGTTGACATCGAAATCTACGGTGTTTCTGTCACTTCCCCTTCATTTATTGTAACACAGTTGCATCTACATATTTGTTCTAAGGCTTCTTTCTTCTACATTGAGAATTTCTTCCTCTTTACCAATTTAATTGAGAATTTCTCAGGTTGTCATCGATCAAATCAAGTCTCTATGCTGCAAAAATGGAACCACCTGAGTTACTGCTACTTTTGTCATCGCCAAATAGACGTTGCCTAAAGTCAGAAACCATGAGGGGAAGTCCTTCTCTAAGTGACACTTTTGGCTCCCATCCAAGTAGGTTTTTCGCCTTAGAAATGTCCGGCTTTCTCTTGTGAGGATCATCCTCCGTGTTTGGCCTGAATTCGATTTTAGCATTTGGATCGATCGTCTCTTGCACAACCTGTCACGCAATGTGAAATTCTCACAATTCGTCCCTTAATAGTAGTCATGTATACTGATACCGATTTTCAACAATGTTGATGAGATGGACTAAATACACGTTTGTGGAGAGATCATGGTAGTTTTTTTTCAGTGATGTTGTAGTGTACCTTAGCTAGTTCGAGCATGGTGAATTCACCAGGGTTCCCGAGATTGAAAGGGCCAACATGATCACCTTCCATCAATCGCATTAAACCTTCAACCTGTTTCATCATGAAGTATTGAACATAACTTCTTGTCATAAATCTATAAGTGGTTAATCAAGTCAAGTTACAAATTAACCACTACAAACAATCTGGATGCACCATAGATGTGTACAACCGAACCATCAAACTTTATCAGCCCAAAAGAACAGTATAGAACTTGAACTTTACAGCCCTAAACAAGAGTAATGCTGAAGTAGTTTAGCTAGCATCGAAGTGTTTTTAAGCACTTTACCAGGTCAGAAACGTATTGGAAACTCCTGGTCTGCTTCCCATCCCCATAAACAGTCAATGGCTCTTTTCTTAAGGCCTGCAGTACATGAGAATTTCGAAAAGATTAAATAAAAGCAGAGAGGAAACTCTGCTCAACTTACATATCAACGTTGCTTAATAAACCATCAAGTTAATTATCAAATGCATACGTGATGGATGAGACCTAGCAGAATCAAACCTGAGCAACGAAATTGCTAACAACACGTCCATCATCAAGGCACATACGTGGTCCATAGGTGTTAAAGATCCTAGCAATCCTCACCTAGAGATGATCAAAGCACAAAACGAATCAGCTCTTTGAGTACATTTAGGCCTTTCCATATGGTGGTATACATAGATGCAGAAATGGAATGGAAAACTGACCTCAAGGTTCAGTCCTCGGTGATAATCCATACTCAAAGTCTCAGCAACGCGTTTACCTTCATCGTAACAACTTCTAACACCTAATACCATACAAATCAAGATATTAAACTAGTGACTATTAACTATATGCATGCATTTCTTCTTCCTAAATCTTTTTGCCCCTTAAACATAAATTTGGGCCAGAAGTCTTATAAGAGATTGACAAATAAGTGGCATTCTTATATGGAAAAATTACTGAGAAAAGTTTATGTCGTCGACTCACCAATTGGATTCACGTTTCCCCAATAGGTCTCAACTTGTGGATGCTGCAAAGGATCACCATAAACCTCGCTGGTGCTTGTTATCAGAAATCGAGCGTTTACCCTCTTTGCCAAACCAAGCATGTTCAAAGTTCCCATTACATTTGTCTTGTGATCTCTAGCCAAAAAAGTTAAGGACAACTTCCAAACAGAAACATGCATAATGCATTCACATTTCTACTAATTCTCAAAAATAATACGCCAGTTATACATTTCGTTTATTAGTGAAATGCCACACGAAGATCTGTTGCATCACTTCTAAAGAAATGTTTTAAGATATGATCATACGAACCTCCTAAATTTAGTGACTGAAAATTTTCATCTTCTATAAGGGGAAACTTTTTCTTACTATTATTAGACAGAAAATTATCAGCAAAAGAATGGTAGAAAAGGATATAATGGTCTTGACAGGGTTATACTTGTAATGGACCGGTGAGGCCGGGCAGGCCAAGTGGTAGATCTGGTCCACTTCAAGTAAAATGGGCTCAACTACATCATGTCTAATGAGTTCGAACCGTGGGTTCTTGAAATGATGGACCACGTTGTCTTTACGCCCCGTAAAGAAATTATCCACAACTATCACACTATCACCACGGGCCATGAGACGGTCCACAAGATGGCTCCCTACAAACCCGGCCCCACCAGTGACCAGAACTCTCAATCGCCTGCTCTTCAGCCCCATTGGCAACTTTGCACCTACACCCCATCAAATAATAATTTAATAAATAGAAACTTAATGAATACTAATTTTTTTTTAATTTTGGAATTTTCCTAAAAGGGATTCACAACAAGATTGTTGCGTTAAAGTTTGGTACGTTACGTTTTGGATTTTGTTGTCATTACTCATTTGGTTGAATCTCACTCATGATTACAATTTTCAAAAGCAAAGCTGTACTCATTTGTCCTAAATTACTCATAATAGGAAAGAAATAATACTCCAATTTGTGGAGTTCAAGTTATAATAACTGAAATGATGATTACTCACAATGACGAAAGAACTAGGATAACTTTTCATCGCTTTCTTATTGATTATAATAGTGAAAATGTAAATTAAATAAGTAAATATCTGTCGCGAAAGTCATGATAAATGCACACTAGCTAAATTTCCAAAATTTTCTTTTGAAAAGAGAGAGAGAGAGAGAGCCATCAAAATTCATCAAAAATGCTAAAAATGATGATGAAAGTATTAGATACATATTCTTTTTCAACGCATTTACACAAACGAATTCCGTAATACATTCGTTCTCTCGAACAAACGTCAATTATTTTTTTTATTTTTTCAGGACGAAAAGAGTATGTATGTCAATTTCAAAAGAACGTTAAATGGACAGATGAACCAATAAAAAAAAATTATGTTACTATCATAAACATCAGTTACTACTCACTAACCCTATTGATTAGTCAGAATCAAGCCCATTTACTTTGATTTTTCAACAGCTAATAAAAAGAGAAACGCCTTCACGAGTTATGTTGGTTTTTGCAAAGTAAGAACCAAAACCCAAAAAAAGAAAAACCGGTGATATCTGTATTCTATTACATTTCCAATGCACATTTAACAACATTTTCCAAACACTTGTCAAAACCATAATAAACAAATTAAAAAAAGAAAACACCCATTAATGAAAAAAAAATTCCCAGATCATGAATTTGTTGTATACCTGAATTGCCCCGCTGATCAGATTCATCTTGAAGCTCATAAGCAATTCTTCGAGAAGGAACGCTTTGTTGTTGAAGATGGTGTTCAGACAATGAGGATGATGATGAATCAGAAGAGATCCATCCATCATTATTGTTACTACTAATCCGACCCGATAAAGACAATGATGATTTGGAAGGAATCAGAGCGAAAATGAGAGAAGCAATGCCGATTCCAAGGAAAAGGCAAACCAAACGTTGCTCTCCGATAACATATCTAATCGGGTTAGACGTTACTCTTTTGTTAGGCCGGCCAACATTCACATTCATCGTCGGAAAATGAGTTAATTTGTACTAACAATTTTGGAAAGAAAAGAAAAATGTGGGTCTTTACTGTGTGTGTGCGTGTTTAATTTGTGATGGAATTAATTTTATTTGGGATGGAAATAAGAATAAGAAGAAGAAGAAGGAAGGGGGAGTGGGATTTAAGTGAGAAAGACTCAAAGAAAGAGAGAGAGAAAGAAAGGGAAGAAAGAGTCGGAAGAGTGTGGAGAAGAATGGCTTTGTTTTGCATGAATTTTCGCCGTAATATCGCTATTGTCCGCCGCGCGCCACTCTTGCTATTGGTTCTTTTTTCTTCTTTAACCTTTGCTTTTTATTAACGTTTTTTTTTTCTTCCTTTTTTGGGTTAATATTTATTTCGTAGACTGTGAAGGAGTAACTAATTTATTTATTTACTATACTTATTTATTGTGGTAAGTTGTAAGTGGTGACAGGTAAGCTTTTTAATTTGTCTCCTTAAAAATGATGATTTTCAAAAACATGATATTTTAATTTTATGGATCTTTATTTGATAATCCTACTACGTATAATACTCTTTCGGTTTTCGATTAAGAAAGTTTTTAAATTATTTTTCTGAGAGAAAAAGAATACTAAGATTTTATGTGTTGCTTTGAAGATTTTCAACCATCCATGAGCTGATAAGAAATAAGACTTGATTTTCATTTTCGTTATATCATATTATATGAGTTTATGTAGTAACAATTTATAATCATTTTTTTAAAATTTTTTTTGTAGGAATCTCCTTTATGGTATGTAACATTTGGGAAGCTCATCATTGACAGAATGCTATAAATAGTAGAGTAGTATTTGAATTTCTGTATTAAAAAAAAAGGAAATGCAGTAAAAATAAAATCTCAAATTAATTTCTAAAAATTTAACACGGCATCGAGTGGAGTTAATTAACGTATTGAATAGTAATGTCATAAATGCAGGGTCATTTACTAGGTTTACTGCACATGATTTATTGAACAGTGGCATGCATCTAGGTACTGATGGCCAACGTTAGACCTCATAATTACTGATGCCCAAATTTAAAGTTCTTCCAATGGAAGGAATTAACCCCAAATTTCAAATTCGACTCCTTAACTCGGATGAAGTAACATGATTTGAATATGTAGATGGGAAAAAATGGCCGTCCTGGGAGACTAGAACGGCAATATTGAAGGCCAAGCAAAGGTATTTGGGAGTCTGGATTGTCCATGTTCTAACGCAAAGTTCATCAACTATGCTTGTGCAACACTCTCCAACCTCGGACCATCTCCCCTCCAGCCAGATTGACTTGGTCAGTGATACTCCCCTTCCGTCCCGAAATTATTGTCCAATTTGAATTTTCAGTTTTAGTACAAATTGAATTAAAAGAGAAAATTCAAACTGAACAATAATTGTGATTATGGGAGGAACACAGAAGTAATTTGTATCCTGTTTGGATTAACCGCTCAATTTGTGACACAATAATTTTGGGACAGAGAGAATAATTTGTATCCTATTTGGATCAACCATCCAATTTGTGACACAATGTACAATGTGATTAGAAAGAATATTAGTGTCACCCTCGAATTTCAAATAGAACCTAACCTGCGCGTGTTCGTGACCCTAAATTCAGATCATGTCTTACGTGCATACTGTACTATGTTATTTACATTCCCACTCAACATTGGGTTTTTTTTGTATCATTGCTTCTCTAGCAGCGTAAAGATTACTCGTTACCTTTGCTTTTTTTCTTAAAGGACTCGCATTTTCCCTGTTTTTCTTGAAGGCCTAAAAGGGTTTTTTTTTTTTAATTTTTTCTTAACCTAAATAAACAAATAAATCCGGGTCTAACAATCACCAGAAACCATAACAAACACCAAGAAAGAAGATGAAGATCAAGAAATGAAGCTAGCTCATTATTCTATTCCACCTCGTCCATACTTTGGATACAACTACGGTTTCGTATTCAGGTGGTCTTTATAAAGATTGTGACATGAATAAAAGGATTAGTCGGCCTAAAATGGGATACACAACCATTCAGAAACCCGTAATTGTGCTTGTACTTTCCGTGAAGGAATCTTTATCAGGGTCCTACAAAAAGAACTCCTTTTATACGTATCTGTGTCACGATGGAAGTATAGAGTAGTTCACCAATCATTTCTTCTGTTCATGCCTGTCATAATCGAGGAACTTGGCGACACGTTTGGCTTTATCTCCAGATTTGTGGTCATAGTACTCGACAACTGCAGCCCCGGCTAATGCAGCGAGGGTAAGAGCTTGTGCATGTAACCTGATTGATTGCCCAAGAGGAAAATCATAACAGGAAAAGAGAGTGTCAGTGGCACTAATAGCAACAAACAGCAATCATCAAAAAATAAGAATGTGCCGTCGTATGGGGGAGAGGGGGTAGAGGAACGTGCCGCAAACAGATTTGCAGAGATGACATAACAGAACATCAATCAAACATATGGTGATCATGCCCACTTTCTGCAAGATACACATACTACTAAATGTTATAACGCGAAAAGTGTCTGAGAGAAGTGGTCAAACAAGCATACAGACCAAACACATCCCTAACAACGAAAAGACAAAAATAGTAGCACCAAACACCCACGAGGCAATGAAGGATTCAGCATGATTGGAAAGAAGGTAACAAGGATAAAAAGAAGCTAAAAATGACAAATTCTACTGTTCTAGGCACTAACATGATCTAACAGGTAAGATTGTCAAGGACAATTGATAAGCAGCATTATAATTTCATTTCAAAAGTTTCTATTAAAGTCACAATCGGAAGGTCTCTCAAAGATGTGCGCCATGGTAGTGATGTAGCAGCTAATCTGAAAATTTCTTCCAGGACCATACCTAACTATTTCGCTCTGGAGAACAACATTTTTAATCCAAACTTGCCAGATTATAATACTCTAGGGAAAGGGGTACGTCTGACACGGTAGTGACATAGCAGCTAATCCTGAAAAATTCTTTCAGGACCAAACCTAACTATTTCGCTCTGGAGAACAACATTTTTAATCCAAACTTGCCAGATTATAATACTCTAGGGAAAGGGGTACGTCTGACACGGTAGTGACATAGCAGCTAATCCTGAAAAATTCTTTCAGGACCAAACCTAACTATTTCGCCTCTGGAGAACAACATTTTAATCCAAACTTGCCAGATTATAATACTCTAGGGAAAGGGGTACATCATATGAGAAAGGGAGACAGAATTTATACTGTTCACTGAAAAGATACTGCTTGCGTATTTAGAGGTGACACTAGTACACTACTTTGAAATCATTTTGCACCACACATAATCAACACAATTTTGCATATGGACTGCGCACAGCTTAACTATTAACCAGCATAAAATTTGACCTGAAGGAGAATAGAAAATGGAAGCTGACATGTGCATTCTAAGAAAATAGAGAAAAAGTCCACCTAGCAAAACAGCACTCAGCTTCAGACACAATCGAAACAAAAACTCGGTAGTGCTTCTGCTATTTCCTCAAACACTCATAGTTTCATCCTCTTTTCCGAGTCATCATTAACGCAGAATCAATTCAACTTAAAGAAAAAAGTATAAACCCAAAAAACGCCTAACAAACACAACACTTCCCCTCCCTTGACAAAGAAGTGAAAGAGCAAAACGTCAGAATATTCTCCAATATGCAGAGAAAGATCAAAGAACTTCAAACCACATTTCAAATTACTACAATTCAGGCTTTCTTTTCTCTGATTGCTAATGCCAATTCAAAATCGTAAAAGACACAAATACACAAATCACAATCCCAGCTTTACGCAATAAGACATCGACAAATTAAACAATTCCAAATCTTATATCCTTCACGAACAACAAACATTCTATCAGAACCACTTAAATAAAAAAAAAAAAAAAAATTTAAAAGAGCCTAACCTGGCATGAATGATCTTAACGCTGGTTTTCATGTTGGGTTGCGACCAATTGTAAGCAATGGAGCTCGCCAGTCCAGTCAGCCATAAACACCCTGCAAAGAAAAAACCATCGAATTAGCAAAAAAATTGGATCCAAACAAGAAGAAATCAAAACAAAGATCGCCGCGATAATTAACCCAGAAGAGGTAAAAAAATAAAACAGAGAAATCAATTACCGACGGTACGAAGCTTGTGCTCCACAACCCATTCCCTGACGGAATCAAAGGTACTTGTTTGCTTCTCCGCCATCTTCTTTCCCAGTTTTTTCTTCTTTTAATTAATTTTGATAAATTGTACCCAAAAAAAGAAATAAATTTTGATTTAAAATTTGGGAAAACACGTACGAGGTTATTTGTGTTGTGTCCATCCACGTATGTCATTCTACTTCTCAGCCTTGCACGTGTTCTTTTGGCCCAAAACCAAACCAAACTCCATGTCGTTCTGGACAAACTTGGGCCATGTAACCCAGCCCAGCAATTTCTATTTATATAATTTAATTTTTTTGTCTTGGTCCAATTCCGGTCTGGCAAGGAATCAAATCAGTACGTAACTGAGGCAAGACTATTATTTTTTTCACTTATCATTCGATTAAATAATAAGTTGAGCAACGTATAATAATAATGCTATAAGTGATCGTGACCGAAAAAACATCTCAAGCTCTCTGAACTTGATCATTTTGTAATGAACTCGTCCAGTTCAGCTTTATGAGCTCTGATTGAGAGCTTGAGAGTTGATCTAGGATAATAAGTACATTTTTTTTTTAAGAAAATAAACATTTTTAATTTATGTATTAGTAGTAGTATTAAATAAATATTTATTTGACAGATTTGTTAAATGAATGAAAGAAAGAAAATGGTCTCATGTTCCCTTGTTCCACATGGATGAAAGTAAACACTTGAACCCAACATATATACCCCATTTGCTACTCCCCTCATAATCAATTGGTTTTGAGGTGGAACCACATGTAGGTTTATATTTGGGTCTTTTAAGATGGTATCAGAGCGGGTTTTAATTCGTGGATCTGTGGGACTTGTGGGGCGAGGTGGACTGACTCAGATTGGGTCTTGAAACTTTGGACAACCCACGGAAGAAATCCGAGGTTTGACTTTGAACTTTAACTGGCCCGGCAGGCGACAGTTTATCCGGAAAAATAACCGATCGCAAGATTGAAAAAAATCAGAAAAAAATATAAAATTACCCGTCCAAGTCTATTGGGCTTGAGAAGGGCGTGTTAAATGAATGAAAGAAAGAAAATGGCCTCATATTCCCTTGTCTCATTGTCCCACATGGATGGAAGGAAAGAGTTGAACCCAACATATATACCCCATGTGCTACTCCCCTCATATCCAATTGGTTTTGAGGTGGAACCACATGTGAACTTATATTTGAGCCTTTCAAGAAGATTATTACAAAATGTACTCTTTTTTAACCGTGACTAAATCATTTAGTTGATGATAATAGAACACTTTTTTTTTCCCTCTACAAATACTTCCGTCGGTAGCATTTTGATTTGTCCAAAGGTTAATTTAGTATGTTTTTTCCATTAAAAATAAAATCTTAAAAAAATATAGTATTATAATAATTGGGAGAATGATTGCAAATTATGTTCTTCCACATTGTTTCTACAACTGAGTATATTGAGCAATCTGGAATCAAGAATAACTGCTACTAAATCACTTTCCCATTATTATTAACTTACATTAATTTCAAAGTGCTTCAGCACATATACATGATACACTCAGCTTAAGGGAAAAAAGGTAAAACACAAAAAAAAAAAAAACTAAATATAAGCTGTACCTTACAAGATTTATAATCGCATGATTACATTATGGTGGTGTTAAAAGTTTCCTAGATGATATATATCTGTACCTGCTTTATACACTGGAAAAATTTTGGTTGCCACTGAGCTTGAGGATGAGTATCTTCTTCTACAATGGAATCCAGCCCTGTCAAAATATGAAACATAGTGTAAATGATTCTGAGACCCTATATTGGAGGAGTGATTTATTGAATTTTAATGAAGTGCCTGAAAGCTTAATGAGCAAACCTTAATAAGTCCTGTCTCAGTACCACATAGAATCATGTCATTGGCACCTAGTAGACTTGTTACTTTGCTCCCAGCTGACAATCTTCCCACTTTATGCATTGTTCCTCTCAACCAAATCTGTACCACAAATATGGAAAAACCTTAGATGATGATTTTCTTCAAAATTCGGACCATTTTTGTTTAATCTTGACAATGCAAGATTTAGTTTTCATTACTGTCAATTTAGTTTTGCGGCATGGCGAATGGCATGGCGTATTTGGTTTTTACCTGAAGGGTACTTCTTGATGCAGCTGAGTTTATGTATATGAAATCTTCCACTACTTCCATGGCTAACACGTTTGCACCCTTGTCACAAGTTACCGAAACTTGAGGCTTAATGTTTCTTCTCCAATCCTGCATCATTTGTAGTGTCAGAGTTAATGGAATGATTTTGAGTACATTTGATGTCAATGGTTTTTGTTTCTCTAACTTGCCTTAATCTTTGAACCTTCAACTACTACACTTGCTCCATAGAGCCACTCTTTGTAACTAGCAAGCGAGTTTATGGGCTTATTCTGCATCATCCACATCTTTGCTGGTGCTCTGATCTCTTGCTCCCGGCCAGTTGCAATAGCCAATTCCTGGATTGAGTTTCAAGTTAGTTTCTATGTTGGCAACTTGGCATACAATATACCATGTTTGGTGAAGTTTCGGACTAACCTGTATACTCGAATCCATGCAGCCCGCGTAAACTTTTCCCTGCGTGACTTTCATGGTCTTCACACGTTTATGCTTGAATACATCTTTGGCATTTCTTGAGGCATCAAACACCTAAGAGAACATCATAAGTCCATGTCCACTACAATGTACTTGCTGATCATATATACGTGTATTCGCCGCCATAATCTTAACACTTTACCTTCATTTTGTGACCTCGGCTAATCATAAAGATCAGTTCTCCATATGTATCCAATCTATCTATTGAGCTATTTGTTGAAATGACTTCAATGCATTCCAGATGCTGTTGAACCATTTGCCAAATCTGCATGAAAACGTAAAGCTTCTCAGAACATGTTTACATCCACTGTTCTGTTACCTAATCAGTTGCTGAGATGAACCATTGTCCTAATATTCTGTTAATGATCATACCTTAATAGTTTTGTCAGCAGATCCACTCAGGAGGCAGTTCCCTGGTTCAAGAAGCGAAAAGCATGTCACGGCTTTATTGTGATTTTTCATTTCCTGTACCACAGTTGCAGTGTGTCCCTTGATGTCCCACATCTGCAATATCAACTACATCAGACTTGTTGCTACAATGGAACTTATTACCTCACAAATAAAGTGAATTTTTAAGCTCATGAAAGATTGCAGGCCTTTATTGAACCATCTGCATATCCACTGCAAAGCAGTCCCTTGTAGTAGATTAGAGCAGTAACAGCTCCATTGTTGCTATGAACTATCTCTAACGTCTGCGTGTGAACGCAAGATATTCGCTGTTTGTTTCATGCAGAATGGAACTGGAAGTTAGTATGTGCAAGCCTGCATTATGACTTAGGATTGTAAGGCGATCAAAGGGAACTTTTGAATACTTACCCATTTATTTGGCTGGAAATAGTCAGCTACTTTTAGTAATTCTTCGGCCATCCAGGTAACACTTGCTAGACGCCTCAGAGATTCTTTTACACCTTCTGAAAAATGAATCAGTTTTTTCATCCCTGCAAATAAGTAGATTTCATTTCAGTTGATAACTTCAGCAAAATGTGGACATACATGTGCTTTGTCATCTTCTTCTGTTAATTTTGTAATGTTGTGTTGTGGCATGCAAGATTTATTACCTCTACCCAATGTGTAGTTGTATATACATAAACAAGCCAACAATCTTTCTTCAAGATCGATTCCAGGATGCACGTATTGCTCGATGCTGCTTAACAAAATCTCGCACGCACCATATCGCAAACTTTCAGAACTCTTTGCTACTTCACAACCAATCCATGCAATAGTTGTCAGGCAGTCTCGAGAAATTCTCTTTGACTTGTTGTTAAGTCCCTTAACCAGATCATGGAAGACAGGAATCCCAAACTTCATGACACATCTTGCCAGTTTCCCGCACCATTTGTCTACACCTGCATCCTGTTTCAAAAAACTTAGTCAGTAGTTGAATGATCCCTTTTATGTAAACAACATCATTCATCCTTTACCATAAATCAAAAGGAAACTGAGGGAATTTTACCAGCAAACTTTCATCCGCGAAGTCATATTTCTTTATCATGTTCTTGTGATGTAGTGAGGTTAAACCAGCTTTCTTTGTCAGCCATGCGACTGTATAAGGTTCTCCTGTCCAAGAATAAGTTCCACCAATGTTTGATAGGATGGATGCTGATAAAGCTTGTAAGGAAGAATTATCTTCGCACGCCAGCGATTCAATCAGTATCTTTACTGCTTCTTCTTGATACATAAGCTTTCCGGAATCTTCATCCTGATAATAAAAGTATTGCTATGATCATCGAACAATCCATAGAAAGATAAAACTACTAAAGAAATTGGTAACTAATGTGTAAACAAAACTTTCTTTTGAAGGGCTAAAACAAATTCAGTTTACCAGCATGTCTAATTGGAGCAGCAAACTTGCTGCTAAAAGTCTGTGCTCAGGTTGAGAATTCTGGATCAGTAGTAACAATGCACTCATCATTTGGCCGCTTCCAGATTTTCGTATCTCTTTCAGTAGTTTGATGGCATTTGATCTGAGACAGAATTCTACCGTATTAGCCTTCATAACTGGGAACACTGCTTTCTTACAACACAAGTTATGTAACCTTTACTTTCAAAATCAAAGAAAGCTCTTATTAGTGAACAAAGTATTTAAAGCTGGATACCTTGGCATTTGGAGCAGTTCATGCAGAAATTCCAATGCAGTCGATGATGCTCGTTTCTGGTTGCTTCTTATTAGAGAGATAAACTCAGAAACTGGAGCAAACTCAGTGATGAATCTCCTGCATTGTCCATCGAAACGCATGCACCTTACAAGGATGGAGGCCAAGGATATGAATTCTTCAAGGTTATCGTTTCCGGGGATATCAAGTAACCCGGAAAGAACTCTAGGTGAACTGATTATGGAGAGGTGCATGTTATTTGTCCTGCAGTCAAACGCAGTCACTAATACTTCAATGATCATCAAAGATGCTGCACGAGGCGTCAGCAAAAGCGATGTTATGGCATACTTGTAGCTGTTGGAAGTGCACACAACGTCCACCAAACAAGGTAAAATTTCCAACATCTTTATCTCTTCTGGTGGAGGATTTATCAAATAGATCAAAACAGATGCCTCATGCACATTTCTTCTAAGTGCACTGGCCAGATCATACAACTGAAGCCCCTTCCTCTTAATGTCCTCTATGATTGGTTTGTTCCATGAAATGATTGTTGAAAGTATTGTCACTGAAGCCCTTATTACTTGCTCCTTTTCCGATTTTGAGATAGCCATGAGCAACTGATCTACAATGATGTCCTTGAGTAGAGAATACTTAAGCCCTCTTCTGTTGTTCAACAACTTATACACAGTTGAAATCTCGATGGTGTAATCTTCCTCAACATTTCCCAATGTTTCTGAGAAGCAAAGGTTTGAGATTATCTTTTCTAGTATTTGTACTTGTTCAATCTGAGAAGTTTCTTCAGGGAATCTTTGAACTTTATATAAACTATCCTGGAAACTCGCGCTTGTCAACCTCACATCCGTAGCTAAACTTCGCGTGCGATGCAGCTGATGGAGCTGCTTGATATCAGATTGTTGGTAATCATGCAACTCTAGCCTCCCTAGAGTAGAATCCTTTTCTGGATTTCCGTCTGCTAGGAAATGCGCCTCCAAATCATGTAGTCCTAGCGCCGATATGTCTGTATGCCTGAATGAATCAGATTGTGTTCTGGAAAAGAGATCCATAACCATCAACCCCTTGTCATTTTTGTGGTCTTTCTGTCTACATGCTTTTTTATCTTGATGAATATTGGACTTGAAGAGAGATCCCGGCTGGTTCCTGTATGTCAACCAAGGTAATGATATTAGTACATTTAGATAAGCTCAGTTGGATAACTTCTAATTGTCAAGTTTGAAAGTTAAAGATCTTCAGAAAATGGACCAAACTGATCAACAATTTGAGCTTGCACATCTTCTGCACATCTGTTTCTGAGTTTCATCGACACTTTCGATTCTCTTTGAGTTTCCTGATCCAGAAGAAGAAAACATTTATCATTTCCAGTTTGAGAAATGGATTGCATGAACCATAAAACTGCACAATTTTTTTCTTACTTATCTAACACAGACGAATCAGGACAACATGTTCCTTGACAAATTTACCTCAAAAACAGTTTCTGTAGAGTTGCTGTTGGATGAACCTATGTCCGAAGATGATTCGAGCAATATATCTTTTAGGTATCTGATACTTGAACTTCTGGTGGTTTCTGCATAACTGCCCTGTGTCAAATATGGAATAGCTTTTGCATCATTTAGTAACCACTGAAACTAATGCATTCCACAGTTACATTCTTCAAAATTTTCATTCCAAGTAAAATGAAACTCAACTTCATTAGCTACTAACTATACAAAGCATACTCGCGTCGTCCCAAAATGATTAGTAAAACAAGCAGGACAATCTTCTTGGGATAGTTAATAGTATATCCAAATTTCAGCCCCCTTTAAGAAAGCTATTTTGAGGGTACAATTCAATATATGCTAGCTTTCGTCTGTCATGTTCAACATTGAAAAAGTTTCTCAAGTATTTCTTTATAGAACCACTAAATTCAGTCATCTTTAATCTATGAAATATGAATGAGGATGGAAAATTGGCAATTTCTTACCTGCAGATTAGTCACTTGGGTATTTCCTTTAGTACTCCTGAAGACACTTGCCTTACTCACGACAATCTTGGAAAATCTTTCATCAACTTGCTTCGAATTACGCTCCCCATCAGACATGATCTGATAATATAACAACCAAGCTTTGTACTCCCTGGCCATTGCTCCCATAACAACTTCAGTATCCTCATTCCTATGATCAAGATCCATCCTTTTTCGCCTAACGTACGAATGAAGCATGATTTTGCAGAGTTCTGGTGCAAAATCTTCTTGCACAAGTCTAGGAGACACCACAAGAGCTTGAAGAAAATGCAATGCAACCTGCCAATCATCCCTCTGAAGGTTCCTAACAACCGACAAGTAAAAATAGGAGCAACAGACCAAATACTCATTGGGAATTCCAGAAGTTAGTCCTTGCTCATGTAATGAAGCAGGAACTTGAAGCATTTTCTCTGAATTCAACAACTTTAAGGCTCTTTCTTCTTCTGGGATTTTGGCTTGTGTTGCATTATCAATGGACTCAATACCCCAGTACAAGTTTGACACTATTGAGTACTCCGAGAACTCAAAACATGATTGCTGTTTTTCAACATTGAGCTTGGAAATGCACTTCAGCTTCAAAGACATCCATGCTTTTGCATTTGCAAGTAATGCATCAATGTGTTGATTGATTGTAGTGACTAATGAACTAACATAATCATAATCCAATTTCTCATTTTCTTGGTAAAGGGATTTTGGAACAGAGGAACAGGAAGAAGAAACAGATTTGGAAGAAGCCATTGATGATGAATTGGTCTTCAACATTTTTTTTCAGCCTCATGAATAGGAAGAAGAAGAAGATAGTGAAAGAGGGAAAGTTACGTAAGAATTGTTGCAGAAGAAGAAGAATGGGAAAGTTCTGAAACATCTGCTCGTGAATGTCAGCTAAAACTTCCAAATTTTCAGTTGGTCCCTCAAAAGTTTACTTAAGAATGGAGCAGTAAGACAAAAGTGAGGCTGTTTTGCTCCCCTCAAACGGAAGGAAGGTGCGCTAGATGGAACCAAAATTCTTACTTAATTCTAAGGGCAAAATCTTTTTGAATGATTGATTCCATGTTATTGAACTTGAGGTCGTGTTTCGTGGTTGTAGGCCGAAAGATGGTAAAAGGAAAAAATCGATAGACAAAGTTAGCACAATGTTATAAAGTCCGCGTTAATTGTAAAATAAATAGATTTTGTTCGTATCTAATACTAAAAACGTATTATTTCTAAGTTACATTCGAAGTCACAAATTGCCACCTCTACATTTTGAACTTTAACAAATTGGAGAGCTTTAGTCCTTTAGCCTATTTTTAAGGTTATCATAAAAGTAAGTACAATTCATCACGCATGAAGAACAGTGACCTTAATTTCAGGGACACTTGTTCTTATTGATCTCATCTTTGATTATCATTGGTGGAATTGTTTTTTGTCTTGGCATTATGTTTTATTTTTATTTTTTCTTTAACCCTGTCTAATCTGCACTTCTGCAGGCATGCTGACTTAACAGAGAGCTCCCATTATTGATAAATACCCCACAGAATTGAAGTGCACAAAAACTTTAGGAGCACACAAAATCTGACAAAATAATGCAGCTAAGACTTTTGCTTCCTAGTGTTATATTGAATCACATAATTATGATTCTAACGACAAAACAGAGAGACATTTCATTCAGTAATAAGTAATAACAGTGTCCCCTGACCCTGTTCAGTATTTGTACTTACAACTCAGGTGAGAAATTCTTAACCCTAGAAATTGTGATTTAATGAATAGAATCATTGACTGAATCATTCGTTCACCACGTTAGCAATTATTTCTCGCCTTTGTTTATTTTGCCAAATTTCTATTGGATCAGCAAAGAAAGGGTTAATTAATATACTTTAGTATTCATTTTACCAAGTGTGATGTCTTTCTGGAAAACCACTAGTTGAAAGTGTGCAAAAAGAGCCAAAGAAAGCCATCAGATAAAACAGAAGAACAACTCAAACACTGAGAAAGGATGAGGAACCCTTTTGCTCATTTGAGGTGATTTGATAATTGAAGATTTGGAGGTTATGAGTATGAAAGAGAGGCCAAAGGCCACATGCTTTCCAGAGATTGAAGGGCTCTCTCTCTCAATTTGACCTGTCAGAACAAGAAACTGTCACATGATGGTTTTTTTGATATGTACTAAATTTGTTTTTTCACTGTACTGAGCTTCATTTATTTATCTGCACTTACATCTTTTTGTGAAGCTAAATTCTACTGGAATATGCATACTCCAATCATAAACACTATACAAAAATTTTCTATTTTTATGCCCTACAAGGACATATGTACAAATTAAAAAAAAAAAAGAAGGAATATTTGTAATGATTCAATATTTGTTTATGTACTATAGGCCTAGTTTATTTATTGCTTTTTTATTCCCGGGTCTAAAAGAAATGGTTTGGGAAAGCATAATAAAGCAAAAATTTGCACATGCCACAAATCAAGAAGTGATTTTTACCCGAAAAAAATTTAAATTTTAAGTTTATCAGACAATAGTCTCCTTTTTTCTACCGAAAAAAGACGAATTTTACAACTGATTTGGTGACTTGCTTGACTGCAAAAGTATTACAATTAAGAAATATTTTTGTAACACCATTGAGAGTTCAGTTATGTATTAATTATGATGTTATATTGGAGTACCGTTAAACAATTACTTGTACTACAATTAAATGTCTAATGTTACTACTGCAATAATGGTGTATAAAGTATAAACCTTTCCCTATGCATACACCAAATGAGTGATTTGAGTATGCCAATCATCCATCTTTGACTCAAGTTGGATATTCAAAATGTTGCTTTGAACATGTATAAAATTAGCTATTTCTTCCATCAAGATAACTATAGAATGCTAACCAAAGTAATGAAAACTAGGATATTTTTAGTGTTTTCCATTTCAAAAGATTAGGTTATGCCACGTTTTATTATTTTTTTCACACTCCTTTATGACAAATCGCCATCGGTCAACATGATCAATCTCAATCACTATAACCATTAAAGATGAAATTCTCCTATTAGTCAGTTGGGCACTATCATCAAGCCATGCTAGCCGCCTGAATTTGGGCTCAAATCGTCGGAATCCCAATTGGAACGTGGCGGTCCGACGGTTGCCGTCGAGTTGTCAGGCTAATGTGTTTGTTGCTGAAATGACAATCCAATAAAATTGTTGAAAATTTTTCGAATTGGACTTAGTATAGTATGTTAATTATCAAAATAACACAAAAAGTGTTACAAAACATTTTTCACCGTTTATTGGATTTTTTTTTTTTTTTTGGTTTACATTTACATGCATGTTAATCATCTAGATAATATATAATCACATTAATTGGCAGAATATTATTTTGGCCCAACCAAAAAAAAAAAAATTCCTTTTCATGGTAGCCAATAAATTAAATGATGAATGTTGTGAGGCTGTAATGAAAGCGACTCCACAAAAAAAAAAGAAAAAAGAAAAAGTATGCCAATGTGTCATTGATGAGTTCCTGTTCTTCTCGGGCCATTTATTATTATTGTTAACAAGTTCCCAAAAAAACAGAAATTGAATAAAAATAATGTAAAATACTACATTCTCCGTCTCATTTTAATAGTTTATGATGTTGAAATAAAATAATATGATAAGGTGGATCATCAAAGTGAGACGAAATGGAAGAATTATATTATATATCTTGATAGGTTGTGCGTGGGGATGTAAGACTGCAAAAGTAGGAGAATCAGTATAGATTAATGGACTGAAAATATTGATGAAGTAATTAATTGAAATAGAACAAGAAAAAAACAAAAAGTTTTAAAAATAGTTAGGCTATCGTCTGTCACGGGCGAGAAACACATTAATTTTATTAATTTTTCTTGTTCATTTTATCCTTTTAGAATCTTTAGAGAAAGTCATGGGGGTTTCAATATCACATGTATTTGTAACGTAGTGATGATTAATTGCCTATGTGAAATGAATTGGACAAACTCCCTCCTTTCATTTTCGACATAGAATGAAAAATATATGGACGTTATATGTTACATTACATATATCATAATTGTCCAAATTTTGGATTTTTCAGTAATAATAATAATAATAATAGAAAATCTTCAAACTATAGAATGATGCAATGGGGTTTTAGACGAGGGAATTGATTGAAGCCTCTTCCAAAGAAATCGTATGCGATTATTATTGTGGGACGTTTATCATTATAGTAGTAGTCTAAGTATTCTACTCCCTCCGTCCGGTAATTATTGTCCAGTTTAAGTTTTCATTTCTAGTTCAAATTGTACTAAAAGTAAAATATTAAATTGGACAATAATTTTGAGACAGATGGAGTATAAAAAAATGGGACGAATATGATAGGAAAATTATCGTTTTTTTGTCTCCGTGAGCAAGATTATTTTGTTATTTTTAATGTTTTTCTGGAAAATGGAAATGGGAAATAATATGTATGATTGAAAAAAGAGCAAGTTAACCCTATTTATTGACTGGGACTTTCATGAACTCAAATCTGATTGTGAAAATAGTGGTTTTCTTGGGAAAAGAAGGTAGAAAGTTTATTTTGTTTGAGAAAAAGATTAAAAAACACCCAAAAATTTGAAAATTAGCTAGAAATCAATCCAACTAGGTACTCGCTCAATTTCAAAATGTAAGTCATTTTAGACTTTGCATGTAAACTTAGAAAACAATCATCAAACAATTAATTCATATTTTAAATATCTGTTTTACTCATCATTAATTATATTGAAATTATAAACAAGATTAAATGAAAATAGGTTGTGTCATCTTTTGTTAAAGATAAAGTTAAAAAAATAGTCATTAATTTGCGAAAAATTTATAAACGACTTATATTTTGAAAAATATATCCAAGACCTGCAAATTGAAATTGAGGGAACACAAATTTGGGGATATTGGCATGGGCTCATTTTGGGGATCTTCCACTCAAATGAATGGGCTACTTTTAAGTGTCTCTTATGATCCCAACATAGGCGGCCTACCTTTGAGCCTCTCGTGGAAGTTACACGGAGAATGATACAAGTTGGTAAAACTTTAGAAGCAATAAAGACTGCCAAAATTGCAAAAATTTATTAATTTTTCTGATAGTGGAGACCCTATAATACACTTTTTTTAAAAAAATAAATAAATAAAAAATCTACACTTCTGATTCCATGGAAGTAACAAGAAAGAGGTCATTGACCTTCTCATCGAAGTAACACTTGGAGTGGAATACCAAAAGTTGTGTAAGGTTACAAGAATTGGCCCAAATCCAATGAAGAAGGATGTGGGAGAATCTGTGCATGCTGTGATGGAAAATGTGTAGACCTTTACAAAATGGTCATTAACATGTGTGGATATGTGCTCTTTCAAAAGAGCGTCCTTGCACACAAAAAAAAAAAAAAAGATTTTAGATTCTTGAAACATTATTTGTTAGACTGATCAGTAAGTTAATTGCACGATCAACCCATTTCACTAATATATTTTTTTTTAATCTATGCTAAATGTTATTATTTTTTGTAAAAAAATCTTATTCTTTAAATTGAAAAAGACAGATTAAAAGAATAATATCATTATTGTCTAGCCATATTATTAAAAAAATTTATATGTTTATGTAAATCAATCATGAGTTACAAAATGTATATCTATAAATTTGTACAGTAGTGTTTAAAAATAAATTATTTATTTAAAAGATCATATAGAATATTTTTATTGTTATGAAAAATAGTAAAAAGAAATAAAAAAAGAAAAATTTAAATAAAAACTGAAACAGACTATTTTGTAATTTTTGTAAATTTTTGAGATTTTTTTAATAAATTTTTAAAATTGTTAGGGTGTTTTTATAATTAAAACAAATAGAATTCAGTTAATTTAAACGGAAAATAGCAAATTGGATAAAATCGGCTAACGGTTGGATAATTTAGGGTAATATTGGCTAACCGAAAAAGAATGGGGTAAAATTGACGACGCATGTAAAGTTTTGGATAAATCCGCCAATTTTTCCGACAGATTTTCTTAAGTTTTGCATTATGTCTTCCAATATTCTTGACAAGATGATGGTCAGCTGAACTCATGATTCCAATATTAATGAACAGAATTTCATTCATGTATATCCCTCTTCTCCAATATCATTTGTATTCTTTTGAACCTTGTATTAATCTTGCAGTTAGAGTATATTGCAATGGCCAATGGGAGTCAGTAATAGACGTCGCAGAACTGTAAAATGTAAAGGAAAATAAATCAAATAGCTGATGACATTTGATGGGAATATTAAAAGGTACACATTCCACTTTTCGAGTCAAAATTAACCTAAATGCTTGGCAATTCATTGTCAGCATGTACTCCTTTCGTCCTAAAAGAATAGTTTACTTTTGCGCGCAACCTCGCTGATTTTATAGTATGGAGTTAGGCTGTTCCACATTGAGCTGACGCTTGAATGTCCGGATCACCAAATATGGCAAGATCACCGTGCCTGACATAAACAGAGTGAACACAAGCGGCAAAGTCAAGAAACTCCAAATTGGCCACAATGCAAACGTGAAGAAGCAGAAGGTGGTGATTCCAATGACAATGAGAATTGGCAAAAGTGCAGCCACACTTAAAATTTCCCAATTTTGATTGGTTTTCCTGGCTCCACAAGCTACCATAATTGTTGCATACAAGAAGAACAGAGTAATCAAACCAACACCTATCATCCCAAAGTACAACGGAAGCCTTTTAATTCTTTCTTCATCATGCCACAAGAGGAACACAAAATTGGAATCACCATCACCAAGATAGATCATAAAAACAGCAGATGCAATCCAGAGAAAATTCAACAGGAATTCAACCCATGTCCCAGGTTTAGGAGGTGTTGAAAAATCAGGTCTTGAACATTCATCACCATCATCATCACTACTTGATGATGCATCACCATAGCCTTGATTGTGCCTTTGCCTCATGTATCCAGACATTGCTGCTAAGATGTTGATGATTAATCACAAATTTCTCTAATTAAAAATCCTAATCCCCTGACCACCCCACCCAACCCAACCCTCCCACCGGACCCACCCCCTTTAGGCTATATACTTGTAGTGAATCCTACAGAAAAAAACAGCAGGAGGAAAAAGCCAATAAAACTGTCTCAATCTCTGTACATTAACCTAATAGTATCCCACTCACAGAGAAATTTCAAGACACCAAGCATGATTGCAATATGCATCAACCCAAGAACCGATTTTTAATTGCAAAAGACTCAAACTTTAGATAGACCCATCAATGGAATTAATATAGCCCACTTCATGAATCGCCAAACTATCCAATGGAAACAATCTCAGGCCTTCAATTCAACTCTAAAGTTCAATCCTGGGAATTGATACTTAATTAGAAATTCTTGAAGAGAACAAAGAGCCAGATTGTGGGCTTCAATCTCACTTGAAAGGGTTTATACACAATGCGCTCTATAACAGGGAATGAAAAACGTAACAGTAAATAAAGTTTATGGAAACAATTGGTGTTTGCCCAATTGATGATGATGATGATGGTGATGCATGGGGAAGATGAAGAAGCCGAAGAAAATTATGAGAGGAAGGGTTTTTGCTTTGTTGATTTGGGCTTTCTTATGTGGTGGGCTTATGGGCCCAATCTACGAAACTTGATTTGGTGAGCTGTTTGGTATTCTTGGTTTGTTTGAGCTACAGATGTTGGAATTGGAGGTTTGACCGGAGAAGCAAATTTCAGATGTCACAAAATGGTGGTTTTGGTCCTTTTTTTGGGGAAGGATGGGGAAGGGATTAGAGAAAAAAGCAAAGGAATTGAGTGACAAAAATGAGATTGAAAGGGGAGGAAAAAGAAACTGGAAATGAAGTGGAATTAGGTTGTGCAACAAGAACACCAGCAGTAAAGTATGGCCATTTCTGAACCATAATTTGTGATTATTGATTAAGTTTAAAATACTTAAAAATACACAGCCTGCAGATGAAGTTGTTTAGTTTTTTACACACAAAAATGTTGGCTTGGGAGCATAAAATCTGTTGTAACTTGGTGTCATACACAGCAAAGTAAGCTTTTGCTTTTTAAGGTAAAGTTTTCTTGATCAAGTCACATTAATTTTGGTCTTAATTTTATCAACTGAGAAAATGTTTCAATGGTATGAATGCAAATAAAAATTGTAATCAACATGTAACACCTATATCCTAAAATGATTGTCCAATTTAAATCTTTTTCCTCAATACAATTTGTACTAAACGTGAAAACCTAATGCAGTTAATGCAGCAGTTTTGTTAGTCTTCCAATGTGTTCCATGGCAAATGATGCCATGGCCATAATCAACTCTAAGGAGGACTTAGTTACTCCTCCATGTGTTATTTTCAGTCACAAGAGCACACAAGTTGATGGCCTTACACTCAAAATATACAGTGATAAAACTCTCAAATCACCATCTTGCTTGCACACCTGACACGACAATAGTTCTGCGGAGCAAACAATCTGATCTATCAACCGCCCCTTAGTATTTACGATCAGAATGTATTTCTGGTTACCGAAAACGAGTCAAGCTCTCTGCCCCGACAGAGTTTCAGTCTCAGCAAAACACAAGTGAAAACACTTGTGTGGTTTTAAGCTTCACAATCTGATTAAAATTACTAGATAAATGAACTGCAATGTTGATCGTGTTTTTTTTTTTTTTTGATATAATGTGATGGACCTTAATTTGTTGATTTATTACATGGGCCTATTTGTTGAGAAGAATTTTGAGAATCTCTTTGAAAAAGATGGAATAAGAGGAAAGCTTTGAAAACTCATATCTGCTTTTGAGAATTTTTGTGTTCTGCGGCTTCAAACATGATCAATAATGAGGTCGTTATGATCTATCTCCGCCTGATGTTTCAAACATGATCAATAGCAACTCTTGATATTGTCCAGTTTGGAATTTCATTTTTAATATAATTTGAATAAAAAAAATGAAAATCCAAACTAAATAATAATATTGGGACGGAAGGAGTAACAATGTAACAGTTTTTGTTCAGAAGAAATGTATTTCCTTTATCCAGAACTTATTGTCCACATTGGATTTTCATTATTAGAGGGAGTACATGGCTTATGTTCTTTTATTGAGTCAAGTCATGGGAAGGATGAAACAAGTATCCGATCATTAAGAAATTATCCTTAAAGGGCCTAAATCTCTACTGCTTTTCAAGTGTGTGCCATTTGTGACCACTTTTTTGGTCTCTTTTAGGGGTTTTAAGAACTATAGTACCAGTCAACAGAATCCTGTGCTTCATCCATGGAGGAGACTTCAGAATCATCTGGTTTCAAGGTTTTGATGTTCCCATGGTTGGCTCATGGCCATATCTCTCCTTTCATGGAGCTCTCCAAACTACTCTTCACCAAAAAAAACTGTCACATATACTTTTGTTCCACAAAAATCAACCTTAATTTTGTGAAAGAAAATTTTGGAGAAACCTTATCCAATCATCACTCCATTGAATTAGTTGAGCTTCATTTACCAGATTCCCCTGCGCTTCCACCACAGTATCAGACGACCAAAAACCTTCCACCCCATCTCATGTCAAAGCTTATGATAGCTTTTCAGATGGCAAAATCCAGCTTCAGCATCATCCTCAATCATTTGAGCCCAGATTTGTTAATCTTTGACAGTTTTCAATCATGGGCTTCATTGTTGGCTGCAGAGAAGAACATTCCTGCTGTTCATTTTGCTACTTCAGGGGCAGCAACAGCTTCTTTTTTCTATCATATGTACGCTCATAATTGCAGTGATGAGTATCCTTTTTCTTCCATCTTTCTGATGGACTATGAAGCAAGAAAGTTTCAGGCTTTGGTTGATTCTAATAAAGCTGTTGCAGAGGATTATGCATTCAGATCCTTTGATTTGAGCTCAGAGATTGTGTTGATTAAAACATGCAGAGAACTTGAAAAGAAGTATCTTGACCATTTATCTTATCTTTGTGGTAAGGAATTAGTATGTGTAGGTCCACTGGTTCAAGAATCAAATAGCCAAGAAGAGGACAATCATACTGATATAATTAACTTCCTGAATAGTAAAAATCAAGCTTCAGTGATTTATGTTTCTTTTGGAAGTGAATACTTCTTGTCTGAAGAAGAAAGGGAGGAAATTGCACATGGGCTTGAGCTTAGCAATGTGAATTTCATTTGGGTGATTAGGTTTCCTGTTGGGCAAAAACTTACCATTGAAGAAGCTGTTCCAAAAGGGTTCTTGGAAAGGGTTAAAAGCAGAGGAATTGTAGTGGATGGATGGGCACCACAGGGTAAGATTCTTGAGCATGAAAATACAGGTGGATTTCTAAGTCATTGTGGATGGAGTTCTGTGATGGAAAGTTTGCATTTTGGAGTTCCAGTTATTGCTATGCCAATCCATCTTGACCAGCCCACAAATGCTAGACTATTGGATGAAATTGGGGTTGGGATGGAGGTTTTGAGGGATGAAAATGGCAAGATGAACAGAGGAAATGTTGCAAATGCTATAAAAATGGTGGTTTTGGAGAAGGATGGGGAAGAGATTAGAGGAAAAACTAGAGAAATGAGTCAAAAGTTAAGATTGAAAGGGGCAGAGGAGGAAGTAGAAGCAATGGAAAAGATTTGGAATTTATGCAGCAAATACAAGGAAGCCAGGAACGGTAAAGAAACTGAAATTGAGCAGCAAGAACAAGCTTCCAGATGAACTTAATTTGAAAACAACAACTGTAATGAGCTAGCTGGTCTTTATGTAAATTTTAATTAGATGTCATTGCAATTTACTTTGTAGCTTTTCAGCTTTATTCAACAAAAGTTTTCCCTGTCAATGTCATTTAGAATGGCACAATTTCATGGTAGTAACTTTTGATCAGTGTAAGTATCAAGTTCTTGGGTGGAGTATGAATTTCTAACCACTGTGTATGCATGAAGAATGAAACTTTGCGATACTAAAAAATTTGAGTTCAGACAATAAAATTTTAATTTGGAGATATCAAGGTTTTCGTAGACAAAAAGAAATAGATTATCCAAATTGATTTCATGGATGGTAGGTACATACCCTAATTAGGTGACTAACTCATTGACCATTATAAGGAGTTAGAAAGAATTTGAGAAAACAGAAGAAAACAATTATAAGGAGTTAGCATCACATGAACACCGAGTTGCAAATGTTGAATCTGAAACCTTCAAAAAGTGTCTGTTTTCCTTTTAGTTCTAGTCTTCTAGAATGAAGAGCATATATGGACAGATTCCTGAATCATAATCTTAGGTGCCAATCAGGCTATCCCCAAAAGTCAAAGTGTCAAACCCATATTCTTGGTTTTCTTTAATGTTTTTAAAATTCACCCAATCAAACAACAAATTCAAGCTAGACTAAAAAATGTCACAAATTTATTTGATTCTACCAGAAAAGGTAAAAGACAAGAATGCCTGAGAGAAAAACGTTGCCATTACCAGAACATATTGGATTACTGTTAAAAACTAGTACAAATTTGAAACCAATATTATTTCTACAATTAACGAATGAGTGCAAGATAATTGATTTCATTTGGATTTCTTCCAGAAGGTACGTAGGTAGCCAGCCATTCATTCATTTTTCCTAATGGATAGTTTACAACATATGCAGTCTGGAATTTGACTGCAATAATTTGGTCAGCATATTATTGTAATCACAGAAGAAAATCCACCTTTTAAAAAACCCTCCACAAGAAGCAATTTTTTTCACTCAGAAACACAAAAGCTTCTTCAATGGAGGAGAAAAAGACTTCAGAATCCTCTGTTTTCAAGGTTCTGATGTTGCCATGGTTAGCTCATGGCCACATCTCTCCTTTCATGGAGCTCTCCAAAAGACTCCTTGCCAAGAAAAACTGTCAGATATACTTTTGTTCCACAAAAGTCAACCTTAGTTTTGTGGAGGAAAATTTTGATGAGATCTTATCGAATCAATCCTTCCAATTAGTGGAGCTTCAATTACCTGATTCCCCTGATCTTCCTCCTCAGTATCACACAACCAAAAACCTGCCACCCCATCTGATTTTCAACCTCATACGAGCTTTTCAGATGGCGGAATCCAGCTTCAGCAGCATTTTCAATTCTCTGATCCCTGATTTGGTCATCTTTGATGGATTCCAATCATGGGCTCCAAAGATTGCTGCAGAGAAGAAAATCCCTGCTGTTTATTTCATCACTTCAGGTGCTGGAACCATGTCCTTTTACTATCATATGTACATTAAAAATGGCAGCTTTGCAAATTTTCCTTTCTCTTCCATGTTTCTAAGAGACTATGAGCTGAGGAAGATGAAAGCCCATGTGGAATCCAACTCTGATGATCAAGCAGATGTAGAAAATGTTGGATTCAAATGCTTTGAATTGAGTTCAGAGATCATTCTGATCAAAACAAGCAGAGCGATTGAAGAGAAGTATGTTGACTATTTGTCAAAGCTATGTGGGAAAGAATTGGTGTGTTTAGGTCCACTTGTTCAAGAATCAAGTAACCAAGAAAGGGATGGTTGCAAAGACATCATGAATTTCTTGAATGAGAAAGATCAGGATTCAGTTGTTTATGTTTCTTTTGGAAGTGAGTACTTTTTGTCTGAAGAAGAAAGGGAGGAAATAGCATATGGGCTTGAGCTAAGCAATGTGAACTTCATTTGGGTGATTAGGTTTCCTGTTGGGCAGAAGGTTGAGATTGAAGATTCAATTCCAAAAGGGTTCTTGGAGAGGGTGAAAAACAAGGGAATTGTAGTGGATGGATGGGCACCACAAGCTAAGATTCTTCACCATGAAAATACAGGTGGATTTTTGAGTCATTGTGGATGGAGTTCTGTGATGGAAAGTTTGTACTTTGGGGTTCCAATTATTGCAATGCCAATGCATCTTGACCAGCCCACAAATGCAAGGGTATTAGGTGAGATTGGTTTTGGTGTGGAGGTTTTGAAGGATGAAAATGGCAAGATGAACAGAGAGGAAATTGCAAATGCTATAAAAATGGTGGTTTCGGAGAAGCAGATTGGTGAAGGAATTAGAGGAAAAGCTAAGGAATTGAGCAGGGAGTTGAGATTGAAAGGGGAAGAAGAGGAACAAGAAGGCGTGGAAAAGCTTTGGGATTTATGCAACAAATACAAAGCAGCAGCTCAGGATTGACGAAAATTTTTGGATATTGTAACTTCGTTTTTTCAAGCATAATTGGTTAAGCCCATTAATGTTCTTGGGCCTTCGTTTATTCACCAAACCAAACAAAGAAGTCAAACAAAATTTATTTTATTTTGATGATGAATTTTATTTTTTTTTATAAAAAAAACCAGAGAAAATTTTTAGTTTGTTTTTGTTTTTGGTTCCAGAGAGGATGTAATAATAATTCCTTCCAAAAAGTAAACTTAACACTTGCCGTGGCTTGTCTTGTTTCACGGAAGGTATTATCATTGCATATGAGGATAAAATTTAGCCAATTATGAATTCAAATCGAGCAATTTATATGAAATCTTATTTTGACCAAATTTGAAATAAAATTAATTTAAATAAATATAAACACAATATACTAATTTTCTATTTAAAAAATTACGCAATTATTTTTAAATAAAAAATCAATTCATAAGCGTGTAGAATAATAAAATTATTCACTCAAATACTAAATGTAAAGAACTAAACTTTGTCTAAAAAGAATAAAAAGTACATCATTTACCACTATTATAGCTAAGCTTTAACTAATTGTGATGATCAGAGTCATCAGACTGCATCAAACAGGAGACCTTTGGAACTTGACGTCCGTATATTGTTCCTTTGACGTTCTCACAAATCGAACTTGTATTTTCTTTTCCATCTGTTGACACGAGATAAATATCCTCTGCAATTATATTTCGGCATGGAACTGTTTTACTGCAAGAAAATTTCACCGCCACTGACTTTTTGGACGTGCCGGTAAACTTTCTGAACGTCACATCTTCAATTTGTACAGCCGATTCCTGCAAAATGCAAAGAAATTCAAATATAAACTATATAGTCATATTGAAATCGCAATATTCACATAAGAAAAAAAAAAGAGTAAAAGATCACTTACGTGGTCTGTACACTTTGTATGATCACAATAGAATTGATCGATGATGATAGGGTTTTTGGCACCATTACTCTGTACTCTCTCAAATTTGATATGTTTTGCGTAACCTCTTCCACCCTAATTAGTAATGCAGATAAGTAAAAACTGGTTATTATTGCGAATTTAATAAATGGTAGATCGAGTTATTTAATTTATATATATCATCTAAGTAATGATGGTTTTACTAATAAACTAATAAATTACCTGCCATGTCTTGATTCTTGCACCATTTTGAGTATTAGTGAATACAATATCTCTCATCTCAACGTGTTCAACTCTGTCATCTGCACCGTTTTTGCCCAAACTCCCAATGCTGCAATTAAAATTTCCAAATACAATAACTATTTAATTACAAAAGAAAAACACAACTATTATTTAGAAAAACATAGCAAACTTGAATTTTTTTTACCTAACACCATGTCCAGGTCCACAAGAAATATTTGAACCTCTCACGTATGAAGATCCATCCACAATTGAGATACAATCGTCGCCTGAATAATAACAAGAATAATAGCGAAAATGAAATAATTCTAGTAAACTAACTTTTCTTTTGCCGCCCTAATTAAAGTATGAATATTGCTAACTAAATTCTAATTTTTGAAAGGGGAAGAACTGTATAGAATGTTAGAAAAATAAAATGGAAAGAAAAAAAGTTACCTGTGCCAATGTTGCAATTCTCAATGGTAACGTTAGTAGAACCAGTGACATGAATTCCATCTGTGTTTGGACTCTTTTCAGGTGCAACAATGGTTACATTGTTGACATAAACAGATTGCAACTGTTTAAGGATAAAATGCATTCTGGGATTATCCTTAAAATTCAGATTTGCAACATTCACATTCTTCGAGTCTTCAATCTGCATAGCAGCTGGCTTTTTTTTACCCTAAACAAAAAAAAAAAAAATCAAGATTATAGTAAATTTGTATATCTCTTTCCAATAATAAATACAACAAAAGAGGCAAATTAATGTAAGTATTTTTTTTTATTGATTTACCTTCTTTTCCCACCACTTTTGTCCTTGACCATGAATACTGCCATCACCATACAAATTCAGTCCTGTTAAGTCTTTGAAGAGCATCCAAACATGACAATCTCCTTTGCACTTCCAGTCAGAAGGTTTTTTGGGTGCAACAATTTCTCCACTTATCTGTACACAATAAAATTATATATATAAAAAAAATTAAGTAAGAATTAATTAATACAACGAGTTGAATTTTTATTTTATTTTGTTTAGATATATGTTATATATATATGTATATAAACCAACCTGAACATTAATTTGGGGAGAATTGCATGGACCTTTGAACTCCACTGGTTGGATTAAGAACTTTTTTCCTGAAGGAATCACCATAGTTGGGGGAATACGTGATGCCATTTTGCATGTTGCTTTCCACGCTTTCATGAAAGCCTAATGAAAAATAAATGGAAAGAAGGAAAATAAATACATATATTTTACCTTGAATTAAGATACAAACAAAAGAAAAACAAATACATTCGTATAAAAAATAAATGATCATATATTGTAAGAAGAAGAGGAAAAACTATATTGATTAAATCATTCGAAGAGTAAATAATCCATACAAGAAAAAAGAAAAATTACAAGCCATGATGTGATAAAAATCTAAATTATTATCTATCTAATCGCAAATTGATAAATCTTTAATAAAAAATCTAAAAATAGATGAATGCAATTTATAATTTTACAATTTCACGTCGGTGTTTTTTTTTTTTTAAAACTTTTTATTGTCGATATACATCATTATTGTTGAGTAAATTACGTACGTTTGTATCATCATGCGAACCATCTCCAGCTGCACCAAAGTCTAGGACATTATATTGTAATGTCGACGATGGACTTTCATCCGAATCTGACTTTGATCTCCCCAAGCAAGACAGAAACAGCATTCCAACGATCAAAATTGACAGAAACACTTTCATGTTCCCCATATCAAACTGCACAAAAAGAACCAAAAAAAAAAAAAAATTAATAATGATAATTAAAAGTGGAAAGAGAATAGCCATAATCAACAATTTTATGTTCGTCTAGCTGAAAACAACATGCATCAATGGTAGTTTGTTTTAAAGATAAAAAAAATAATAAAATTTCAATACGTAACTAGTAAACATAATACGAACACTGTCTATGGATTTTGTGGATCAGGCATATTATACAATACAAAAACTTGAAACTTTGAAAACGGGGTTGATATTCATCCCATGTAATTAAACAAATAACATTGTCACGTACAAAGGAAAAGAAGTTTATGATCGATGGCCACTTAATTAATACATGCAAAAAAAAAAGTTCAAGAATACAATTAGGAACTAAAACACACATGCAAAGAAATTCCAGAACTATGAAATAACATGTATTAATTGGTGCTTTAAAGTTTGAAAACTAACCTTTTGAAGAGTGAATGTGCAAGAACCCTTAATTATTTGATGAAACTCTAACCACTTCTAATCCACTTTAGCACTGAAAAAGCAAGGGGCTTGCCGGAAGTTGATCGGAGCCACCAGGTTATACAATGTGACGATATTGTGTGGAGTATAATTTTGTGATGATTGAAAAACTTCCATAGTGCTGGCTATTTATAATACATAGTAAGAAATTCTAATCCATTATTGATCAGAATGACATTTTCGATTCCAAAGCTGATTTCAGTTGTAATGGAAAAAGGGTTAAGCATGCATCGGACACAAACGGAACGAATAATTAATGAACCTAATCCAGTTTGAATAAGAATATGAATCCACGAGTATTTTTATTCTCCTCCAAGCATGTTACGAGTTTGATGTTGTACATAAACAAGTAATTGATCAGAATTTCTTATGTAGTACAATATAATTTAGAAACACAAAAAGTTCTCTTTACCGTTAATTAGACTACATATACATCAACAATAATTCAACAAAAAAGGGATCAAAAGTTAAGAACACAAACTTTTTAGAGGTTTAATGAATTACTCGCCATGAATAATGATGCTTGATGTAACACTAACACTATGATCAGTCCAATAGTCTATGATGACTAAAGAACCGAAAGGGCTACCTACCAAAAATCAATGTAGACTAGCCGTATCATGTTTGCTGGTAACATTATGATTTGAAACGTCATATTTTCATCTCTATAATTTGGTACTCTGCTTATATTATATTTTCTCTATCTCAAAAAGATTTGTCTACATCGAACTTTCAAATTTGTACTGTTTTAAAATTTAAAAACTTAATGTGAAAATTTTTTTGGGACACATGTAATACTAAATTCCCAATCAATTGAATACCTAGAAAACTTTTTGAAGCCTTTTTCCTTTTTTTATCTTCTCCATTTTCGGCTTCTTTATTAATTTGGGGAGAAAACAAAATTTTTAAAAACCCCAACAAGACAAAATTTCTCTATCATTAATGTCCCGTTGCTTTCCAAGAATAATGAGTAAATCGGTGTGGCAACGAAAGCAAAATAGAAAATGGACCTCTGCAGATACTGTAAAAATCTACAGAAAAATCTGCTGTACAAGTCTACCTTGCTAGATATCTTGAATAGGGTTCATATATAGCGCTAGGGCATCGGTAAAAATTGTAAAGGAAGTATCCAAACCGAGAAAATAAAAGCTTCTACCTTGATAATATGCCGTACAAATTAGATAACTCACAGTAAATATTATTCCTTAACACTCTCTAATTAGAGTTTGCTTCTTCTGATTAATAACCTATTACGACAATAAAATTTTTTCTCGAAAAAGAAATAATCTACATTGAGATTTTAGATTTGTAACGCGATCAGATATATATGCAGTAGTATTAAAAACGTTCTCCCATAACTAATCCTCATTAGCCTTTCTCCAATACACACTTGTTAGGAATAAAGAATTAAAGAACAGAAACTTCCTCGAAAAAAGGGGAAAAAAAAATTCCCTCATTAAAAAAACACGCACACACACACACACTAGGTAAAAAAAAAAAATTTCTACCAAAGCGCGTCAACTGGAAGAAGCTCTACTACTATATGAGTCCCCCCATTCCCATTTTTCCTCACACTCAGCAAAAAAAGAAGAGAACGAAAGCAAGAAAACAAAAATCAGTAACAAACTGCTGTTACAAAACAAGAAAACCTTTCCCCTTTTTCCTCCATTTTCTTTTTTATAAGTAGGACCAAATAAAGCTGCATTGATAAAACTGAAGATCCACTAAAATCTACTAGCAATGATTGATCAAGAGAGAGGTGGTGGCCGGGGACCGCCGCACGGGATACTGTTGGCGGTGGTGGTGGTGCTGGTGCTGGTGGTTCCGATGCTTGTCGGAGATCAAGGCGAAGCCATTACGGAGTTCATCGCCGAGATGTTGAGCCCAATTGGGCTCCTTCTTCTACCCATTCTTCTTCTCCTTGTTATCCAGTTTCTGTCCTCCGAAACCGGGTCTTTTGTCTCCACCATTTTCTCCACCGGCGAACCCGACTCCATCCACCGCGTCAGCGGCTCTCCGGTCGGCGTCGCCCTTTTCCTCGTCCTCATTTTGTTCCTCCTCTACAACCGGGTCTCCATCTTCGGCGGCGATGATGATTCCGGTGACTAATCCTGGATCCAAGTATTTTTTTTTTTTTTTTTCACTTTAGTCAACTTTTTTTGTGATCCAAGTATTTTAGTATTATTATTATTTTGTATACGTAAATATAGTGCTTATAGTATATGATGATGATATTATTATTATGCCGGTTTGACAAAGTGTACGTATCATGATTTATGAGGAATTTCCTTTTAGTGAAATGACAACTCAATCCGTCCTTGATACTTTTTCTTTTGAGTAGTAGTAGTAAATTTTGTGAAGGACAATGCTGTCATTTGAGCATATACACGGTGGTTGTCGGCAGCTCCGGCCAAGGACTTACTTTTTTATCTATGAACGAAAACTGATAATTTTCATTGTAATTTGGGTCCTTTCCTATGATTCTTCCTTGTTAATTTCCTTTTCTTTTTTTTTTTAGTGCATGGTTGATTGCTATTAGTTGTTGGATCTCTAAACTTCGCACGTGCAGAACGATGTTCATTTTTGACTCCTTGAATCTGAGATTGTTTTTCTTTTTTTCTTTTTTTTTTAATAAAATATAATTAAAACTAGTAACACCAACACTCCTTCACCCAACGACAGTAAATTTTCATAATTAATCAGTAATTTGTACTTATTACGTTATTTATGTCTCTGAAAAATAATTCACATTAAGTTGAGTACGAAATAATTCACTTATACTTTCGTCGTATTATCACAGTAACGTAGTTTTTTTTTTTAAAAAAAAAAAAAATCGATGGTCTCCAGTGAGAATCGAACTCTTGACCTCCCGGAAACAATGATCCCCTCTTAATCCCCTAACCACTCCTCCCCGTAACAACGTAGTTTATTGAACTGCTAAAACGAAATGTTTTGATTAAATCTTCATTTTCACTCTGTTTGGTGGTGTGCAGTCACGTGGTGGCAAGTGCAAAATATAGAGATATTTTGTACTGCAAACTCTGTTCATGCGAGGTAGAGAGCCACAAGTCTTTCTTTGCCTCCTCCCATGTGGGGACTTAACCCAGTTGTACACATTTTGTCTGAGTTCAGATCCGGATCAAATACTAAAAGAAAAAAACAATATAGACTACCACGATTTGTGTTCAGAATTCAGGTGCTCAAATTCAGGTAAAAAATTCGATCCAAATTGAGCATTCGATCACATACTGTGCGCGTTTGAAGGAAAATGTAGCTAATGGTGTAAATGACTACCAGATAGCTAGTTGTTATGTCACATTCCGGCCAAATCATTAGATTTCAGATTACAACAATGCTCCTAATTTATTGAAATGTACTTCCTCCGGTCCAATGGAAAGCTCAGGAGGCCGAAAAATACAAGGGAACCGTGTCCCGGGCTGGAAAAGACACTGTACATGTTTCATTGTCTCAGGCAAGGCATCTTACTATCAAACTGAAAGAGGGCAGCCATCCAGCAAGAGTTGGTTCAAATTTTTTTTTGGAGGGAATGCAGGTGGGGAAGGGGGAAACCACGGCGACAAATGCAGAACATAGTCACGTCAAATAACAAGAATTTGTAACACAAGTCACATGCAAGCGTAACGCAAAAGTGCTTTTATGTACCACAACAAACGATCAATAGCATTAAAGACTGGTTGGGACTTAAAGGAAGGATCACAGGCTTGCAGCAAAGCAGCCTGAGGAGAATTTGGAGGCACAGATCAGTAAAGAAAAAGACACTGCAGCCCTGTATCAATGCTGCAATTCATCATCTCTGGAATGAGAGGAATTCCAGGAAGTTTGGAGACAGAAAGGAAGAGGTGAAGAGTAGATTTGAGAGGTTGAAAGCGGAGGTAAAGTGGAGAATTGAGCACATGTATAGAAATGATAGTGGTGATGATATAAGATTTCTTGAAAATTTAGGAATCAATACCGGCAGGAATGTATAGGTTGATGTAAATAACTTGTTTTTTGAATCAATGAAATTCACATTTTACCCACAAAAAAAAAAAGAAAAAAAGAAAAAAGATCAATACTAGTATCATCCAAGACCTCAAGAAACATTTTCATAGAAGACTACTTTTACTGGTCTACCATACTTATGTTCATCAACCCTTTAAGCATTGAGAAAAGTATCTGTAGATAATTAAGTTGAAAGAAAAAGAGGACATGCTACAATATTGATCTATAAACTGTGATCAAAAGATCACGATTCCATCAGAAAAGTTGACCTAAAAGTGATGGGAGTTTCTGTCCCCTGGTAATGGTAATATCCAAGTCACACGACAGTATATACGTGTAACATGAATCACAAAATGTGGAATAAGTTGCATATTTATATGCAGGAACGAAAGCTCTAGAAAAAAGATTATTTTATTACAAAACAAACCGATTAGGTTGTGCTACAGTATCATATCCGCTTCTTAGCTTCTCCCTATATAAATGGGGCAGGCAACTACAAGATGGAGTAATTTCACAAAAAAAAATCCAATACATGAAAAGGATGCAGGCAACCATCATGTGTGGTTTTCAATAATCTAGCCACAGGGTGCTACTGACTAGAACCCAAGTTACCCAGCCATGGGATTCCTACTAAAAACACCAGTAAAGTTGGACCACAAAAACTTACTGTCTACCCCCCGATCAACTTGTAAACATATATATATATCCATAAAACACCATGACACTTCTAGACTTCCAGCAAAACCTGTAAAAAAACACAATTAAACTAATTATACCCACAGTTGGGATTTTAAGTATATCAAAGAAGCAAAAAATTCTGCAACTCAAAAACAATCTCACAATTTCACATTCATAATCGCCATTAGCAAAGGTATTCCACATTTTCATAAAACAGAAGGAACATTGCACTATCATGTACAGTTTAAAAATCAGAGAGAAGGGCTGCCAAATCGAATAAGGTTTCCTTATTGCAACGCATAACAGAGCAAATAGTCCAATTCCCAATAAACTCATTTTCCATCTTTTAACTTTAAATATGAATGCATATAAATAAAACTAATACCCGGTTTAGTCATCTACACACATATTCTGCAAACAATTCCAACGTCAGAACTCTCTTTGACAAATTACCTTCTTTAGTTCTTTAAGCCATTTATTTCCTGCATTCTCTAAGTGAAAGGTGATCAACATTTAAACAGTACCATGCCTAAATAACTTCAAATAGCGTGACCGGCATATGTGATCTTCAAATAGAAGGATAAAAGAACAAGCACGAAGACACTCAGACGAGATATTTTCTCTAAATTGTTCACTGCTCAAATAATAGCTGGGTTGCTCCAGCATAACACATGAAAAGAACATTAGAGATCAAGAAAATACAAAACAATCACAAACACCCTCAATTCACTAAAAATGGAAACAATAAGGGGTTGCGTAAACAAGCTCAAATTATTGTTTCTCTCGAGCATTAAACAGGCAATTTTACAATGCCAGCTTTACAAGCTTCATTTCTCAGTCATAACCCCACAACACAGAAATAGCAGCAGAGGAAAGCTAACAACTTCACCACGTAGATCTTGTGGCATTAAATACACGAGCTAACATAAGAAACGGACCACTTTAGCAAAGAGAAAGAAATCAGCACACAGATTATAAATATATGCATAATGATTTGAGGGGAACTTACTGATTTTCATGCCACTCCAAACTCCTGTAGCCTGTCACAGTGAGGTGTTGGATAGTTTCTACTCCATTGACGCCTCTGAAGTTCTATGTGACAATAGCGACCAAGCATGTTTTTGTAATCCCTGATTACATTAACTTCTATGTTTTCTCGTCCCATACTACCCACTGGATAGTTGACATCAAATTCAGATGACTTAACATAATACTCTATGCCATGTTTTTCAGTTGTCCTCTTGAACTGGTAAGTATAATTCTTTTGCAAAGAATACTCGGGCTCGGAAAACGGAAGATAAGCAAGCAAAAAAATCAGCAGAAAAGGTACCAACTGGAGAAGCAACATAAGATTAGGTCCATTATTAGCTACGTCTTCTCTCCGATGACCACTCGCTGCTCTAGATCGGTAGACATGAGCAGTCCTGAACATGTCTGTCTGACCAAAAAATGCCCTGAAAATCTCATCTGGATCAAACTCTTCCTCATAGAAACCATGCCCATTACGTCTACTTCGCCGTCTCACATTGTACTGCTGATTATGCTCAAACTCATCAACCAGACCCGTTTGATCATACTGCCTCCTCGATTCATCCTCACTCAAACACTTGAAGGCCTTGCTAACTTTTTTGAATGCCTCCTCGGAACCTGGGGCCTTATTCTTATCAGGATGCACCTTCAATGACAGTTTCTTATATGCCTTCCTAATCTCCTCAACCGAACAACTCTTTTCCACTCCAAGAACAGCATAATAGTCCTTTTTACTCTTTATCTGTCTAACCAATTGAACATGCTCTTCCGTGTACATCCTCTCCCCGTTAGTAACCTCATCTATCTTTGCCCCAGCTCCCTCTTTTCTCGCCTTCATAGCATCTTTTACACTATTTGAAGTACTAGATGATGATGCTGAATCAAGATCCTCACAAGCAGCCAGAAGATCATCCACTGCTAAACTGTCATTCAACCTCCGTGCTATTCCAATAAACTTAAGTGCCCTTTGCTTATTCCCAGAGGCAATTGCCTCTTTAGCAATGCCAATGCATCTTAAAGCCTCATCTTTGTTACTATCCATTTAAGAAACCCTTTTCCCAAATTTCAGAGTAAACCCTGATCAACAACTTGTCATCCAATTCACGCCAAACCCACTGCAAAATTCAACAAAACCCAAGCATTTTCATCCCTAACACCAATTTCGAATTCAAAAACGTTCCTAGTTCGATAATACCTCGACACAAACAAAAACAAAACAGAAAAAAAAAAAAACTTAACCCTTACTTAAATAAAACGGATCAACCGATCAATAGAAGATCATAAATGACAACGAGAAAATAATTACAGATACTAACAAAAGAAGAAATCATACATGCACCCCCACACACACACACACACGAAAAAGTAATAATTCCCCTAAAACACAAATTGAACTTCAGCGAGTAAAAAATGTAACATGAATCTAGGCTAAACTTACTTTGAAAGGACGAAATCATGAATCTCGGACCAAATCCGATGTCAAACGAGAAAAGGGTCGGGAGATTTCGGGCTCAGACGATGAAAAATTTTGATTTTTTCGGGAGAGAGATGTACACACAGTTCCCTCTCGTTGAAAAAGATATTTCTGACGAGTCATCCAACTGGTAACTTCTTTTTTTTTTTTCTTTTCTTTTTTAAAAAAGAAAGATTTGTATTAAAATTAAAATAGGATTATTGTTTAATTATTTGACTTTAAAATAAAAATGTATTTGTAATGGAATTTGACATCAAAGTGTATATTTTATTTATTTTTGCTTTGTCAACTAAATACAGTATTTTCCCTTTTTGTCTTCAAGTCCAACTTCTGTACGTATGCATCTTCTATTTCATATACGGTATGTTATAATTCTAGTATATTATTAATTAGACTACTAAATTTATTTTTTAAACATATTTCCCTCAAAAATAAATTAAAAGAAAAACCAAAAAAAGAATTATTAGTAGTTTCTTCCAGTCCAATGGGATTAGAAAGCAGGTTATCAACTGAGAGGGACTAGGGGCAAAGTGGCTTGAAACAAGCAAAGCATCTTTCTAGTTTTAAACTAGAATGTAGATGTACTCTTTTTAATAATTTATTAGTTGTTGAAATGAAATAGTATAACAAAATAAATCACTGAAATGAGACGGAGAGAGTATGAACTGAAACGCATTAGGAAATGCATGTGTATCAAATGCAGAGGAAGATTAGTGTATTAGATAACATAATCCCTAATTTCATATGTACATTTAACAAAGTTAGAACTCAACATTAGTTGCTATGTCAATTCTGAGTCATTGACACATTAGATAAACCATCAACACTGGCAGTTTGGTCTGAAAATTACAGCACTTGTGTAGTATAGCGGCTCCACTCTTTCCAGCTTAGTCTGAATCTTTGATTTGCTGATACGGATTAAAGAATGGACATTTAGTTTGCAATCCTCCCTCATTCGCCTTCATAACCACGATAACAATCACCAATAAAACGATACAAGATTTCCAACGAAACAGGGTGAAGTTTCCTCAGAAGCAATTCAGTTCTCTTCATCAGAGTCAAAGGAGTGTCTTTTCCTTAAAGACTCTATTATAGCTGATGACTTATCTGCTACTCCATTAACAATTCCTGTGCCTGACTTGAGCTTAGGAACACTCATAGCACTTAGTGGTGGAGTTGATGCGTGGTGGTTAACTTCCCTGAGCAGGGCCCGTGCTCTTGTGGCAGCAACTGCATCTGCCATGGCTGAAGCCACCTTAGAGTTAGAAACCGTTTTATTATACTTTGAGGGACCTGATCTTGCTGCATCAGGTGACTTAAAGGCTTCTGCTTTATTGTACTTTGAGGGACCAGATCTTGCTGCATTCTTAGGATCTGGTGACTTGTAGGCTTCTGATCTTTGCATGGTTGCAACAGCTTCAGCAGCCGCTGACTTTGCCTTCATTGATTCATACTTTTGCATGTCGTAGATAAGTTCCTTCTGCAGCTGCTTATCAGCAACTAGTATCTCATCAATTTCATTCTTGTAGTCCTTGAGAAGGATTCGAAGGCATTCCATAAGGGAGCCAATGAGAGGACTATGTTTGCTCTCCAGTAACCGTTTTAACTCTATAAAGATGGGGACTGTATTTTGGATCAGGCCCTTTTTGACAGCTTGCGTGATAGCTCTTCCCTTGGCAGCAGCCAATGATGATCCACCGGCATCACCTCCATCATCGTCCATCTCTGCAGTGTCAGATGCGGACGATCGGGTGGATGGAAATCGGATCTCCTTGCTGCAAAGAATTTGAAAAGCATCCTGTCCCAAGCAACAGGTTCATGTAAACAGCAAGTTATGGGAAAAAAGGAAAAGAGAAAACTGATGCCTTCAAATGTAAATTAAAACAGTTGAGTGCAAGTAAAGATTGCAGTATGTGCAGCCAAATGTCATAAGAAAATTGTTGCTGACTTCATTAACTATCTAATCTGAATAATTTGTCTAAGAAAGCTCATATAATCCCAGTAACATGAACTCATAGCCAAACTGAAGCTGACCTAGTTGTTAGGAAAAGTGAAGAAAAAAGATAAAGCTCAACAAAAACCAGTTCTTGAAAAGGATCACCTTTTGCTCCAGCCAATGCTGCAACATTTCCAACAGAATGACAAAAATAGAGAATAAACTGTGAAAGCTTCAACTTTTTATATTCCGCAAGTGACCAGTGCTTCCATCCATATTGGTAAAATGGCAGTTATATAATTGGGAAAGTTGGAATACGGGAACTGATACTTGTTTGCAAAAAGGCTGACTGACATGCATGACTAAGTGAAAAGAAGGTGAAGAGAAATCAAAAGAAATACCTGCAGAACGGACATTCCAGTAACATCCTCAAGATTCAGCATACCATCAGATGCAGCAGCAAGAATTTCTGCACATACTTTTGCAAAAGTGGCCAGAAGATGCTCTGGAGCCATCTGCTTCAGCAAAGTGACATATATGTGCAATCTTCTAGACCTTGAATGCTCATCGTTACCTCTGGATAAATTAGCAAAGGCAATTAAGGGAAGCTTACAACACTAATGATGAGGTCTTTTGAGGGCTAAATCTTGCTTACCGAATGCAAAAGTGTAGGTTTTCATTTTTTGAGTTCTGGGGGTTACTTCGTCCAGTGTGAGCATTGCAGTCATTCAGAACAAATATAGCTTCAACAAAGCTATTATAAGCTAGAAGGGGTGCCTTAACTGCAGAAACATTGTGAAAGGAATTCAGATGCATGGAAAGAAAATAATTTTGCAATAAATAGTAGAAAATGGCTGGTAGGTCTTAGGTAATATGTAACCTTTCAAGATGTTTCCAAACAGGTAATCAGCTAGTCGTCTAATTGCCTCAGATTCATCAACAAGGGACATTAGAAACCGAAGGAACAAAAGCCCTCGCCACTTCACATAGTCCCTCTAAACATGTAAAGAAAGCCAACATCATGTCACAATAACATAGAGGTGAAAGACACGGGCCCAAGGAAAAAAAAAAGAAGCAAATTCTAGATTCCTAGCAGATATTGAGAAGGGACAACCTGCAAAAGCCTAGCAAGCAGAATGAAAGTATGCCTTCTGACTAGTTCACATGGATCACGAAGGCACTTTGTAATCTTTGGCATATAACTGTTCAAATGGAAATCAATTTATTAACCAAAAAAAAAAAAAAATTGAAAATATTTAGAGATTCAAGCTCTTATTCACGTAGGACTGAATACAGACATGTAAGCCAAGCCTCACCAGTCAACAAGTGCAGTGTGTCGTACGCAGAAGTCTGCCATTGTGACAATGATGTTATTCCTAAGAGCGGCAAGGTCACTCTTCTCAAGCTCCTAAAACAAAGCAATAACTACAAATATGAGGGATCACATAAATAAGGACAGACGAGATGCAAACATAGAGAACTGAAAGCAAGTAAAGAATACTTCAGATTCAAAAAAGAATTGAACATATGTGGAATGTTGAGGCTTCAATGTTGCAATTGTCGATTAACATTGTGATATTCATATTTCCAAGTTGGCGGGTATAATATAAATTGGTTATGGTTTCCATTCTATACATTACAATCACATGAGTACCGGAAATTTTTACCTGCACAAATATAGGAATATAACGCTTTGCCAGTTTTCCGTCAGCAAGACAGACCTTGCCCATAGTTAGCCATGCATTAATGTATAACGGTGGTGCTGTCTGCTTTATAGAAATAGTAGCCCCTAATGAGATCTTAGATTTTGTGACATCATTTCCAGAAGTGATGATGGTATGTAACACGGGGACTACGGCTTTTAAGTCAGCAGAAGGACAAACCAACACCAATGAACCAATGGTGTAAACTGCAGTGACAGCCTGTGATAATAATCTTGACCTGGAAACTTGTGCTCTCGTTCCACGACGGCCACTACAATGTGGTGTACGAAAGGTATTGTCTTTGTTCTTCTCGGATTCCTTTGAGATGTATGAATCTATCATTTGCAATGCTTTAGAAAGAAGTTGATGCACCCATTTTGCAACCAGAGTTTCAGCTTCATCAGGGTTTAAGGCCTTCCTCTTGCAGAGTGTTCTAAGGGCCTTCACATGAGCATTAACCTGAAGAAAAGTAGCATGCTAGTCAAGGATGCATCAATGATGTCGTAATGTAAGAAATAAAAGAAAAACAGCAGACAAGGACCAACGCAATAAATTTCTTACGAACTGCAGGTACCTCTGTGGAATGCATGTTGAATTCCTCAAGACGTTTGAGAAACTGATGTGCTAGATCTGCCGCAGGTTCAGGGGGCAGATTCACAGTGACATTTGAGATTGCTTGCAAGAGGCAGACACGATCTCCGGCCCAGGAAACAGAATTAGATTCCACATTCACTTCATCATCTACTGTCTCATATGCACTCCAAGGTTCAGCAGCAGACTTATGCTTATCAAAGAGCTGCCAATGATGGATAAGGAATTCCCAATCTACTTCTTTTGGAAGAAAGGCAGATACCTCTGCCAATAGAAACCAAGCACCTCGTGGTGCTGTCCACTTTTCGATGGGCATAGAGTGACTCAACCACAGGGACTCAGATGCAGATATTATGTTCTGCAAGGCAGAAGCAATTTTTGGCTTAAGGTTTTTTTTTTTCCCAAGGCTTGCACAGATCTTCCTAACCCAAGGAGTCACTTCACCATGACAAGTCTCCTCTAAAATACACAGAACTCCCTCAGGATATAATAGCTTTATTTCACTATCTAAGGCTTGTGTCTCTCCATTTATATTACCGGAACCAGGATCCTTGTGAAATGTGGCCTTAGACACCCGATCAAGAACTAGTTCTGAGAATAAAGTTTCACATTCTTCTTGTATGCTAGATTCATTGTCTGCTATTAAACGAGGAACAGAATGCAGCCATTCTTTGGATACATTTTCATCAGGGAACAACCTAAAGGCCTGCAAAGAAAATTACACTCCTCAAACATAGGATTAGACGCCATGCAAAGAAAATCTCCCAGACAAACTAATAGAGCATTTGTAATGAAGATAATCCAGCTTTTGACATTCTCATGAAAAAGGACAAATCGACCATCATTAGAAGGAATACAGAGCCAACAGTTGAAACCTTCAACCTATCAGTATTTTTCTGTAAAATGCTTATTAGTTGAACTTGGATGGTTAACACTGACTTTATATGCAAGCAAAAGCTACCATTGATGCAATTCTATATCATGGTTCAAGCAAGATGGCTCATCTAGGGACTTAGGAGCTAATTATACTAAGAAGCAACCACAACTACGCCTTTACTTCACATAGGCAGGGAATGTGAATCATAAATACATCAGGATCATGCTCTGCTAGATAAATTAGTGAAAAAAGCAAATAGAAACAAAAAGATGTAAGCCTACTAACCTCTGATAGAGCTGATAGAGCTGCTTTCCGTATACTAACAAGAGGGTCTGAACAAGCCATGCCTACTATCCTCAGCAAATCTCCATTAAAGCTGCTACCTAAAAGTGCAATTAACTTCGATATCAAAAAGAGGGATGCCTTCCTAACTGCAGCCTTCTCATCAAGACACCTTCTTTGCAACAGACTGTTCATCCCACCTTGAAATCTAGTAGATCCCTCATTTCCGATACCCATTAAAACCTTCAATATTTCCTTGCTCCTTTCATTTTGGCCTAAAAACCCTGCTAATTGAGCTAGATTAGTCAAAGCCCTGGCTCGAATTGTAGCAGTTGTATCTGAGCAACGCTGAATCAACACTTCCAGACACTGACAACCCCAAAAGTTCTCATCTGGATTATCTGATTCCAACCCCAGTGGATCTTTCAAAGTAGTCATCAGTATAAAAATAAGGTCCACAGCTAGAAGCCTGAATTGACCCTTTCCTTGACTCATCTTCACTAAGTAATCTACAAACTCCACTTGATCCTCAAATTCGAACACTTTAACAATCTCCATTATACATTCAACTGCCAAAGCTCTTGGTTCGGCTTTCTCTGGAGCCTTATGCACCAAATACTTAGGCAAATTGACAACTGCTTTCTTGATCTCAGGCGAACTTCCGGCCAACCTCGTCATCCTGTTCACAACAAACTCCAAAGCAAACCTCCTCACAGTCGATTTGTGCGAAGAAAGAATCAAGGGTGTCAAACATTTCAACACTTCAGCTGCAGACAAACTCTGGTCTCCATGCTCGGACTTGAGCACTTCATTCAAAATCCGTGAACAAAACTCACACAATCTCCCATAATGACTCCCAGTAGTATTACTGCTCCGGCAAGATACCTCATTTCCCACCACCAAAGGAATCTCAGCAATTGTTTGAACCAAGCTCCTCAAACTATCCTCAAACCTATCCAAATGAACCAATCCCAAAACCGTTTCCAAATTCTCAAGAACCCTGAACAGAAGCTTCACATCCAAACCTCCTTCATCACCCTCATTATCACTCTCTTGCAACTGTTTCCCCTTCTTATTCTTCCCTCCACTCCCCTTCCTCTTCCTACCCTGAACCTCGGAAGAAAAACCCTCATTTGACAGCCCCGAATTATTATTCTTGATGCCCCTTCGAATCGAACGAAGAAGAGAAACAAAAGCCATAGGAGTAAACAATGTAAAAACTGGGGAATTTGGGGATAGAATCAAAGACAAGTAAACATTTGAAGCCAACAAGGAAAGATTCGCCCTTTTTGGCTCACCTGAATCCATAACTGCGGAAAGGGCTGAAATCAATGAATTTGGGGAGAGATTTCTTGAGGAAAGTTCAGTACAAACGTAATCCAGAGTTGAAGAATCATTGGTTCTGATTGAGGAATCCAAAAGGGCTTGGAAGTCTTTGAGGGATTCGGCTGAAATGGGGTTTTGGGCTTCGATGTCTGCAAGTATTCTGTGAATAGATTCAGATTCAGCCATGGCTGCTCTGAAATTGGGAGGAGAAAAAATGGGGGGTTTTTCTTGCTACCTATCTAATCCGAAGTTTTGGAAAGTTGCAATCTTTTCTTGTTCATATATCTGGATTTCGTTTTAAGAGCTTCAAAATTTTTGGTTTTCCCGCTTCAGCGATTGGGGAAAGATGACTCGTTTACCTTGTTGGGAGAAGGCGCAGCACGCTTTTAGCTTTTATAACTTAGAAGCGCAACATTTATTTACAGTAAAAAAGAAAAATGATTATTATTTGGGTGCTTTGGTTAAAAAATTGCTTAGAAAAAGGAGTCGAGAAATCTATTGGTCGCTTTTTTCTTTGTAAAGAAAATTATAGAGATTGGATTTTCAAAATCAGAACTACTAATTAAATTAGTAAATTGGATTTTCAAAATCCGACCTAATAAAATAATATATATATATTTTGGAAAATATATGTGAAAAAAATTAAAATAATGGTCAAATAATGAACAGTGCAAGTTCGGATTTACAAATTCTGACCTTGTTTTTTTTTTAAAAAAAAATTGAAGGGTGGAAAAATTTGAAAATTTATTATGGTTGGAAAGTTTGAAAATTTAATAAATGAACAGTAAAATCGGATTTCGAAAATCCGAACTACTTTTTATTAAAAAAATTCTTTAAGTGAATAAAACTTTAAAAATTTGTCCGAGTTTTGATAAGAATTCACATTAAATTGACCTATCTACTTTTAAGAAAATAAAAATAAAAAATATTATATTAGATATGATAATAATAAAATCTTATATTACTAATAATTACTAGAAATTTGCATTAAATTGATGAAAAAAAATATATTACTAGTGTTGTATAGTACTATTAAAACTGTTAAGAATTTGTATTAAATTAATTCATTATAATTCATATGTGCTAGTATTATGTACTATTTATACGTACTAGTATTATGTAGTAAATTAATACTATTATCCACTACATATCACCGGTACTAGTGTTACTTATTACTGTTAAATCTATTAGTCATTAGACATTACCTAGATTGTGTTTTGTGGTATTATTAATATCTAGATTTTGAAATCCAATTTTTGGAGTAAGTCGGATTTTGTAAATCCGAGTTATGCCCTAAACCCTAAACCCTAAACTTCTCTAAGAAATTTCGGATTTTCAATATCCAAGTTAGCTCAAAAATCGAATTCTTGAAAATTGATTTTACCAATAACTCGGATTTCGAAAATCCGAATTAAACCCCAAACCTTAAACTTGTTCAAGAAATTTCGGATTTTTAATATCCGAGTTAGCTTGAAAGTCGGATTCCCAAAATCTGAGTTTAGTTTATTATCGGATTTTGAGAATCCAAATTTTTTTCTTCCGTCCCTGGGCTCCTAATGTGTATGGACACTACAAAAATTATAAATTTGAGATATCAGTATCAATTTTACCTTTAAAACCCAGTCTATTTTTTTTTTAAATTCGAACTTAGTCAAAAGTAAACTAATTATTGTGTTTCATATATATATGGATGAAAAATAATTTTTGTTATTGTTGTGACATATTTGGACTGGTTTGAAAATTATTTTCTCTTTTTTTAGAAAAAAAATCTTGGTGGAAGTTCGGATTTTCAAAATCCGACCTTAGGCAAAAGAAATTTCGCCAAAAAATAAGTTTTTTCTTTATAAAATATTATTTTAATGGTAAAACTCGGATTTTTGAAATCTGACTTTCGTCAAAATTTTATTTTGGGGAAAAAAACTTAATTTTTTTCCAGATATTATTTTTTTATTTACGAAACTCGGATTTAGCTGATTAAGTTAATTAATTTTTGGTGTTAACATAAAGTCGGATTTGTGAAATCCGGTTTAAGGCGAAGGTCGGATTTTAAAAATCCAATCTCGGTGTTTTTCTCTTCTCTAAAATTCGACCTATATTTCTCTCTACTCCCATTTCTGAACCATTTTCGAATAGGTAATATTCAAGGGAACAATTGTTTGATCACCGCATTGGTTGAGAGGTGGCGGCCTAAAACCCATACCTTTCATTATCATTTTGGCGAGACCACTATCACTCTAGAAGACGTTGAGGTGTTATTAGGTCTGAGAGTGGATGGTATGCTTGTGGAGGGGACTACACCTGAGAAGATTAGGGCACAGTGGATGACGATGTGCTTCAGATTGTTGGAATTTACACCCGCTCATGACATGTTTGATGGGAATAAGATTTATGCAGAGTGTTTAATTGCCGAGTGTGACTCTCGATCCCAGACGATGCTCCGGGAGAGGCCTATCCAAAGAGGGCTCTTTCTTGATTCCTGACAATACTGGAAACAGAATACCGCTTTGGATCTTGTCTTCTAGAGAATTTGGATGTCTATGCTACCTATAGTTGGGGGTCAGCTCTGTTGGCGAGATTGTACTTTGGTTTTTGTAAGGCTTCCGCCCCCCGATAAGCAGCATGACTTACCGGATGCTATATACTGATGCAAGTAATTTTTTTGTTTTTGTTTATTTATATTTTTATTTGTTATTCTAATTTATGCCTTTTCTTTTGATTTATAATTTCAGATATGGGCTTGGGAGCATATCTCAAGAATTCAACCGAAGAGAAAAGTTAAAGACCAGAGTTACTTGACGCCGGGCGCTAGCTCCACTGGCCAATAGGTAATTATAGATTTATTTTATTATTATTGCTTATTATTATTTATTATTTCCTCTTATGTGTACTTTGGTTTTTTAGATTTAAATTTAATTAATCTAACTAGAATTCCGTTCCTTCATAGGTGGAAATGCCCAAAATCCAAATCGAATGTCATTGTGTTGCTGGGATCAGGGATCAGTTATCTAGCCTAAGGGATGGTGATGTAAGTATTGATTTTTATTACTCGATAAAAATTCCTTCTTATTTTTTTCCTATTTTTTTTACCATTTTTTTCTTCACATATATATTTTTAAAAATTATTTCATTTTTGGCTAGTTTCTGTGGACTCCATACGCTCCCTTCATCGACGCTCTCCCTGATTTCTGTAAAGCGGGGAATCATATCTACCTCTATAGGACGTGGATCTTTTGTTGGGCCGTTAGAGAACTATAGGAGCCCAATCAGATCCTTCGTCAGTTTCGGTGTAAGCAAGCTAGGCCTGAGGAACCGTTAATCTGTGACAGTGATCGCTGGAACGCAATACACCATGGATGCCTACAGACTGGAAAGGCATATGATGATTGGGTGCTAAAACACAGCGAGGTACAACCTCATTAGAATGTGAGAGAAAAGAACGTGGTCCCTCATGAGTTGGTTGATCTGGCTCTTGGTCCTCAGTGCATAGCAGACTACATGCCGCGGTTTCAAAGGAGGGCTGTCAGATTCATCACTGATCCTACCCAATACGGCACTCTGGCACAGGATTATCACTCGTCTTCATCTCGAGAGAGATTTTATGTAAGATTTATGTCGGTATTTTAATTTTATTTTCTTTTATTTTTTTCTCCTTGCTATATCTTATACTTTATTAACTTGGTTTAAATTTCGCAGGCTAAAGATTTCAGTGAGGAATATCATCTTGTTGAATTCACCTTACGTGTAAATCTTGGCCTCGGTGGTAGTCTCGAGAAAAAACTCTTGGAAATTGTCCATAAGAGTTTCAGTGCTCTGACTTTGGCCCCAAATGATATGAGCACTCAGAGAGATAGTGAGGTTCTTCAGAAAAGACCATCGGAGTCAAATAAACATATTGTGCTCACGCAGAAAACAATATTTCAGCCTGCTTGAGGTGGAAGGAGGAGATGATAGGGACCATCAAAGCGATCAATATTATTACATTGGGGGTGAGGAAGAAGAAGGAGAAGAAAAAGAAGAGTCCCTTCCACCTCGTGTTTCTTCTCAAAAGAAAAAGAAAACGGTCGAGGTTCGCAAGAGTGATAGGGTAAACCGGCCAACAAGTATACTCCCGGTTCCGAGGGTAGAGGGAAGAAAAGGCCATCCAAGGAGTTCCATTGTAGGACTCTTTGATGTGTATTAGGAGTAATTTGAATGTTTTTATGATTTTGAACTCGTTAATGTTTATTAGTTGTAATTTGGATGATTTTAGAATTTGAATGCTTTTGAACTAGTTAATATTTGTTACGATGTGTTTCGAAAGTGTTTTTAGATAATTTCCTATGTAAAATTTGGTTTTGGTGCTGTTGTGATAGGTTGGGATTGGTTTATAAGCTAATCTTTTCTTTTTTTATAACTTTTTGTCCACTGTTCAACTGTCCCGGATTTTAAAAATCCGAACTTAGATTACTCGGATTTCAGGAATCCGACCTCACTGTTGTTCAACAGTAAATCAGATTTCTGAAATCTGATTTCTGTCAAAATTTTGATTTCGAAAAAATCTAAGTATTTTTCTTAAAAACATTATTTTTTAATATGTCAAGATCATATTTTTAAAATCCGATCTTACGTAAGTCATGATTAATGTAATTAATTTTCCGTATTAAAGGAAGTTCGGATTTTGTAAATTCGACTTTGGGGTAAAATCAAATTTTAGAAATTCGATCCCGATATTTTTCTCTTCTCCAAAATTCGTCCTATATTTCTCTCTACTCCTATTTTTAGGCCATTTTTTTGGTCAAAAACTCATTATTATTCAGTCTGGCTTAGACTCTCAGTTGAATTATGGCATTACCTTTGATTTGACAGTCTCAAAGTTACCACTCTCAAACTTACACTATTTTTATATGTATTTTAGAGTTTTTAATTTTTGTTGATACAATTTTTCTTTATTTGAAATTTCAGGACCAATTTGTCCTCTATAAACTTTCGTATATGATTACTCCATCTATTATTGTTATTTGTTAGAGCAACCTCAACTCTGTTACCCATTTTGGTAAAGAAATATAGTCCAGCCTGACACATATCCTTATTAAATTTTTGTTTGCAATGAATTTTTGGTTAAATGTCCCACCATCAGAGAGAATTTGAACTAATCTTTTCTTGTTGGCCCAATTTTTTCAGAATAGTTTGGTAAAAAATGAAAAAACGCATTCGTACAAAATAACCATGAGCAATGGTACCCTGTTATAAGTCGTGTAATTGACTCGGACTCCGATGCCAATTACTCAGCATTGAGTTTGCTCTTAGTGTCTACAAGGTAATGCATTTTGTTAGCTAATTTTGGGTTAATTTATAAGATAGAAGGTTCTTCTTGACTGTGTTAGTATACCTTATAGTCAATCTTTCTAAAGAATCGATTGAAGTTCTTCAAATAAAGTCACGATCTTTTTTACTATACCTTTAAATGGAGCCTTTAGCTTCTTTTGTGGTTACTATCTTCGAACTGTTCATATTTCTTTTGGGTAATTGAAAGTAATGAAGCTATACCCATAAATTAATAAAGGATATAAAATTTTCTTTTGGGTAATTGGATTCCATGAATCATATTTCTTCGTTACTGTGTAGTTGATCCTTATTTTGGAGTAAAGGTGAAACTCGATATGTTGAAGGTTTAAAACTTTTGATATCAAATTGTCAAACTTTATATGAAATGAACTTGATAAGCATTTATATGTGTTAGACCGATTTTGGCAAATATGGTCCACATGAGTTGGGCCAATCGCAACAACAATAATGGGAGGAAATAAAATCATTAAACCCGCCATGATATTATTTAAGGCTCAAAGAAGAAGTAGCGGGCAACAATTCGAATTTGAGAAGGAATCGTCGACACCACAGTCCTTATCGGATAAGGATTTCAACTGCAGCAGAAATCCTTCTTAGATTCGACTTTGGTTGCATTCCAACTAGGGTTGGCGCAACTTCTAAAAAAGCTATAAAGGAGAGACGGCAGAGGACACACAATTCACGATACAGAAATCATATTCTTAGTTCCTTTATAATTTTTATCGTTTATTTCCTTCGAGTTTTCATGTATTCTTTTACTTTTCAGCATTAATTCTTGTAAGCTCTTTGATGTTTCTGGCTATTCACATCCGATTCGTTTCTCATCAATTCAATAAAGCTGGTCTTGAGTGGCCGTTTTATTCATTTTTTCAAAATTATTCATTATTTCATCATCAAACACTTGAACTTTCAATCTTATTGCGAGTCGAGGGCATTGACATCTCTAGATAATTTTAACGGTTGGACTCTGAATTTCAAGAATATCACACAATCGTTTGAAATTAGTTTGAGCTGAGTCGGTCTTTACTTTTATATTTTTGGCAATTTATATCACGCACCGTGTTCACCAAGAATGGTGCTCTGGTTTCCTGTTTGCGAAACACGCAAAAAAAAAGTGAGTGAATTTCTATAACTTGTTTAAAATTTTCTCACGCGTAGCTGATCCAAGTCAATCAATTCCTTAATTGATTCAATTTTTTTTTTTATTTTTTTCTCCCAAAAAAATTATTTCAATAATTAATTGATTTCTCTCCTTTCTCTCTCCAAATCAACCGTGTAAATTAACTCTAGTTCAAAAATTTCCATAACAACTTATTATGAATATTGGGCACCATACTTATGAAAATTGTGACCAATCATCATGAAAATGTAAAGATACGATGAATTCTTTTATAATACATCATGAATATTATGATATGATATCTTGAATATATGTGGTATTATGAATATATGGGTAATAAATATATGAAAAATATTCTCGGCATAATATGAATAATAATGTGTACTATATTTTCATATCTGGAAGTTCGAATTCTCAAACGAGTAAAGATATATAGGATAGCAATTTATAAGGAAACCAAAAAAAAAAAAAAGCGAATTAAATCAATACGTCCATCTAATTCCCTTGTCAATTGAGAATTTCCCTTTTTTTTTTTAAATTGTTCTGATGTATCGCGACTCCAACTCAATTTCCCTTCTTTCACGACCTCGGAACGATTTCTCAAATGAAAAGAAGAGGCGAGAAACTTCAACCGCGTACAAAAACGTACAAGATAATTCTCAGAGTTATACATTTTCTTTGAGAGAATAAACTCATCAACCGCATTAATTCCGGTGGGTGCGTTCTTGAAAGGTTACCAACAAAGTTTTTTTTTTCTCTACTCTATATGTGATTGTGTTGAATAGTAGGAAAGTAAAAAAGTGTTAACATAATAGTGGAAATTTTTGTGACATTTGATTGATTGCTGCTCCAATTATCATTTTATTAGTAGCTTTGGGATTTCTCAATTCTATTCTTGATCATAATTGAGATGATTTGTACTTGATGATATTCATAGTAGGATTTCTTCATCTAAAAAATCGTGAAAACTTAAAAAGAATTACTTTTAATGATAATCAGGAAACGATGACTGATGTGATGTAAACAACAATCCATTTTGGATGCCCTATGAAACTAAGGGGAAAATATCAAAATAGTGTCAGATTTGCCTACTTTAGTTTGGTCCAAATCATATATAAAAACTGAAAAGAAGAAAAAAGGAAAAAAGACACAGTATATTGACATGTATAATAAGGGGTGCGAGGGGACGAAAAGGGTAAGGATTGTCGTCTGATGTATTATTCTAGTTAACATAATGGAATATTTTTTTGACAAATATATAATTCATACTAGAGCTTTGAGTGTAGCTAGTACGAATAGGGATTATATGTATGATCTCTGCCCCTTTGCAACGTGTTCATTTGAATTTGTAACATTACTAGACAATCATTTCGAGTCAGAGAGTACTAAAAAACACTGCAGATCAGCTTGTTTGTAATTCCATATCTCCATTGCTATAGTATAAAATATACTACTGTTTAACTAGAAATGAAATTTTACCATCTGCTACCGCTATTATTTGAAGTCTAAATTTCGTTTTTTGATTAAGGATTTTGCTTGAGTTACTTGTCTGATGTTAATATGTGTCTTTAAGAGTGTGCGCGTGTGTGTTGTTGTTTCGTTTCTTGAACTTCCTGTACAGAGGCATTCTCAGTTACTCCTATAGTAATAGTCAACAAGGTAAACCAATAGTAAATTATATTTGTTGTTGTTTGTGCGAATCCAGATTTATTCGATGAGCACAAACTCGGGGGATTCTACTTCTCGGAGTATCCCTGGTATTGATGTAATCAGCAACTTCCCCAGCGAGTTGATTGAACACATCTTGGGATATATGCCTCTGCGTGATGCAGCCAGAACTTGTGTTTTGTCACGGCAGTGGAGGTACGTATGGTTGAACTTCCAAAACTCGCATTTGATTGTAAATTTGGCGAAGTCAAAGATGATTCATCTAGGGAGAAATTGCTTCTGCGCATATCTCAAATATTACTAGTTCATGATGGACCGATCCTTGAGTTTTTGCTCTCTATGCCTGGTCTTGAGAACGGTTGGGAAATCAACCAGTTATTGAGATCTGTGTCGAAGAAAGGTACTGTTCTTCGAAAGTTGGTCCTTGAGTTTGCAAGTGGCGCCGCCAACGGTCAGTACACCTTGCATTCATCAGCTTTTTCGTGTCGAGAATTGAGAAAGTTAACTCTTCGTGGTTGTGATATCAAACCATATCTTCCTCCTTCATTCAGAGGGTTTAGGAATCTTACTCGCCTCGCGCTGCGAGAAATCAGCATTGCGGCTGATGTGCTCTCGCACTTGGTCTCGCAGAGTCCTTTACTCAAATTTCTTTATATATGGCTGTCCTCCTTGTGATATCCTTGAAGTAAACTCCCCTAAGCTCAACTGTTTGATCTGCAAAACACATTTTCAAACTTCGATTCAAGTAGTGGCTCCCCGGCTAGCAACTGTTTCCATGATCTCGCACGTATCAAGAAAGAGGGAGAAGCTTGAAGAAAAACAGACCAAGTTGGAATCTATAGGTTTTCTGAAACTTGTTAATGAGCTGGTTTTGGATCATTATTATATGAAGGTAAGAAGTACTACTTTAGCTTGATGGTCCTTTTTCTTTGTTCTGATTTTGGTGATGCCTATGGTTCTTACTCAAAATGTTCTTTATGTTTTTTCTGTTTTCCAGATAGTACTACTGAAAGCTGGCTCAAGCTTTAAGTTTAAACACCTCAAATTCCTTATAGTATATGGAATATACTTTGGAAGTGTCAATGAGGTCACAGGTGCTTTGCTATTTATCAACAGTTGCCCTAGTTTGCGCGTACTTAGAATCGTGAAGCCGGTGAGTAGATAGGAATCTCTCCAAATGTAGTTGATTTAATTTCTATGCTTTTTTAAAACCTATTTACAATTAACCATTTCTTCCTCTAGAACGATATCAAGTTGGAAGCTTTCACAAACAGTGATGTGGAGTTCTTCAAAGGACTAATGGAAAGGGATCTTTCATCTTGTCATGTCCACCAGGTGGATATGAGAACTGTAACTGGGTATCAGAATGTTGTTGGGTAAATTGTTGGCATTGGAAACTATGAGTATTAAGCCTTGTTCCGCTACGGTTGCTGATGGAGGACTTCACATTTTGAAAGAAGTGAGCGAGTTTCCACGCGCATCATCCCAAGCTGTTATCAAATTCAAGGACAAGAAGTAAGAGGTTATTCGGTAGGAGCTTTGATCTAATTCCGATCTCAAAGTCCATTCGAATGTGCTACACCCTTTTTCCTCCCAAAAAATTAAAAACGTCTTTGAGGATTTGGTCATAGATAGTCACTAGTTGATCTATGACTTAGGGTTTAACCGGCTGCTGGACAGTTTTAATTAGTAGATTATTTCCACTCAAATACTTGGCTTCCGTCCCATAAAAGTGCTCTAATTTGTACTATTTTAGTTTAACAAATGAAACTTTAAAATTGAAACTAAATATATGCAGTAACTGGAGTACATAATTAACGTAAATTCTGTTTTTTTTTCTTCTTAACTTTTTTTTTTTTTTGAAAAGGTCTTAACTTATTAGAGTACTACTGAGGCGTTGATTATGTAGTCGAAATTCTACCGAGGCATTGGTTTATGGCAATCCTATTTGGGTTTAATGGATCACTGGCCCAATGTTCAATGATAGCGTACACAGTATTGAAGAAATCCAATTCACAAAAGACACTTTCCAATCCTCCATCATATATAGGTTGCTTTCTCGCTTTAGCTTCTTAGTTCTGGAGTTTTGTTCTTATTCCCCCTTGATTCCAGTAACCATTTATTTTCCAGAGCTAAACAAATAAAATGGAAGCTTTGAATCCTATGATCAACAACAACAATGGCGACGACGGCAACAACAACAACAACTGGAACCGTGGTGAAAATGCACGTCTGGCGCCTCCGAAATCCGAAGGAACCCTTATGCCATCGACAAGCGTGAGAAGGATAATGAACAAAGTCCTGCCTCCCGGAGCGAAAATTTCAGAGGAGGCTAAAGAATCTGTCCAGATGTGTGTAACGGAATTCATAAGCTTCATCACTGGCGAGGCTAACGATAAGTGCCAGAAGGAGCACCGGAAGATCATCTCTTCGGAGGACGTTATTTCGGCTATGAACACTCTAGGGTTCGATGATTACATCGAACCCTTGCAGCATTTTCTCCAGCACCGGGAAAATTCTCGCGGGGGATCATCATCAGTTGCTCGAAATCGGTTCAATTTCAACCCTCGGCTGCCAGCTGGCCATTGGGCTCCTATGTTGCGCCTCCAGCTTTCGGTGCCTTTGCTGCTCCACCTCCTGATCCGATGGGTCAATATTATTACCAGCTGTCACCTGGATTCTTTGGAGCTGCTCCCTCGGAGGGTTTTCCGGCTGCAGGGACATATGATCAGCTTCCAATGTTCAATGATAACCCATCTATTGCGGGCGCGTATCCCTCTGGCGAGCCGGGGCAGGGATCTGGGGAAGGGATGGACAATGTAGATTGAGAAATTTTGTTTCCGTGTGGGTAGTTGTTATTAGTTGCTTATGTTTGTTGGATGTTAACTTGTGATGTTCTGTGTAATGTTTTTTTTTTTTTTCTCAATTGGAATAAAAGTGAAGGATATTGCCAGACCCAGATCCGATTAGCTTAGACTTAAGCAATGCTCCGCTGGGGTCCGGCAGCTCCGGTGAACTTTGCATCCGGATGATGATGGCGCTGCTAGCTTCTGTTGGTATTGCTCCGATGAATGGCTTTCTTAGCAAAAAGTAAGCCACTGTTTTAATTATTAAGCTGAGATAATCTGAATGCTTAATTTGTTAAATTGTGTTGTTTGTGTTTGAACCAATTTATGGGAGTTGTTACTTGTTATTACGGATTATCAAATCTTATGGTATGATTAGTTTTAGTTGCTTTACATCTGTGGTTTATTTTGTTTTGTTCAATTGGACTAATTAACCCTAAAAGACATTTCGATGACTAGCTAGCAATACGAAGTCATCTCAACGGAGTACACAACAAAATGGGTCGTGGTCAAATTGCTCTTAATTATCTGAAGAAACTAATTTTAAATATATAATTATTCATCAAGTGTTCATTTATTTAAAGAAATATCCAAGTTTGATTTCAAGGATTCTTTCTATGTAATACTACATACCATCTACGAGTAAAATATAGACATCAAGAGTAGTAATTTTGTCCTGGCCGCCGCGTTAATTTTGAAATTTTAGTTTCGTTACAAAATAAACGTTCCTTGCTTTTTCTAGAGAAGAAAGATCACGTTCATATAAGAGGTTGATAATATTGTCGGATCATTTATTAGTCTCCATAGCAAAAATAACTTACATTTCTACAATTGTCCTTGATAAAGTCAAATACAGCCTCTCTCTCCGTTTCAATTCCTTCTCCCAATTCCGGTTTCTGTTTTTTGTTTGAGTGACAACTTTCTATTTCCAAAATTATAGCCACAAGAAAGAAGGATTATAGCAGCGGACAAAAATGGACTCAAAACTATTTCAAATGTTTTCAACTTGTCCTGCTAGCTCGTCCGATTGAATCTTTCATTAATACCAGTATGTAGTGGCACATGATTCTCTGTGCCACTATCTTGTGACACTGACACAATTCAATTACTTTTTATAAATTTGTGTTAATGCATATGCTATAGTCATATATTTTTAATATAGATAATTTTCATATTCTTATTTTATTTTTTATATCAATGTTTTATTTTTTTATGAAATTTGACTATTTTTATTGAATTTTTTAACTATAAAAATTAAAATTAATAAGCTCTAACCCAAAAAAAGTGAACCCTTAGTACTAAAATATATAAGTTCGAAAGTGATTGTGAATGGTATATGTATTAACACAAATTATATAATTTATAAGGAGTAATTGGATTGTGTCATACTGAGTGTCACAAGAAAGTGGTACAGAGCATCCCGTGCCGTACGTTGTATGCATTTTTTTTTTTTTTTCTCCTATGAAAAAGTAGTATGTAGTTGTAGATTGTTCTTGTTTCAACGATGATAATTCAAACTCTTCAGACTCCTGGCGAACAACACATTCAATACAATCAAGAAGATCAAATGAATGTATATTGCCGGTGTAGCAAGCTCCTGTACAATTACATAGTACGTAATTCTCACTAAAGAAAAATTCGATAGCAACAATGAAGTCCAGCCCTTAGGAATGGTTAGGATATGCATGCAATACATTTCATAGTAATTTCCATAAAGCAATTTAAAGGAATCAATATAATTTCACCATTCAATTTAAAGTAACTTAATCTTTATTCCCACTTCTAGTGTTTGGGAAGATGACAACATCGATTTAATTTAATGTTAATTAGGGCAATATCATACTCAGAAATTTCCAAAACCTAATCTATATAGCACACACCGTTGAGCTGGAGGAAAACAATATTATGTTTGATTCACCACCACCACCATGGAGAATCTTATCATTAAGCTTCAATTTTGATATTTGTTCCTGTTCTTTTCTTTTACACAAGCAATAATCATTTTGCATTCAAAACAATAAGAAGTGATATGAATAATGTTCACCCAACTTAAGTGGAACTATTACTGTCTATCATAAATGCTTCATCTTATCACAAAGGAGATGTATTTTACCAAGTCTGTGGATAAGAACTAACTAAAGCAATATTAGCCAAACTGAGAATTGAGGTTTTCTATTCTTTCTTAATAAACTAAAATTTAAGCAGTACTTTAAAATAAGATTTCAACAAAGAGATAAATTTCTGAGAAATTTCAACAAAGAGGTATCTTTAACTATAGCCCAAATTTCAATTTCCAGAGATACAATTCCCTGCAGTTATACGACTATATTCTTATCTCTTAATTTGCACTTCCAGCTTAACATTTCTAGGCTTAGCTTCACTTAAATCCATTCTGACCGCCATCATTTGAGTAGTGAAGGGTTGAGAATTTCTTCTAACCTTGTGTAGTTTTAGCATGGATCAGCTCACTATTTGCATCTCTTAGTAGAAATCCAATCCCTACAGTACCATTTTTTGTATCAGACCGTAAATGAAGTTCATTGAATGCTCTATATAAGGGATGCAAATTCTAAGCTCATCCGATTTTCCTCCTACATCATGTTGGCAATTTCGCTTACAAGAAATATTGAACTCATATATATATATATATATATATATGAGTTAAAGGCAGATCAAAGAACACTGTCAATGGTAGACAACTAATTACACTTTGGCAACAAAAATTTTACAGAGAATTACATATGCTATTCAATTCTACAGTGTTGCAAAAGTTACACAGAAAATGTCTACAAACTAGAGAAAGCATCACTTTAAAAAACTTGTGCATACATTATAATGCTGCCATTTTTTATATACCCACTCATCCTACCCACATAGTAGGGTCTACAACAAAAAATGTTATTAAATGATTTGTTTGAAAATCTAAAACTTCTCATAAAAAGAAATAAGGAAATCATGTCTAAAACCTCTTATATATAGGAATGGAGATAGTATACCCCAATTAATCTAGTAATGAAGACCTCTAATTCAATTTTTGGAACATGTTTTTATTTTGTCTTTCAGAATTTTCTATGATTAATCTGATCATCTATCAATATTGAATCATAATCCATATCGGTATTAATCTTAGAAAGATGTGCTTAGCTGCATTTGACACATACATACACATTTAGGTTTTCAAACTTTAAATTTCACGATGATTTGTTCCTATTCACTATATCAATTTGCCGCTCCCAAAACAAAAGAATAAAACCAGAAAAAGTACATAATAGTTGATATATAAAACATAAACAAAGTATCCACAATCTTTAAAATCACAACCAATGACCGTCAAAACACACATTGAAAAAGCTATACTGTAGTGTTTTCAAAATCTCAAATGCTAAGAAATTTATGGCGGTGTGTTTAAATCCATGCAAAAAGAATATTAATACTATAAGATCATCGTTAGGGCTTTAGATCTCCCAACTAATTAATTCAGATTGCATCCGAAAAGCCTCACTTGGGTCCGAGTCCTTGTTCTAGGACGCTCGCCCATCTCCGGGAAACTTGTGCCTGCAGCCTCACGAGTAGGAAGAGGAGCCCTACTGACAAATGCTCCGGCGAAAGTTGTTTCCGGAGGTGGCCTTGTAAGCCGTTGGCCAAACAGGAAAATATCTCCTCTTTGTTGTTGTGTTTGAAAATGGCTTGCCTCTCTAAGAATACAAAATTAACAATATATATATATATATATATATATATATATATATATCAATTAGTATTATTGAAGGCACGAGTAGGAATATATAGTTGTCCTATATATATCGATATCTAAGGGCAATAAAAAATAGTTAAAAAGTAAAAAAGATTCAATACCTATCACCTTAAGATTTTAGATTAATGTGTGTTTCTACTTAGTTTTCAATTAAACTGCACCTATTTTTCCAATTTTTTAATGTAATTAGAAAGGTTAAAACAACTCAAGAAAGAATTACTAAAGAGTATGATCGAATTAATTAATACCTGTTCATTGACCTGAGATAAATTTCAGCAACCCTTCTTCGGTTAGACCCATTCTCGTTTTGAATTGTTGCCGGCGCAACCGGCCGTGCCCTTCTTGTCGGCGGCGCCCATTCTCTTTCCATCGCTTGTGAGTACCAAGCAATCGATCCCGGCCGTACAACTTCAGCTGCAGCCGGTGGTGGTTGGCTTCCGTTCCGAGAAGGATTTTCGACACCGACATTGTTGTTTCCACCCGAGTTTTCTTCATATCATGCAAATTATGTGTGTGTATATATATATATATATATATATATATTTTAAAAAAGGTTAACAATTTTATTTTCATTAAAGATGTAGATTTTCATTAAGAATTATCTTACCGAAAAATTTAAGAAATATAATGAGAAATTACACCCACTAATAATAAAATGATGTTTTTTAATAAACAAACTTACCATGATTAACTTGGTTCGGGCGTACTGGTTGTTGATCTCCATTCTGAAATTCATAAATAAATCTAAAACCATCAGCATGCATACTATCATCATATAACTACCCGGAGAGGAATATTCTTGGAGTTGATATTAGAGGGAGTTTGGGAATAAGATTCCAATCCGAAGACATTTAGTTGTCTATTAGTCGAAATTAACATTTAATATCGCTCGCTCATGAAATTTTGTTATCGTTAAAATCATAAAGACTAATTAAGTGATATAAACATATCCATTCATTCATTAAGAAAAAAAAGGGTTTCAAAGATGAATCCGCATTTGTGTAAATTACTTATTGGTAATCTGTATTTGCATCTTTCATTTTTAGCAATTAAACGACAAGATTTATGTCCTTATGAAACATTATTGTTACTATATGCTACGTTTCTTAATAATTATTAAACATTATAGCAAATGTCTGGATTTTTTTTTAAAATTATGAAATACTCTAATATAAGAAGAAAATTTAAATTCATTTAAAGGGAGATCTCTATGTGATTGAACAACAGA